ACCGCCAAGCTGATGGCGAACATGCTCCAGACCGCCGGCTGCAACCACGTCATTACCATGGACCTGCACGCCAGCCAGATCCAGGGCTTCTTCAACGTCCCTGTCGACAATCTGTACGCCGAGCCCAGCATGCTCAAGTATATCCGTGAGAACCTCGATGTCAGCAACTGTGTCATCGTCAGCCCGGATGCTGGCGGTGCCAAGCGGTGAGTTCTGCCTGTCTCGATACTACACATGTATCTATATACCGGGGTTAGTTCAAGGGCTAATTTGGATTGTTGTTAGTGCTACTGCCATTGCTGATCGCCTGGACTTGCAATTCGCGCTTATTCACAAGGAACGTGCCCGCCCCAATGAGGTCTCGCGCATGGTCCTTGTCGGTAATGTCAAGGACAAGGTCGCCATCATCGTCGACGATATGGCCGACACCTGCGGCACGCTCGCCAAGGCTGCCGAAACTGTCATGCAGCACGGTGCCACCGAAGTCAACGCCATCGTTGTACACGGTATTCTGTCTGGCAAGGCGATTGAGAACCTGAACGGTAGCTGCCTCAAGCGGTATGTACACCCCCGAATACCAGCGACGAGTCATTGCAATCTTGGATGATTTAGCTTTGGGGTTCCTTTTTACTAACTCTCTCCTCGCAGCATTATCGTCAGCAACACTGTCCCATTGGGCGACAAGCAAGAGCAGTGTGACAAGATCCATACGATCGATATCAGCCCTACATTGGCAGAGGCATGCCGTCGTACACACAACGGCGAGTCAGTTAGCTTCTTGTTCTCGCACACCGTGGGGTAAATCAGAGGCAGAAATGAATTATTACATCAAGACAGAGGATCAAATCTACCGGTTGTCCTAGTGATTACCTACGAGTGTGGTTTGCGCGAAACCGTGGAGTGAGCGGGAAACAAAAAAATACGATTTTTATGACCCTTTTTATTAGCCGGACGAGGATGTTAGTCCCCGGGTGTTTTATTATTATTTACTATGTTTTTCTTTGGAAAAAAGAGGCCAACGTTTAAATGTTGGCTCTATGCAGTTCTCTCTGGCGGAAGTTGGTTATCCTTGGCTGGGTTCGGTTGCATCGTGCATGTGTGTGCTCTTCATATGCAGAGTACTTGCTATTTGGTTTAAATTATTGCAGGGCTTGGAGGCCGTTTACAACATCCAATTAAACTTGGTGTTTTTTCTATTGATGAAGTGCTATTATGACTGTGTTGGCTTGGTTGTTTAAACTTTGATATATTGCTGTCATCCTACAACATATATATCAAAGATTATACATAGAAAAGAGGCTTTTCCCGCCTTTTTCTGCCGTTTAGCTAGCAAACCGAGAAGGGAAATATCTATAACAACAGACATCTAACGAGTCTGAGAAGACCACCAAAAAATACTTGACAAGGCCGACTATTCTTGTATAGATTCATAGTAGAACACATGGGATTTGGGCACTACTAGCCGCGTAGGTGGAGCGGAAACACGTCCGATAAGAGGTCCTTTTCATACCCCTGCTCCAAATACGTACTATTGAGCTCAAAGTGCAGTCATACACTTGAACAAACATAACTCCGAACGCCTTTCCATGCCCTTTGACCCTTATACAACACGTGACCGGTACCTAAACCGACCTCGGGAGAATTGTGCCTGGAAGCGGGGGAATTTAAGGTAATGGGATTATTGAACTAGTGTATGTATGTGACTTCATTCAAGTGGAGTAGACTGAGAGCCCACAATAGCCCACAAAGAGGGGGAGGACATAAAATCAAGGGGATATACAATAGACTACTCCATACCCAATATAACTACGCCTACTCCTTGAAAAAGCCTCGAGCAATTGACAGAACTGAGTATTGAAATTTGCATGCACTCCATTAAAAAAAAAAGGGTCATCAAAAAAAGGTAGGTTCAACACAGATATGCATGCGACTCCCAAGGCCCGAAATCACTGTAGCCAAACACAAGGGAGTATCAACCACTCAGCCTGCTTTGTACGTTTTGAAACCTGTTCCCCGTCTCTTTTCTTGTTCCCTTTTCTTTTTATCAGACATGTATCCTCCGCGCCCCTGAGAGTGATTCATTTTTTGTGAATTCCCCTCAAATCATCCCAGAGACGTGAAGCTCCTCCATTAAACCCCATCGCCGCAGAACGAAATCATAAAACCGCGGGTTTGGAAGTTTACTTCCGCATGGAGGAAGCTCTCCGCTTGCGGAGCTCATCACGCTTGGCCTTCTCCTCGTGGACACGGCCGGCAAGGAGCTTGGCGTAGTCGTTACTATGTAACCGTTAGTTCAGATGTTTTTCCAAAATCAAACCAATACACCCGTAGATCATTGATCAGAGCACGAGCATAGGAAAAAGAAGAGGGAATCTTACGCAGCATCACGGGCAGTCTCAGCACGGCGGCGCTTGATAGCAACGCGTTGGCGCTTGCGCTGGAGACGCTGGGGGGTAACCAGACGCTGGATCTTGGGGGCCTTGGTGTAATCCTTCTTGCCCTCCTTGGTGACGGTACGGCGGATGACGAACTTGCGGACGTCGTCCTTCTTGTCGAGACCGAAGAAGCGACGGATCTTGGTGGCACGCTTGGGGCCGAGACGCTTGGGGACAACGGTGTCGGTGAGACCGGGGAGCTCGCCCTCGCCCTGCTTGACGATGGACAGAGCAAGGACGGCAAGGTCCAGACCGGTGATGGCACCGCGGACGGACTTGCGCTTGCGCTCACCGGTGCGGCGGGGGCGGTAGCAGCTGTGGCCGTCGGCAAGGAGGAGACGGGTACGGGTGGGGAGGAGAACTGTAGAAATAATTCGATGAGTATCCTGCGGTTTGTTGGTTGTATCCCTGGGGATTGGATATAATTTTTTTTCTTGGTCATTCCCCAGGTTGTTGTGCGGCTGTGTACGTACCACCCTGCTTCATGGGGAAACCTGTAAATTAAAAATCGTCAGCATTGTGGTTCTCGTTGTGTGCGTTGGATTCCATTCTCCATCATCGAGTTGTTGTTCCGACACTAGGGATGGAAGAGGGATTGTATGCGTACCCTGCTTGTCGTTACCACCGGTAATCTTGAACACGTAACCGTTGAACTCATCACCGAGAGCATCGCCGGCAACCTAATCAAAAGAAATTCCAATTAGCCAGTCGTTCTCCATAGTCGTGTGTATGTGTATGTTGTTCATCGATTTGAATGTCGGACAGTCGGGGAAGGATGAAGGATAAGGGAGTGCTGACTTCGGTGCCCATGCGCTTCTCCATGAAGGGACGGAGCTTGCGCTCATCGTCGATCTCGATAATTTTCTGGGACCCATTGGCCGGGTAGGAGATGTTGAGCTTCATCTTGACGGAGGCGGCGCGGTCAAGACGGTAGCGCGGGTGTTGTCGATTTGTGAGATTGTCGTTGAAGGAGTCTGTATTGTGGATTTTTTTAGTTCGCCGGCTTAGCGAGGTGCAAGTCACGTGTCACGTGTGGGAAGTAGGGCTTGTGGCCCCCTAATGAGGTTTAGTGTGGTTTATAAGATCATGTGACTGGGTATCAGCACCCTGACATTTTATTTTCTTCGTTCATCAACTCAGTCATGTTCATAAAATGTTGTGGTGTGGGTGTCTACAGAGCGCTGAAACTCCAAAATAACTGTATTCTCGTCGATGAATATGCGATTCACCCCTGCCAACTATGCATCCAAGAGACCAAGAGACAACACATATCCAGGACCGCCAGCAACTACAGCTTTCCTTCCGCCTTGAATCAACACAGTGGTCTTTTTACTCAGACGTGAGACCTCCCAGTGCAACTTTCAAATATAACCGACCTAAAATCACCAACGGAATGATGAATGAATGTTTCGGATCATGATTCAGTCTCGACCGGCCGAACACCAACTTTTATATATCAAGACTGAGCACAGTCTCACAAAGCGACTCATTAACAGGCACCACAAGCCTCGTACGACAATTGCAAATTAGCAGCCTCCACTAACCATATTTGATCCTATATCCGACTTTTGGTGTCTACCATTCGCATGTCAGACCTTGCAAACGGCAGTGCATGGATCATTGAGCAGACAACCCCTGGATTTGTAAGACACTATATCATCCATGAGGGTATGGATAAGCTCTGTATGGATTCAGAAACCTGATCCGTTTGGCTCAAAATAATATCGGTGGCGTTCGAAGGTCGTACTCAAGATAACATTACGATGTGCTTTTTGGATGTCTTTCCCCTTCTCAGTGTTATAGCCAGAAAGATCAAAATGATTAGTTGGTCACTCCGCGTCGTACCTTTCCCCCATACTTTATTCTCCCTTATCCACCTATTTCCCAAATAGAAACATATTGTGTCTCACAGTACTCCGCCTAGAGATCTGCAGTATACAATGTCTTGGCACGTCCATAGTACCAAGAAACAATTTCGTATCAGACGGCAAATAGGCCAAACGAATGTCAAGTCCCTTCAGACAATGCGAAACAGAACTGGACGTGGTCTTGTATGCTGGGCTTTGTATGAGATGCAATTAAGTCTAGATTGGTCTCCACTATTCGGGACTGGAGAACGTGAATGAACAGGAGAACCCAAATATCACGCAGGCTTAGATACGGAAGAAAAGACTAGTTCAAGCAATTGTGGCCTAGTTAACTCCGTAAGTAAAAAGAAAATAAAATTGGTGACTCTGATTTACCCAGTTGGACGTGGCTCTCTCTCAGCTACGCGGCCAATCTACAGATGTGACGAATTCACATCTAACATACGGATTCTAACTGTGGTAGTGTCCATTTTTGTGTATTTTAGCTCTAGCTTATGATCTTGACAATTCTACCCTATTTCTATCTTCTTTCCATTTTCATGTAGCATTTCTAGAGAAACCCATCACATACCCGACCTTGCCGGTGTTTCTTGTCCGAGTGGAGGTTTCGTCTAATCGCCAACACATCTGACCATCGATTAGTTGTGTTCGGGGACTCATAGAGAGATAACCAATCTAACAAGGCATAGGGCAAGATATGGACGCACTGGCTTTGTTCAATGGTAAGATACCACCCGGAAGTTTAAACACGGCGAAACAGCCTTGGAGAAGCATCGTATCTCACTAAAACAACCTGAAACGCGATTAGTTCTTCTGCCACCAAGAGAGTCTAGCATAGACAGTAAATCCACCCCTAAAAGGCAAGAACATCGGCGCTGTGATCGACAACAAAGAACTCGATCTACTAGGCCGACTGTCTCAGACCCACCTCGCAGACTTCAAGTCCCAGATCCAGCAATGGCTAGACGCCGAGTTCAGCCGTGACGAAGGATCTTTTCGAGGAAGAGGTCCGGTCCAGCCAGGACCGCACGATCTCTGTCGTCTTTCCAGGTATCCATGGGATCTCTGGAACCTGATTACAAAGGACTACGACGCAGCAAGTAAATCGATTGAGCGGCGTATTGCAACGCTTATGGACCAGCTCGACACGTTGTCCGAGCTGTGAGGCACAACGGAGCTGAAACTCATTCTGACGCAGACGGTCGAGGTGACTTTCCTGCCTGGGTTTGAGTCCGCAAGTGATGAGTACAAGGATACGGTGCGGATCCTGGAAGAGTGGAATGGGAAGCTCCGCGAGGTGGCTAGGGAGTGGAGTCATAGCACTGTGTGTCTTCTTGATACTAATACTTTTATGATGGACCGCATTCGTGACTGGGCAGCTCTATGCGGGCATTGAGGAGGAGAATGGTTTAGGCAAGAACCTGGATCATGGGTGGGAAAATATTGAGGAGCCTTGTGTTGAGAGTGGGTTCCAGGTCATGATGTCAAAGGAGAAGAAACCGTGAGAGAATCCAGATAAGTATCTGTTCTGGTAAGTGGTTCCTTTTTTTTCTTCGCCATTCCTTACCATTTTCTATAAGAAACATGGGAGGAGAGGGATCGACAATTTAAATTCCTTTTTTTGCTGACTGTGACACTGTTGATTTCAGGAACGAAATGCATTTGGGTGCTTCAGCTCACCGGCTCATGGCTGCGGATATCTACCATGGGATTGATATTCTGTTGAATTCGAAGGGCGTGTCAGGGAAGCGCCACAACCGACGGGGGTTTGCAGCTTATGACATTGTCCAGATCAATGAGAAGCCATATTCTTCAGACAAACAACTCAAAAACGAGAAGGGAAAAAAAAGAAAAAGAAAAAAAGAACGGTGACAAATATGACGTCTCGCAAGTGCCCGGGAAGGGGTGTATAGCAATGATGTCGGTACCCGAGGATCAAACGCAGAGGACCCGACTATACTTGATGCGGGTGAGCAATGGCCAGGTTCCAGTGAGCTGGACAATCAAAGGGAGTGTGGATCTGGACCCTTGACTCTGAACTTCCCAAAGAAAGGGCACGGTAGTACCGATGTCAAACCATAGACTGGAACCTGCAGAAGAGTTATTGGAACCTGACGGGAAGATCCAGACATCTATTACCCGAGACAAGAGGGAAATAGGGGAGGAAAAGGGTGGTATTGTTCCAAGTGATAAGCAAGTGACTGTAACGCGTAGATCGAGAAAGATCGGCAATGAGATCATCCCAGATCCTGGCATGTGGGAGATAGCGTGATTTCAAATTATATCAATGGAATATGAATACCCATGAATTTTATGAATAGGAAAAAGATAATATAGATCAGTCTAGATGACAATGCCATGAGACAATCAAACTAAAAAGTCTAAACCTAGAAATTAATTGTTTCTTAACTTGTTAAACTCAAAATCCGCAGATTGTCTTTGCAGATTTCTTTTTGTCTAATTTGACGGGGAACCGATTTAGGAAATGCCCCGACCAATCAACGTCGATGACCCGTCCAGTGGACCCTCGTGGACCAGCTCGATCAAGCGGGTCGCCGCATCCGGAGACAAAGAAAACAATGACTCTAGTGCCTTGGCCCTGGAAATTAGGGAATTAGGGGGATTTTCATAGTTCCTTTTCTTTTTTAGTTGACACCTCGTTTTTCTTTTCTTTTTTCTTTTCTTTTTTTTTTTTTCTTGGTTAGGGTTAGTAATCTGAAGGGTACCGTGTCGTTAGAAGTATAACGGGTGAGATTTTTCAAGTCAATAGTCTATACAACAGTAGGAAATAAGTGAATGTATAACAAAGAAAAGCCACTTCCTATTATTTTATTTTTCGTTTTATTTTTCGTTTTATTTTTCGTTTTATTTTATTTTCTCGGTTGGCTCGGTCAGAATATTAAGGGCAATTTGGAGCTATTGTCAAAGAACTAGCCGCTAGACAGGGATTCCGGGGGGAAACCCAACCCAAGACAAAGAAAGCGCTTTTTAGGGCTTGTCCAAACGCCCATATACTTCGCTTTGTCCTAATCCCTGGTATTCCCCGGTCTTTCAATCATTTCTTATTGGGATTATTTCCCATTTTTCCTCCATTCGTGATTCATTTTCTTTGTTTCTCCCTTCTGGCCCCCTCTCTTTCTTTCTTGTTATTTCTTGGGGCCCAGTCGCCCCCAAACCTATTCTCACTTCTGCCTTCTCTTTCAAGGCTTATACTTTTTTCTTATACTTTTTTTTGACCTTACCCTTGTGACCATATTTCTTTGATTCATTCGCCTTCGAGCCCTTTCATTGAGAGAGGGGAAAAGTATTAAATAAATGTCTTACGATCGAGTTCTCCCCAACCCTGTTGCTCTACGCTATGAGTCTGCCCAAGTCACTCTGCCTAGCCCGAGCAATTTACTCGATCACAAAATCATGAACGAAGAATTGTCCAAGTCTGCCATGGCCATGAGACACCCTGTCGACGGTGGTCCAGTCGGGTCTTCGGTCAGATACTCTGATCCTCGATCAACGGGGGTACATCACACACATCAATATATCTCCCTAAATGGATTCAAAGAGGCACACAGGATGTCCTCAAATGGCTCCGTCAAGCCTGTCGGACCCATGATCTCGACCAAGGAATTGCCCTTGCGAGACAGATCAGATCGATCATCCTCCTCTTCAGCCAGCAGTACCAGTCCCATCAAATCACAGAAAGAGAGTGCCATGTTTTGCCTCTGTCAACCGGATCCGAAAATTCCCCGGCCTCGTAATGGTGAGTCGATACTGTCCGCACCGTCATTAGAGCTTGGCAAGTGCTTTTTCGATTGTTTCTTTTTTGGTCTTCATTAGCCAGATCTGGATCTTTCGAATACATGGACATATTGCTAATATTGTGCAAATCTAGCTTTCATTCTGTATCGTCAGCATTATCAGGCCATGGTGGTCGCTCATAATCCTGGCTTGGCCAATCCTGAGATCTCCAAGATTATTGGAGAACAGTGGCGGTCTCTTTCGGAGGATGACAAGAGTAAATGGAAGGCACTTGCAGAGGTAAGGCAGGCATCTCTGGCAATGTGATTTTCAAACGCTGACAATTTCACCAGGAGGAAAAAGCTCGGCATCAGCAGCAATACCCTGACTACCGCTACCAGCCTCGGCGGTATGGTCGGGATGGAAGCGCCCGGAATTCGGCCTCGGGTATTGGACACAACCCATCTGGTTCATCACACTGTAACAGATGTGGTGGTCGATTGATGAATGCACCCGCTTCCCCCATGACCCCGTTCACACCCAGCAGTGGGCCTGGGTATCGACCACCATCAAACTTCTCAGTATCATCACCACACCCAAATGCTATGCCGCCAAGAAGCGTCCAAGGCCGCGAGAAGGACCCCAATCCAGTACCAAAATCGGCAAAGATGGACCACGATCCCCGTTCTCGCCAAAGACACTGGGAGGAACCCGGTGGTCGATCTCCTGATAATAAACGCCGCCGAGTGTCCCACGGCTCATTCAAGCCAGCTTTACAACCCTCCTACCGGGACCGCAGTCCTAGCAGTGGCATTCCCAAGTCACCGCACCCGATGACCCCTTGGAGTGCTCGCCCTGATATGCCGCCGCGCCATCTCCCCATTCTTCAACCGCAACGGCCATATCAAAGTGTCCCGGGACAACCACACCCGGACCCCAGTCTGAAGCTACCGCCACTTCAGACCACAACACCGGTGATGACACCCATGACACCGTATCCACAAGAAGGATCCAGTGTCGAAGCAACAGTCATGACAATTCCCTTCCTCAACAAGATCAAAGTCCTCGCCAAAATCTCCCCACCCCTCCTCCCCTCATTCCGGGACGGCATCCCACCAGCCCGCGGCCCCGTCATCGCCGTGGACGGCCAAGACCCGGACCTCGTCCAAACAGCCGTCGAATACTTGAACAACCTCCTAAAAAAGGAAACAAAGTACCACGTCCGGGTCTTCGACGGACCAGAAATCAAAGCACCCCGCCTCACCTCCGCAGAAGCCGGGCAGATGGGCGACGCCACAGTCGACTACCTCAACACGATCTCCGCCTGGCACCGGATCTCCGACGAAGTCGTCGGTTTCGTGAAATCCACCTCAAGAGCCGGCTCCGTCGATGCCCGCTCCATAACAACAGACGAGGAAACCCCCGCCCCAAGCGTCTCCCCGCGCACCCTCATCCCCAAAACCGCAAACATGCACATCCACTCCCCAGCCCAGTCAAGCGAGAACGGCTCTGAGGCCAGCGTCATCACGGCAGGCAGCCAATACGGCGTGCCGATCGCGCTCGTCCCGCGCTACCAGCTCACCACGGCTGATGCATTCGCCTGCTCCACGCCCATCGGCGACTCCTACGCGCCGCTCGATCACTGGCAGTGGATGGCGTCGCTGTGGCGTGCGTGCGTGGGTCCTGATATCACGGTTTACATTCGTGAGTGCAGTAAGGAGGAGCTGGATCGCATGGGTGGGAATCCTGTTGAGGTGCGGCTGCAGGATGCGCGCACGGTTGTGCTGAGGAAGGTTGTTGGGCGGGATTTGGAGGAGAAGGCGCTTAAGCGGATGGGTTTTGAGATTGAGGACTTTTTGACTCAGTAAGATTAAGCTCAGACTCAGGCTAAAGCCTGCTTCTGGGGCTGGGCAGAGAATGTAATTCGGTGCATTGTTCAAGGATTCAAGGTTTCATTGGTTGGGGCGTGTGTGATAGAGTAGATAGTGGTAATTTGATGATGGCTCATCGTGCTTCTAATGAATACATAATATTAATAGTGAAAGCCGTGTAATTAGGTAAATATAACAATCGAGACGATGTAGAATGTATGTTATAATAAAAAAGAGGACGATGTCCGCTAACCCCGTGGGCGCTCGGACCCTCTTGATCCACCCCCAACCCGACAGTGCAGAGCCGCTTATCTAAGGCGGTCACCATTCTGCCAATATCTCTCCAGATTCCAAGGTTCCATCTCATGTTGTTTTTCTTGCAACCATTCACCATGTCAGAGCCAGGACAATGGGTCTCGGGCAGCTGGAGGAGAGCGCCAGTAGAGATCAACCATTTACCTTCGTGGCTTCCTCGACTTTCCGTGGCCCCATCCAGTCCTGAACCCGATATGAAATTTGAAGACCCGGAGGCGATGGATGAGCTTCTCAACCCTTTCATCCCAGTCCCAGAGGCAATGGATGAGCCTATCGATACTTTCATCTCAGAGGAGGCAAAGGAGTCTCTCGATCCAGAGGTGACAGATGGGCCTCTCGACCAACAGGTCGCAGATAAGCTTCTTGACCCCCACACACCAGAGGCAACAGATAAGTATATTGGTCACTATATCCCAGCTGGCGTCTTGGGCAAATCTTCATCCACGCCCCGCTACCCGGACTCCGACATAGCGCTGCTGGAAAAGCACAAATGGATCCGCACACGTACTCTTGGCGACAGCGACAATGTACAGATTTTCGTGCTACCAAACGCACCGCGGTCAAATGGCAAGGTTGTCAAAGCTCTCAAAGGCGTCATGTCCAAGATCGACAGCTCCCCTGAAGCATGGAACGGCTTGGTTGATGCCCATGCTGGTATTGCCAACACTCAACCCGATAACGAAGAAGAAGAATCCCTGTATTACATATACAATACGCTGCAAGAACCCAAACCAAACTTGGACCAAGTAACAGATCCGCACTCCTGGCGTGTCATGGAGGAATTGCTTAGCAATTCGGTTCGAGGTCTTAAAACAAAGCTTCATCCGTTTCAGTGCGAATCCGCTGCTGTGATGGTTCAGCGGGAGGTACAGCCGGGGCTGGCGCTTGATCCGAGATTCCAGCCTTGGCGGGGTCCGACTGGGTTGGAGTTTTATTATGACAAGGAATCTGGGAGCATTCTGAGGGACAAGATATTGTATCCCGAGGCCTGTGGAGGTAGGCACTTATATATTTGACGCTGATTTTCTCAGTGATTGTTGGGCTGTGGATATCTTAGTGAACTATACTGACTATTACTAGGGATTTTGGCAGAGTCCATGGGATGCGGGAAAACCCTCATCAGTCTTGCTGTGATATTGGCTACGCGGGGACATTTCCCCAAAATCCCGGTGGAGTATCAAACACTCGATAACCTCATCAGGAACAAGACTGGAACATTAACGGAAATGGCTGCTACTGCTATTGGTCGCTTTTCCCTGCCCTGGAAGGACTACTTTGACCGGATACTGAAAGATGAAGGGAAAGATCATAGTAATTGTAGGAAGGCTTGTGTGGCCCACGGTGCTTCCTACATGATACCGGCTCAAAACCCTCGCCAAAGAGATGTCTCATTGCACGGCCGGTCGGCCAAGCAAATTCGTCTTTGCTCTGGTACACTCGTTATTGTCCCGGAAAACTTGGTGGACCACTGGGAACGTGAGATCGCTACTCACACTAGTGATCTGAAAGTCCTAGTTCTGCAAAATAAGGACAAAACACCATCAACGGATGAACTAATGGACTTTGACATTGTGCTGTTCTCCAAAACCCGATTTACGCAAGAAGTTCCAAAAGGAGTAAAAGTTGGGCTGCAGCCGAATTCTTCAATCCTCAATCTTCACTGGTTGCGAGTTATTGTCGATGAAGGGCACGACGTTGCCGCTGAAAAAACGAACATGGTCGACTTGCTAAAAGAGCGGCTGCAATTTGAGCGCCGCTGGATCATTTCGGGGACTCCTCTCTCCGAATTGTATGGAGTGGAACTTAGCATTGCTTCACAGGAAGTGGACACAGACTATACTGAATCGTCACACGACGATCAGTTGCAAAAACGCAAAAAGGCGGGCAATGCCATTAACCATGAAATCAAAGATTTAAAGAAGTTGAGCTACATGGTTCATGATTTCTTCGATCTAAAGCCTTGGTCCAACAATCATAGGGATTGGCCACTTTACACAAAAATAGTGGGTGAAGATGGAATGCCTCGAAAATCCCCATCTTTACGTGCGACTCTCCAGAGTCTTGTTGTGCGACACCGGTACGAAACGGTCAGAAAAGAGATCACTCTTCCACCGCTGTATAACAAGGTGGTTTACCTTGGGCCGACCTTCTACGACCGGCTGTATATCAACATGTTCCTTTTCACACTCGCAGTCAACGCCATTACATCTGAACGTGAAGGTCCTGATTATATGTTTCATGACAAAAACAAAACCAAACTCACTGAATTGATAAAAAACTTACGCCTGGCTGGATTTTGGTGGGCTGGCGCCGATAACGATGTCCAAAATACTGTCGACATTGCTCTGGAATATCTGGAGGAAAACCAAGAGAAGATGACAGTGGCGGATTTCAACCAATTGAAACATGGAATCCAGATCGCACGAAAGGCAATGGGTTCTCCTGGTTGGAATGGGTTCAAAAAGATGCATGAGCTTGGAGTCTTTGTTCGGCATTTCCCAGAGCATGCTCGTAATATGTGGGCCCTTGATCCCACAGGTGCCGACCACGAGTCCCTGCTCATGGGTATGACCCAGGCACGTCGCGCGCAACAATTTGTGATGAACCATCTCCGCACCTCTGATCCCGCCGAAGGTCTCGCAGGAGAGGGTATCAAAGTTCGTCGGGAGCTGATTAAACACAGCCAGACAGCTGTTCTTGCTCACAGTGGGGCCCCCGAGTTGGCTAATCCTCCAGTAGACCAATCAAACCCGAAGAGAAAAAGGAATCAGCCACAAACTTTTAAGAAGAATGTCTTCCGGACTCTCCCAGAGACTTCGCCCTTGACGCAAACGAAGCTGGAAGGAGTAACATCAGCCAAGCTTCGGTACTTGTTGGAGCAAGTGCTGAAGTTCCAGAAGACCGACAAAATCATCATCTTCTATGAACACGACAACGTCGCTTCCTGGGTCGAGCAAGGCCTGGAGCTACTAGCAGTCAACTTCCGCACCTACGCCAGTTACAAGAGCATGGGATTAAAACTCAGAACCAAGCATCTGAACCAATTCCGCCAAATCGAAGATGTCCGCGTTCTGCTGATGGACGTCGGACAAGCCTCGCACGGCCTCCACATCCCACAAGCCTCACGGATGTACATCGTCAACCCAATTTGGGAACGTAATGTCGAAAGCCAAGCCATCAAACGAGCCCACAGAATCGGCCAAACAAGACCAGTCTACGTCGAAACTCTCGTCCTAGGCGACACCCTCGAACACCGGATGCTCAACCGCAGCAAAAATATGACCGCTGAAGAGACGAAGCTTGCAGGAGATAACCCGCTCAAAGATAGTACCATGAGCGAGATAATTAAGAACGAGCCATTCCTTCCCATGCCCGACGAGGCTTCGGCCGGCATGGCTCCGCTGGCACATCCGCTCGGGCTATTTGATCGGCATAAATTGCCGATTCCAGATAGCGAGGCGGTCCCTACGCGTGGGCCATCGCGGCAGAAGGCACAGCGGGGACAGCAGCCGGTTCGGGAGTCCGATGCCGATTCCGATTCGACTGGTGTTCAGGGGCGACCGGCCAAGCGGCCACGGATTGGCTTTGCGGAGCATGACCAGATCATGGGTGGGGGTTCTGTGGCTGCGGTTCCTGCGCCGCTGCAGTCTGTGCCTGCGTCGAATTCAGCGTCTGGGACAGGCGTCCCTGTGTCTGGGCCTTCGCGGACTGGCTTTGCAGAGCATGTGGCGGTTATTGGGGATAGTGTTGGAGCATCCGGAGCATCTGGTTCAGTGCAATTCATGCCGATGCACTCTGTGCCAGGTTTGCCTGGGCACGGTGTTACGCCACGAGTCTCATTGTTCGGGCCGTTCAAGCCATAAGATATTTGTACGATTTTACGTTCTAGCGCCATTTTAGATTTTCTTACCATGATGGATACCCATATTGAAACTTGTTAACTTATTCAAGTCAAGAGAGAAAGAATTACTTCATACACCAAGTATACATGTGGCAACATAAGATGAAGTAAACTAAGTTTTAAAGCGTGTGATTCCTCGAAAGATGATAAAAATGTCACATTGGAGATAGCTACCCACCAACTGCTGCTAATAATATGAGTATTAGTACTAGCCATATATGTAATAGTGACCCTGGAATTGGCCCAAGATAATCATACGCTATATGTAAGAATACACCGACTTGTTTTCAAATGTTATTTTTAGATGTATACAAAGCATCCATACAACATAGATGCCCAGGTGGGTCTATGAGGTTAACGATAAGAGATAAGCCGTTTCTTACAATCGCACCCCTCACTCGGCGCTTGGAAAGCGTCAATTCTCCAATTCCTCCCAAATTACCAGGAAGAAGAAATGAGCAAGCCAGTACAAGAGAAAGCCGTATTAATAGGGATCTCCGGGCCCTCAAGCAGCGGCAAGACGACCCTCGCGCGGTTACTGCAGCGTGTATTCTGCGGGGTGAATCTTAAGCCCAAGGACTCACGTCTAAACACGTTCATAATCCACGAAGATGATTTCTATTTCCCGGACGATAAGTGCGTATACCTTCCAAGGTTATTACCTCAGCCCCCATACATATACCCCGTCTCAAGTGAAACAGACCATCCTCCATTAACCCCAACACCAAACTCCAACCCAAATCCCATACTGACACACCCCAGAATCCCCTACACAACAACCGCCTCCGGCGAACAAATCCAAGACTGGGACACAGCCTCCGCAATCGATATCCCCTTCCTCTCGCAAGCACTGCACTACGTGCGCGAAAACGGAACACTCCCGCCGCGGCTACGGAGCAAGGAAGACCAAAACGACGCGACAGATTCCGGGGTGTCGGACGAGATCGTGCAGGAGTTGAGAAGTCTTGTTAGTTCTCGGTTGCAGGACGAAGCAGCAAGAAAAAACACCGAGAACCCGACCATTGCATTCCTAGAGGGATTTTTGCTATTTGCGCCTCCCGAGCAAGAACAGCACGCGCTCCGCTCCGTTCATGACGCTATACATCTTCCTCTTTTCCTGCCTGCGGCATATGAGCTTGTTAAGGCTAGACGCGAGGGGAGGAGTGGATATGTGACTGTTGGGCCGGCGCCGGAACCGCCAGTGCAGACATCTGAAAATGGGGGAGATGGTGGGGATGGAAAGACGGGGACGGATATTGATCTTGATGCTGAGGATGATCGTCCACCGCAGAATTTCTGGGTCGATCCGCCTGGGTATGTGGATGATGTTGTCTGGCCACGGTATGTGACGGATCATGCTTGGCTATTGATTGCCGAGGATGGAGACGAGGATAAGAAGGACGGGAGCCAGGCTCTGGCGGAGGCTGATCTTGTTCGGAGGATTGGGGATGGGACTAGGGCTAGGACTGATGTTGGGGTTGAGGTTGCACCGGGCTGTGGGAGTGCAGGGATGGATGTTGTTTTGAAGTGGGCGGTTGAGTTGATTCTGGGATATTATTTGGATCGGACGTAGGTATAGTACAATATGCATGATCTAAATGGTACAGTATACAAGTGCGTATTTAGTGGCTTAAGCAATAGACTTGTGTCTTTTTTTTTGCTATCTGCTAACTGTAGCGATGGCTGCGCCTGCTTCTGCAATCCACTTCCCGGTATTCCCTTTCGTAACGATACTTTTGAAGCCATCCCCATCGTTAAAGAAGATTCACTCCCGCAAAATTGGTCCTCGCCATCCGGCAAGACAGTCGATGCGGTCCCTCAAAGGCGTGGGAGTAGGAGAGGAGGTGATGCCGTCATTCGGGAGGTAGTGATAATTGGAGGGTCCGAATGGAACCATGATTCGACAATATCATGGTAGATTTCGATGGTCTGCAGCACAGGAGAAGTGAAGGTAATAGTATCTTCAGTTCGCTCGGACACGGTGAGGTTAGGACTGATCCTTTGAAGGGCTTCGGTAACGAGGGTAACAAATTCCTCGGGGGCAGGGTTCCGAGCAAATACTAGAAAGATGACGGCCATTATGAGTAGAAGGACGTTCTTAAGAAGGCTTGATAGTTGATAATAGAGGTTTTAGAAATTGGAGGTAATCAGCTTAGAAGGATATCATACAGATCTAGTAAACAAGTATTTGCGAATATACACTCCTTTATATACATATGTATCTATAACTTATGTATTTAACCTTGGAATTCAATTAATGCATCCATGGATACAAAAGTAATGATAGCGCATTGTTGCCTGATAACTTTCTATATACACTTTCCTAATTGGGTACCGCTCTGGTGCCGGTCAAAGTAATTCTTACCTAGGTACCTAGGTAGTCAACCACTACTTAACGATTTCAGGGATGTTTTTCAATGCCAGTCATATAACGGTCATGAGATGGTACTGTGTGGGAAGGCAAAACTTTTTATTCCTAAATGCTTGTCAAGGATGCCCAAGACACCCGTTATATAGGCTATCTCCATCCCAAGTTTCTCAATCAATTTTGTTGACTAAAGATATAAAGCCAGGCAGATATTTCGTTCCATCCACTCTCTCAATTCATAGTCCGCCTAACAGACATTGTCCCCAATAACGACCGAAAAGTCACCGGCACTATCAACTCCAAGAAACCGAGCCACCATTCACGCTGGTAACCGCATCGCCAGAGCACTCTCTATTTCCCCAAAGGCACAACTTGAACTGTCCCGCTTCGTTGAACGAGAACTGGTTATACCCCCTGGCATCAATAGGCGTGCAACCCTTCAAACCACGCCTCCCGGTATTGCCCTGGCCGCGGCAGGACTGATATTGGAGTTGAGGCTGCACCGGGCTGTGGGAGTGTTTGGAGGTGGGCTGTTGATTTGATTTTGGGGTATAATCTGATTTAGCTCAAGGTCAGGCTTCAGAAAGGAAAATCGAGGGATTGATGGGAATGGGATGTGAGTGGACTGCCTCAACTGGCCCAATTCGAGTCTAGTCATCTCTACTTCTGAACACCCCCGGGCTAGGGAATGGAATGCATGACTTCCGTCTTCCAAATGACATAGCTTGAATCGGACGTAGTTATATAGTCACTCCGCAAAAGTTTCCGTGAAGCCCAGTCTTAGGCTAAACACCATAGTAAATGCAATAAAGTACAACTCGATATCTCAACAACCATGTTTTAATTTGATTTCAATATTTGTCGATAGCTATTGATAAGGCTCATTAACAGTATATATCAATTTTGAGGAAATCGAAAAGCTTTATTATCACGGCATCGAGAATTACGTTGCTGTGAGCCAGAAGTATATATTTGAGTCTGTAAGTGTAAGCTATAGAGATTCTCCAAATTCCCGAGGGTTAGATATTATATAAGAAATATTAGGCTATAAGAAAAAGTTCCTATAAACCACCGTTGTTGAGATATCGAGTTGTAATTTATCGCATTTACTATGGGCTCCCATGTGGATTACGCTACGCGGCCACCGGATCCGGAGAGAAATCAAGGAACAACTTCCCTTGATTCCTAATGTGTTGCAACAAATGCCGGATTTTTTCTAGATATTTGATGGGTACATATGTAGTTATAGCTAGAAATGAGTGGAACTAAACTTGATCTTGACCTTATCATAATCGTCATAGATAAAAGTCAATATCCCGTTTTCAACAGATGTGATCATTGAGTAATTAAGGCTTATAGAATAAGCCGCCTGCTGCCGGGACACTGCTGTGATCTGAAACAAGAGCTATATAACGAAACCCGCGATCCTCCTTGGTATCTATCTGTCTATACCCTATACCCTACCAGTCACCCACTCACAATGTATGACTCTTCCTTCGGTGGTATTTCCTTTTCGGGATATCCATCCGTCGCATACACCGACATGATCACTTTCTCCATTCTCTTGGGAGTGTTATACGCTGTTTCTTTGGCTGTTATCCGTCTATGGCTCAGCCCAATTGCCGGATTTCCCGGTCCCAAACTCGCGGCAGTTACATTCTGGTATGAGTTCTACTACGACTGGGTTTTGACTGGGAAATACTACCAACGTATCAAAGAGATACATGATGAATATGGTGTGTTCATATGGATCGAGCAAACCTCGGTACCTACCGTTCTTACTGATAGCGATTAGGACCAATTGTTCGCATCTCACCAGACGAACTCCACATCGCTGATGCGTCATTTTATGACCAACTTTATGTCTCAACTGCAGTCAGGAAGAGCAATGGCTACCACCGCTTCGGTCGGGGAACCGGTTTTGAAGGTAAGACAATCCAATCCGACTTTCGATCTCGCATCTGCGTCTTAGAGCCCTGCTGAAACTACTCCTAGATATGGTTGCCCTCTCAATAGATCATGATATACATCGAGCTAGCATAGCGCCTTTGAAGCCGTTCTTCTCCCCCGCTGGTATCAGCCGGGTTGAACCTCGAATCGAGGCATGTGTCCTCAAGCTTGGTCAGAAACTGGAAGAGCTAGCCAGTGTCAATGCCGACCCGGGCAATCCCGTGATTGTAAATCTGTCCCACGCCTTCAACTCATATACAAATGGTAAGGGATATTACTCTTGAAAAAGCCACTAATACCAAAAGCATGGCTTGTGTCTAATGGCCTGCTTCATCTAGATGTTATCTCGTCAGTTCTATTCGAACACCCAAGTGACTTTTTGAGTGATCCTGCATTCAACGCCCCCTGGTAAGATTCCAGTACGAAAGCTCGTAGAAGACACTAATGAAATACATAGGTATCAAAATGTTAAACGAGGTCTCTTGGCCATTCCACTCTTTGCTCACCTCCCATGGCTAGCAAGGTAAGTTAGACTCGCTCCTTCGTCAAGCAGTCGACCGGGTATCCGTCACTGACTATTTGAATATAGAGCAATGACAACGCCACTGATCAGATTTATCATGGAAAAAACGACTGAATGGAGGGTCTGGGATGATGTAAATGATTTTCCCTCCAGCCCTTTCTCAATGGTTTACAATTCTCGATTTATTAGCTGACCATGAGCAGAAAGCAAGACGAGAAATCCTGAACTCAAAATCACGCCCAGCTAAGGAAGCAAAGAACCGGGCAGACACAACGGTATTCGACCACCTTGTTCACAGCGAGCGTACCGATACACCATACGGGGTCGAGTCATGCAGCCGAGTTGCACAGGTAGGACAGTTTATCCCCAACATCTGACAACGAGTGGTTAATCTTACTTATCTTAGCTTATTCAACAAGCGGGAACATACAATTCGGGTCGAACCATCGAGACTATTGTTGCTTTCCTCTGCCTAAATGATAACAAGCGCAATATTCTGTGTGAGGCTCTCCGTCCGGTCTTTGCACAGAGCGATTCCGTATCATGGAGAGAGCTCGAGAAGATTCCGTATCTTTCTGCTTGTATTAAGGAGGGTTTACGGTGGGATTCTCCCCTTTTCTTTTTTTCTTTCTCTTCGTCTTCTTTTCGCTTTTCGCCCAGTGTCTATTGTTGCTAACGATCTCCATAGCTTGGCAATTGGTAATATGCTCCGAGCCCCGCGGATCTCGGACGATGAGTTATACTACAACCAATGGAGGATCCCCAAAAGAGTTAGTACAACCCATACTATAATGCGTGTTCTATCCTGCGATCTGACAACCCAGCATAGACAGCCGTGTCTATGACTACCTACTGGATGCATATGGACCCGGTAGTCTTCACTAATCCATATTCATTCGAACCGGACCGCTGGCTTAATTCTTCCCCCGACAAGCTGCGGGAGATGAACAATCATTTCGTGCCGTTCGCAAAAGGCTCTAGGCCGTGTCTCGGGCAACAGTGAGTTTGGAACTCGCAACCTTCTTTATACTATATTTTGTACCATTTCTGACCGTTCGAACAACATTGGTATCTAGCTTGGCCTGGATGGAATTGTATCGTGCCATTGCCCATCTCTATCGCCCGGGAGTGCCTAAGATACACCTATACGAAACCGACGAGACCGATGTTATTCCAGTTCACGGACTCCTTTTTTCGATGCCGCGACGTGATTCACCGGGGGTTAGAGCCTTCCTGACAAAAGCACCTCACTGAGCAGGCCCAAAAGGAATGTTTGGTGTAACTCTCCTTCCTATCAGGATTGATAGAGTGGGATAAAGAACTATTTTTGTATAATAATCGATTGCTGTGTAGTCTGTCCACTAGCCGACTCAATAGGCAATTCACGATATCAGTGCCCAAAGTAGCACATCAACACCTATGGATAGTAAACTCAAGGACAACGGCAATTGTGTGACAAAGAACTGCAGTATACAAGATAGCCGGCCGATTATGCGGCCTTGTCATGTCTTTTTAATAGTCTTTTAGGTGTCTTTTTAGGTGTCTTTTTAGGTGTCTTTCTTTCAGATATTTTCTCTCCTTTCTCAGTTCTATAGCTAGATGGTAGAAAAAGGAGGGGAAAATTGTATGTACAGACGAGTTTTGTATGTATAACCAGGGATACACTACCTAGATAGTATGGAGTATAAGTACGTATGAAGTGGCTTAATCAATAGATTTTTGTCTTCTATGTTTGGTATCTGCTAACTGCAGCGATGGCTGCGCCTGATTCTGCGGTTTCTCATTCATGTCCCGGTATTCTCCTCCGTAACGATACTAAACCACCCCCATCGTCAAAGATTTACCCCCGCGCAATTGGTCCTCGCCATCCGAGAAAGTAATCAATGCGGTCTCTCAAGGGCATTGGGGTGATGTCGGCAGGTGTAGTGTTGATATACTGCTGAACTTCAGATTGAATCAGCTCAGGTTGAAGATTGAACTCCGCCAGGACAGTGTCCGCCTCTTTCTCCACATCAGCATTCGTCGTAAAATGCTCTGCGTAGTCCACTGGGCCATAGACATACACTTCGCGGAACACACAGTTGCGCAGCAAGTACGACCAGTAAATGGTATGAACAGACGCCAGCAAACAAAGCAGTTGGAAAAAGAACATGATCAGGGCCCACAGGGTCCACAGTCCGCGTACACGGCGCGGCTTCTTTGGCTCAGCGACTGGAGTCACGGCAACTCTTGATCTGAGAGCTGGAGTTTCCGCAACTAGGGTCTGTGTACTCGTAGACTTGGAAGTTGGCACTTTGCCAAACAGAGGCCCATGGAGATGTGGAGTTTTATGGACTGTAGGCTTAAAACGGTTAAGCTCACCCAGTTGACCACATGAAAATTGGCACCTAGTATCAACACTCTGATGCTTCAGAGGAACAACCTCATGCTTGGGCCCATAAATGATGTAATCATCTTGGAGAATAGTTTTAGCATCCTTGCAGCTGAATGTGGTATTGATCCATGGCAGCCAGGTAACAGCCTTGCCTCTTGGCAGCTTGAAATCCCACGACACCGTGAACATCTCCAGAGCCTGGGGAACGCTGATGATATTGATGCGCGAGATTCCACTGCCATCTGCTGGCTGCAGCCGAACTGAGTTTATGAGAGGTTTTTTAGCTGTAAAAAAGGCATCAAACTCGCCGTCCGGGCCGCCATGCACAAAAATGTAGAATTGGCACTTCTCGGACCAGAAGTTGTGATTGATGAGATCAATGGAGCAAACAGCATTGTATTTGATCAGATAGGACGATGGATCGCTGGCCTCTGCCACCTCGGCCCGTATGACTGTGTTGACTTTGTAGTCCTTAAGTTGCCCGTAGTATTCTGCATTGCACTTGCGGAACGGAATCACGAGGCTTTTTCCACCATAGAATTGGGCCATCAAGCAGCTTTCCACGAGCGTATGTCGTTTGAAAGACGAAGTCATGAATTCCATCCCCTGGCCCGGGGGTGTTCGGAAGTAGAGATAACCAAACTCGAATTGCGCCAGTCGAGGCAGCCCACTCACAACCAACTCCCACCAATCTCTCGATTTTCCTTTTTGCAGCCAGACTTTGAGCGAAATCGCGATTTGGTATGTCGCGGAGTAGACAATGGAAGGGGTCTGCACGTAAAGAACGTCATTGTCCAAGATGAGCTTGGGCTTGTGTTTTTCGGCAATTTCTGCAGGGGTCTGGGGCAGAGGGTTAAACCCAGGGCATGTGAAGAATGATGGCGACCCGATGGATTCAAGGGAAAGAACCAGGTCCTCCTTTTCTCTATCACTGTATTCGGTGTCAGAAAGGCTGCCGTTGCACCCACGAGTAGAAAGGGTATCATAATTCCGCTGGAGCAAGTTCGCTTCGGTGAGTGGTTCGGTGCCACTCAAGTCTATCTTGCTTAGAGGAGTTTCTGCACTGTGCAGAGGAGTTTCATCGGGTACATTGTCAACCGCCGCTCCCTTGCAGTTTAGCGAGAGATGCTCAGATGTAACGCTCGGGGAACCTGGCACAATTGGCTCCAAATCTTGATGCAACGGAATATTCTCAGCCGTCACGCTGATTTTGTCCAGACTGGCAGAACGACTGTCAATGGGAGAGACGTTCTCAGGCATCACGCCGGTTTCTTCCAGACTGGCAGAACAACAGTGAATAATGGGAGGTATGTTCTCAAACAACACGCTAAGTTCATCCAGACTGACAGAACGACTTTGAATTGGAATTGAGCTAACGATGCTCTTGGTGGTGCTAGTGTTCCGGGACACAGGCTCCAGTCCCAGCGACGGGTCGATCTTGGTCATCATAACTTTGTGGCGGGTGCCTTGGTACTCATCGTCAGGAGGGATAGAGTCAGGCAGGGAAGCAGCCTTGGCAGATCTCTTACGAGGGTTGGGTGAGTTCGGGCTACCCAGACTGTTGATCTGGCTCTTGTGAGGGTCAGAAGAGGTTGAGCTACCAGGGCTATCAACCTGGGTGTAAATCCCCGAGGTATCCACCTGAGGATCGTCATCCCGCGAACCATCGTGGACAACAACACTCCCAGATTCAGAAATGGAGACATTCTTGGCAGGGTAACTCTCAGTCTCATCACTGTATTCCTGGACAGGCCGCTGAGCCTCTTTCTCGGGTGGAGTGTCGGTATCATAGTGGGCGGAGTCAGGCTTCAGCCGGATGACCCAAGATGGGGTTTTCACGGTGTTTGGCGATTGGACATTGAGGATTGGTAAGGTCAGGTTGGAATGGCGGTACGTTTGTAGCTGAATTTAGATGACAGTCAGTACTGAGACCAAAAGAGAGGAGTTGAGGGTTGCCTGGTTCTTTAGTGGTACAGTACCTCCATGGCGATTGTGATTGACACTGGTTCTTCTTGGATGCCGCTCCAGTCGCACCACACATCGAGGTTGCTGAGAGGGCTGTCGTTGGGGTCCATGGTGGTTTCCATGGTGGGCTCCATGAGAATGAGATGAAATGGAGATGAAGAGGAACTGAAAGGGAAACTGGTATAAGAGAGCAAAGACGGAGATGGAAAACAAAAGAAGTAGAGAGTAGAAGAGAAGAGAAGAGAAGTTGGAGAGGAAGGGACATCTGCAAACCATGAAGGTAGCAAACAACATTAGGAAGGTACGTAAAGATAGTAAGCCATTGCATTTCCACCTCATACATCATTAAAAAAAGAAAAGACAAGCAGCACTTACAATTAGCCAGTGATACTGCTTTGAAAAAAAAAGGCCTGTATGTACAAGAAGGGCTTAAGAATAATCTCACTTTTCTCCCAATCCCATGAAAGAAAGACCTCCCCCTTTTATATCCGTCAGCGCCTGTAAAAAAAAATGAAAACCTTTAGCCACCCAGTTAAAGCATCAAGCATAAGAAAATAATGAAACACTCCTCCCAGTCTATCGAGACAGAAGAAAAAAAAATAAGATAACATAAAGCCAGAACGTCGAAAACGTCAAGCAAATCATTGGGGCGTTTCATTCGGGGAATCAGGGTGATCAAAGGTTGCTGGGCCGGCCACGGAGCCAAATCGATCGCCTTCGTTGACCATTTGAGATGGAAGAATAGGAGTATTTGCCTGAGGAGTTTGGTCGAAATAAGCTCGCGCGGACCCATTGGTTCCTTGAGGATAGTCGCGATTCCGCTGCAGAGGAGGAAGTATTGTCGAGCTAGGGGGGTATCCGGACCGGGCATATCCCTGAGCTAACATCGCTCCAGTCGAATCTTGGGTCTGTCTCGGGTCCAAAATCCTTAGCTAGGTGTTCTATTCCACACTCTCACTGGTTCGCAGAGGGGTGCCGTACAGGAGTGCCAGGCTGGTTCATCGCCATCAGTTGTCCCACAGCGGCCTGCTGCTGCTGGCTGGATCGGCTTTGACCGGTAGGATCGGGAATCTGGGACATGGGGGCTGACGCTTGCATGCCCGCTGATGCTTGCATGCCGGGGTACATCTATTTACCGAGGTCAGCTCGAAGAGCTCCCAAAATCTGCAAAGGGTTGGGAATACGAACCGCTGCAAAATCTGGCATCACCTGCCCCGTGGAGTAAGTCTGCATGGCGGCAGGCGTTTGGTAGTTTGCTGGTTGGCCAGCGTACATGGCAGCTGGTGGCTGCGTATATGGATCCATTTGACGGGCCATTCGACTATCCACATCATAGATGCCCGGCTGTCTGCCATAGTCGATCGAAGTACGATGACGCTTGACCGGCGGCTGGTAGTAGCTATAATCTCGGGCCGTCGGCGGATAGCCTCCATAGCTAGATGATGGAGGAATCTGCACCGACTGACGCTCCGGGGATCGAGTAGGGACTGGCTGATGGAACTCGTCCGGTCGTGTGGTTCGTTTCCTGCGGCTGTTAACTACACGGCTTCACATTCCCATAGGTTCATAGCACGTACAACATGGTCCGAGGCTCCTTCCGAATGCGCAATTTCACACCTTGATCCGCAAATGATCGGGAAAGGTGGGTTGACTCCATCATTCCGGGGAAACTCTTGGGAGGGGAGACTGCAAGCTTGTCAGAACCCAACCATTGCTAGCTCTCTCCACGGCACAGATTCTTACCTGTGAACCGCTCTGAAATAACGGTCCTCAAATAGGAGACACGGTCCCTGTTGGCTCTTTGTTAGCTATTTAATCCAGACTAGGCTCCCGACCGTGCTACTCACTTTCGCATCTCGAACAAGGTGAACTTCAGGCGAAACTCGCCCTCAATCTTCACCGAGAGATCTCCAAAGACGAAGAAGCCTCCATCTACAACACCAGTCAGTGAAAAAGTCCGACTTTCAAGACAAGCCAGAACTAACCGCTGTTGTCCACGTCCTTCAACCGGTGAAGGGACGAAACTAGGGTTCCTGCTAATGCAGTCGATGGTGCGACGGGCACGGGACGCTCTTCTGTTGCATCGTACAGACTGCAGCACATGAAATAGTAAGGGCTTTGCAGGTAATGCCTGCGCCAAAGTCAGCCACCCGCGCAAAGCCACAGTGAAAGCACACACTTACTGTGCGAGGTAGGTGCCCTCCTCTCGCACCCTGAGCTGGACGATCGGGGGCGGATCGATAGGTTTGCGCTCTGCAGGCACCATTAGATCCAGTTCCTTTTTTGTCAGTCCCGCGCGTCCCCGCTTCACAGAGGGGGACTAGCTAGGAACAAGAGAGGGAGAGAAAGAGGGAGCTTCCACGTACCTTTTTCCTTGCCCCCCGCCACGCGGGCCCGATTGGGCTGCTGGCGAATGATCAAGTCAAAGTCAGAACTGGTGTTGTTCAACATTGTCAGTGGGATTCCCTGGACGACCGCGTAAGAGTTGCGACCCTGTCGAAGTAGACACGGGAAGAACGACTCACCCCTGAGCTTCGCGCGAGAGAGAGGCGTCGGAGAATGTCGCACTCATCAAGACGAAGAGTCACAGACAAACAAGGAAAGGTGGAGAGAACCCCCAAATTTTGAGGTTGCTTTGAAAGGCACCTGCGCAGTGAACCAGCAGATACGAAAGTCGATCCTCGGGAATACAGAGACCAGGTGAAAGTGATCTGTGGTTTACAAGGTAAAGAGTGGGAAAGGAAAGGAAGGAACGGGTCTTTGGACCGAAAGAAATCCAGTCAGAGAAGATAAGGACAGGCTGGGAAAAGAGTCACGATGTCGTCGGAGAGGGGTGGCAGCTGTAGTGGGGTAATGATTTTTTTCTGGTCGGACTTTCAACCATGGAAGAGAAGACAAATGAAGGACACCAAGCCAGAGATAGAGAGAGTGAGTGAGAGATGGATGTGTCGAAGGTGACGAAAACGGAGTGGTGTCGTCAGTTCGCAAGCGGAAAGAGCCAACCGAACACGGTTCCAGACAAAAACCTTAAGCTCTCTTTTTTTCTGGTATAACGGCCGCCCGAGATAGATATTCCGGCTGAAATCTAAAAAGAATTTATCAATAAATTGGGGGGAAAAGGGAAAAAAAATGATTCAAATTCAGAAAAAAATTCAGAAAATCAATTGGATCACAGGCTTCCAAATCTCCCAGTCTTGAACAAATCAGATTCCAGAATCCCACAAAAAAAAAAGGAAAAAAGGAAAAAAATCAACTAACCCAATGAATTATCCAGGATTTTAATTTAAAAAAAAAAAATCCAAAAAAAAAAAAAGAAAAGGATACCAAAAATAAGAGATCCTCAAAATACTACCACAGTAGCAATCTCTTCAAAAACGAGAGCAGCTGAGCTGAAGTGGATAAAGACCAAGTGTGACTGCCTTGGGAAAAGGAAAAACCCCAAAAAAAAAAAAAAAAAGAAGGAATTTAAACCGTAGACGGAAGAAAAGTGGAATAGGTTCAGCTACCCACGGTTGAGGGGGGCGAATGGCGATCCGGATGCGCAGTAAACTTCTGGCTTTCTTCTCTTTCTCGTTGGTCCGAAGAAAAAACGGCGAACGGCTAGTCCGTTAGTCCGCGTCTGTTTCTTTATGATCATAAAAAAACCCACAAGGTTGGCGCCGGCTATGCAGGTGATCAGACCCGGTTTTCTTGTCGGCCGTAATGGGTGTTGGTCTAAACGCCAGGTGGACTCGGGCCCAGGTCCGGCGTCTAAGCATCCCAGTCAAAAGTGGAGATATGCACGATCAAGCCGCATCGCCTATGTCCGGGGGTTGCTCCTGTGTCTCCACACTCCGATCTCAATCCTGCAATGATTAGCCTGGATGTTCAAACAGTATCAAGAAAGCACATTTTGAAGCTCAAGGACTTCCCAAGGCGGATATAGCTGCCGCCTGTCAACGAAGGCTCCAACCATGGTTGGGTAGCTTCCTTATGTCATCCCGAACCAAAGAATACCTTCAGGCCCTAGGACCTCCCACATTCGCTTGGGCATCCCTGAACAAACAAACAAAATTGAAGAGACAATACCTTTTTTTTTTGATGCCCTGGATGCTCCTTGCTGTGATAAATCTAATACTCGAATACCGCGCGTGGATTCTTCAATTGCAGCGTTGCGGTTGCGTGTACCGCTTGAAGACGCAAATGTCGAAGCTCAAGGTGAAAGGACTCAATGCACGCGCGTTCAAAGACTCAGGTCCGACACACTCAAAGATTGACAAAATTATCGAGATGATCCCCACAGTCACAGTCACAATCGCGTGCAGTGGCACGTCGTAAAGCCCCAGAGCGCTGGTCGAGCACCTTATTCCGATCCGAGACGACGAAAAGATACATGCCGGGTCATGATGCGACAGTGGGAAGCAAGAGAGGAAAGAAAGAGTTGAGTCAAGGAAAAAGCGAGAAGGAAAAACCACACGGCAGCACGGGACCAGGACTCGGACAAGGCGTTTAAGGGGGAAATGCAGCCACGTACAACACACCACTGCATCACTGTACGCAGGGCTTTCCCCGCGACGCGTCACATTTCCTGAAAGGCATGCAGGCCCAAGATCTGATGCAAGCTACTGTATGTCGACTGCAGTTGGGGGACGCTGGTTGGTTGCATCAGCCGGAAATCCCCTTGATCAAGCTATAGGGTGGGGGGCAGCATGCATCAGCCAACGAAACGAAGGAAAAACACATCAATGCCGGAGACTGGTTTGGGGCAGTCCTGCAGCTTGCAGATCGGGCGTTCATCATGATAAAAAAAAAAAAGAACCGGTACTTTCTAGTATGGACTACGGGGTCTGCTTTGCGCCACACTCGCTGACCCTCGATTTGCAGCTGAGGATGTACGGTACTTCCCCCCCCTCCTTTTCAGTCATCTTTCAGGTGGGTTTGGCTGCATCGGTAGTGCATAGGTGGATCCCACATCCTAGGGCATTAGTCGCTGCGTCTTGCCGAGGGACTTGCATTCCACACTATTTGGGCATAGGGGCCGCTTGTCCTTTTCGTTATCAGGACCTTTTCTTGCAGGATTCGCAAAGATCATCCCAAATCCTAGCCTGCATGCAGATATTCTCGGGTCCGAGTTGGGATGGCATCACGACGATAATCATCGCTCGCCAAAATGTGATACGGAGGGCTGCAGGTGTAGTTGGCTATGACAAGCATTCCTGTCACGGTTCACCTACCTCCGCATCATGGGAGCTTTGATAGCAGCGATCATATGCAAGGGTGAGGACAGCAGGAATCAAGTTCGATCAGAGGGCGCCGATCAGCCCGACAAAAGTCCGGGCCTCAATATTGAATGATGCAGCCAGAGTGATATCGGTATTGGCGAGTCACTTGACTGGAGCAGATGGGACCCGCTGTGGGGGTTTCCAACGCCAGTACTCAGCTTCCAGAGAACAGCGTCTGCGATTCGCTAAACTGACAAGTACAAGCTGACAAAAAGGGGGGGATCGAATAAGGAAGACAAGGGGAAAAAAGTAAAAATGAGGGGGTGGAAAGCGGGAAAACACACTCAGGGTACGGGCATTTTTGATGGCCTGACTGGGTCTGCGCTGTGGTTCTTACCCATTGCATCATGCTCAGGCGAGAAGTTCCTGGGAATGCAGTTGATAGGCCCGAAAAAAAACTCACAGCCCTAGATGCACATCATTATGCGACAAGCAAGCCCCAGCGCTGGGAGCACGACCTGTCACTTCCTTTTGACTTCCGGGATTCGGCCCCGGCGCCAGGACACAAGTCCCAAGTCTTGATCTTGGTCATGGCGGGGAAAGCCACCATGTCCTCTGTTGGAGAGTCATGATTCAGTGGAAACTAACTAGCATGACTCGTTCCAGAAGACGAAATAATTGGACGAAGGGTGGGTGTGATACTGGTGCTAACAAGTAGGGACACGAAGAGAGAAAAGAAGAAAAGAAAGTTCGAGTGCGAAAATCGAAAAATTAAAAGTGACCGCCAAAAAGGAAGCGAATTTTTCGAATTTTTTCCAATTTAAAAGTACAGCGCACACCCTGGCCCAAAATCCACTGCGGCCCCGATTGGAAAAAAAAAACTGGGAACTTGTTAGTGTCGGGGATGTTCTATTGACTACAAAGTACAATAATAATAGGACCAAAGGGAAAAAGAAAGCCTCAAACGGACCCGTGGAGAACAATCCAAAAAAGGCCAAGTAGTCACGAACCCCTGTTCGGCACTTCAACACACAAAGTGGCCGAGGGAAAAGGAGGAAGGGGGGGGGGATGGAGCACTACTGAAGAGCGTACTGGACGGGGCGGGATAGGGAAATTTTAGACTCACGGAAGATCGGTGTGGAATTTATTATTGGAGATTAACTCAGCGAATTACGCAGTCAAAGCCAAAAAAATCCATCCAGGGCGCATATCTGACAGCGGCAATCTCCATTGAGAACCAGTGGTTAAGAGCTGCTAGGTGGGCGCTACTGTGTTTATGCTTAAATGTTGGCCAGTGATGGTCCCATGGTGGTTTGGGGCCCGTTCCATGGTTGTGTTCCCTCCCTGACAGCTGTCCGGTCCGTGTTGGCGCCGTGGCCGCCGATCTTTTTTGTCGATCGGTGCTTTGTCGGGACTACTACGGAGTATAAATTGGTGTCTACTATATTATTATTGCACTACTCCGTAAAAGGTATGATCTTGTTATTCTTTCTGATCTATATGATCCCTCAAAATGCTAGTTGGTATCACTCGTACTCCATATTGGGAAGCCGATGCCACCGTCCACGGGTATCCTAATGCAAATCTCACCTTCCTAAAACGGTTGGTCTGAAATCCTTCCGTTGTGGGATACTCGATAGACTCATGCATGATCGTGATTCTCATGATTATTGCTTGATGTTTCGGTGTACTCCGTATTTTCGGTCGACTAAGCCCATTGTGAGTCTACTGCAAGGGTTATACAGAGTAATTCGTACTTTTGCTGGACAAGAATAGTGGGCCGCTTATGCCGCCTTGTCAAGGATTTTTTTGGTGGTCTTTTATGGTAGTCTTCTCAGACAGTCTTCTCAGACAGTCTTTTTAGATGTCTTTTTATATGCCTTTTCTAGTGATACTTTTTGTTAGTCTCCTTGGGTAGTCTTTTTACATGTCTCTCAGATCTTCTCAGATAGACTTTTTAGATGTCCGGTTTTATACATATCCCCCCCCCCTTCTCAGTCTGTTAGGTAGATGGCGGAAAAAGGCAGAAAAAGGCGGAAATAGCCTTAAAATGTGAAAACAATGTATAATCAGGGGTATGTGCAGCAAGAACCCCTAGTGGAACACATCAGATGAGCGACAGATCAGCCACAGCTATTGAGATCAAGTATTACGTTTTATTCCTCGTATACGAAAAAGTGCTACGACTACGATTGGCTATTAGGTCTAGATAAAAATATTATTGTTAATCTTCTCCAGTTTCGGCTTATCTAACAGATCTCTCCTAACTATCTCCAGGGCTTGACGTTTTCAACCGGCATGCAATGCGCGACATGATACTTAATCTTAGATATATCGTATGCAAGGCACAAATCTACTCCGTAAGTACACTAGAGAAAAAAGCTACCCAGTAATTGATACATTGACATAAGACATGCTAATCACACACTGTACTCATTCGTCGCAACTAGATAGAAAGAGAAAAGAAACACCCAAGCAAAAAAAAAACTCCAGACACCCCCATCCCTGCTCCGTGCTGGATGAAATCCCTGAAAAAGCGACTAGTAGTAAATGGACCAAAGAGGATCGACGAGTGCCACATGACACTCCTGTCGCCCCTGGACACCCACTTAGCGTAACGTAGCCTTCGAACAAGAAAAGAAATGGAGAAAGAATATTAAATCAAACGGTGGGATAATGCAGTTCCCGGGGACACGTGAAAGGAAAGAGAAGGGAGAAATAAAGGAATCAGAAATTTCGTTAAAACAAACGCCCTGTCCACATGCGTAACTTGCTTTGCAGGCAAAAAAAACCCCCTCGGATCAGAAGCTTCAAGATCATCATGTCTGCATCACGACATCCCCATCCACTTCGTACTCGGCGTCAACCTCTGCATCCGCATCTGCGTCTGCGTCTGCGTCTGCGTCTGAATCTGCGTCGGTGCCAATGGTATTGGCCACGGCCTTTTGGTCCTCACCTTTGCCTGGTGACTTGGAAGCAGATCCTGGCTCAGCGGGAATCATAACGTGAACCTTCTCGACCAAAGCCTTCCGGTTGACTGATCGCGGTGTCTTGGGGTTATCGTTGGATCGACGGGACACTGCTGTTCCAGGTGACCTCGAGATAGAGTTGGTCTTTTTCTCGGGCGTCCTGGGTGCTTCCGTGTCCTTGTCCTCGGATGGCTCGGACTCGGCAGCATCAATGCCATTGGTCTTGGCAGGTTCCTTTTGGGCAACATCTCCATTGACACGCTCCGGTTCTTTGTCGCTCGCGTCTGCGGCTTCTGCGGGTACAGGGGCCATTTTCTCGGCATCCTCATCAACGAGAGCTTCTTCCTCAACAACTTCGCTCTGCTCCAATTCAAGACCATTGGCCTGGCTAGGTGTTGCTTCAGCTGCGGGCGAGCCCGTGAGGATAGAGCTTCTCCCACGACGAATGCTGCCTCCAGGGGTGACCATTGCCAGCCCGGAGGGTCGTCGAGGTGTGTTGCGACCGCTATTACGGGCAGGTGTGGGTGTCATTGACATGTTATTGAGTTTGGTGCTACCAGATGGGCGACCAGGTCTGCGTTTGGGGGGTGCTGCGGGAGGCACAGGAGGCCAAAGTTCGAACCGGGAGGGTGGGATTCCAGCTGCAGGGTTGGGGATTGCAGGTGGTTCAGAGGTGCCCGCTGTAGAATGGTGGGAGCCATGAGGTGCAAGAGACAATGTGGAAGGCGGTCCAGCGGAGTCTGCGAGAGTGTCTCTATCCGACGCATTCGCCATTCGGACATTGCCCGCATAGTCGGTCGCTCTTGCCTCGGTCTCATCTTCATCTTCATCCGGGTCCTCTCGGGGGGCGACGGTATGTATGGGAGCACGATCGAAATGCGACTGGTTACTACGACCCATAATGTAAGGTGTCCAGAGCAGCGCATCTGGGTTGAGCTGGATGTAGCCCTTGCTTTCCCAGCCACTGATGACCTCGTTGTAATATTTGTGATCGAGACGGATGGCGTACGTCTTGGTGATTGGATCCCGCACGAGAGCTCGAAGTCCTTCCAGAGCAGATACAATGTCATCTGCCGTCATTCCGGTGCGATCAGACAGATCTGCAATGCTGACAGGCGTCTTCAAATCACGAAGTTGGTATGACAAAATCAATCGCCAGTAGTTCCGGTACGACACCAGACCCATGTCGGAGAGCGGCTTCTCGGGCGATCCATTTTTGCCTTCAATTCGGGTAAGGAGGTATGAGAAGTCGATGAGGAGGTTTCCGTAGCCTTTGCGTTGATGGATGGGTAGAGTAAGAATGCAGGAAACATTGTTCGCTGAGCTTGGACGTTTTTCTTTGCTGAAGTAGCCGACGAAATGGCAGCCCAGATCATCGTACTCAGTCATGACATAGAATAAGAACGGTTCAACGTCATAGTAAAGAGTCTTGGAGCCTAGGAAAAGTTTTGCGAGAAGGCAAAGATTTTGACAGTACACCGGGTTCTTGCGCCCATCAACTTCGAAGATTGAGATCGATCGATCTCGATAAATTTCGTCACCGGGAGGATGCTTCGCAGGGCACTTAAGTTTATGGCGCCAGGCGACGAAGTCCGAGTTCATGTACTTGAGACAGAACTCGCAAATGTACAGAACACGATTGCGGCTGTATTCCTCCGGGTAAGGCGCTGCATACCAAGTTTCGATTTCGTAGCCACCGAAGTTGATAGATTTGATCTTTGAAGGAGGACCAGAAACCTTTTGTGATGCATGCGGGGTGGCTTCGCCATTGAGTTCTGCTTCCTTCACTTTCTGTTGCCATTCATCTTCGGCTTTCAGACGCGCCTGTTCGAATCGGTCGCGATCGAATTGTGTGGGGAGTGTCCTGGATGTGTCTTGTTCGATCTCGGACAGAATGCCTCCATATGGTTTTGATTTGGCGTCGTCGGTTTCACGGTCGAACAAAGTCATGGAGTTGTAGGATATGGGGGGAGGGGAACGAAATGTGCCTGGGGTTCTGGGGCCACAGGTGGTGGCTTTGGTGCTTTCTTCTTCTTGCGTTGCGGTCGGATTTGAGAGCCTGTTATTTTAGATATTTTTGTCTCTTCCAGCCGGAACCCAATAATCAATTTCCCAAACTGCCTAGATACCACGCGGCAGTGCTCCCGGTCCACTGCACGAGTGCGTCGCACGCGTACAGAACGTGTCCGAGCAGGAGAGTGGACATCACCATCAGCAGTGGCATCCCCGCCCTCCAAGGCCGCATCGTTCAAAATCGGGTGATCGGAGCGGAAAGATGTTTGTCGAAGTCTCTTGCGAAGCACAGGTGTGTGCTCTTCGCCCTCGATTGACGAGGCCTTTCGTTTGCGTAGCGATCGCGAGCTATTGAGCATCTCGTCGTCGACGCCTGTTTCAAAGATAGAATGAAATCCCTCGTCATGTGTGCCAGCGTGCGCAGGTAGAAGCTCTTTGGGAAGGGCTGAGGCTCCGAGTCCGGTTTCTGTCGCTGGATTTGCTATCGTGTCGGGCTCTAGATTGTTATGAACACAGCTAGGACACCTCCATGGGTCTAGGTGTTGCGATGTTAGTACGTGTAATAAATCAAAGAGGCGAGAAGTGATGAGATAGAAGTCAATGACCATGTGGTTGCGTACCTTCCGTTTCATCATATGCTTCTTGTTCGCGAGCGCATTGCCGATGAGCTGTTGGGGTATCGAGTCAGCGATGGTCCAACATAACCGGGGAAAAGGGCAAACGGAGCGAGACGTACAGTGATCACCACACACAACACAAGTGAGCCATTCCTCAAAATCTTCACTTGGATCGTGTTCCTCGTCTTGACTGCAAACCCTATTGGTACGTTATTAGTACCTGAACGTCCTAATTCTGCGTCCAGTGCTGCATCGAGCCCTTCCACTTACAAGCAGTTTGAGCCACTACGGATATCAGTTTCGACATCCTCGCGGCCATTACTCTCAGCTTCCCAGTCTTCGGCTTCTGACTCGTGGTCACTTGATTCAGGTTCTGAAGCGTCGCGGTCATTTGCCTCAAACCCGGGATCGGCATCCGCGTCGCCTGTCTCAGACTCCGCATAGTCTCTATAGTCTTCTTCAGAACCTGCGTCGTCGTCAGGTAGCTTGACAGCTCCAACAGGCTCGTCCTCGTCATTGTCGTCATCGTCTTCTCCCTTCAACCCATTGACGCTTGAGTTGTTTCCATCCGCACCTTCCTCCGGGCCATCCCCATCAACTTCTCCAGTGTATGCTCGGTGAACGGCATCTTGGAGCTGTTGATCCATTTCATACAAGTCGGTTTCTTCTTCGCCCTCCGCATCTAGGTCACTATCGGCCGGGTCCACAGGCGGGTCGAGTTTGCCCGGTTCATCGTTTGCTGGCGGCACCGTCGCCGCCATAGTGAAAGTTACCGCCACCGCCAGGTTGAGCACAGCAGTGCTTCTTGTATGCGCTCAGGCTGACTGAGGTATCCTTTTCGTGAAAGAAGCTTAAACCGATTCGGCTACAGAAGCACCCCGCTGACGTCGGCGCTGATCCGGGGGTGCATCTGGCTCAAAAGCGGGTTCGGGGCTGGTTGGAGTAGTACTGAAGATATTTAGGAACAAAAGTATCGTTCAGGATTGACGCTCAAAGTCTCCAGGCGCAAAGTTGAAGCTAAACAAACAAGAGGTGTCAGTCCGCCGCTGGAGTGGCTAGGCATCGCAAGCGCGTCGCAAAACAGAGAAAACTCACCCCAAGAGAAACCAGTGCAATCTTTGATTTAAAAGCGTACCAGACGCGTCAACGGACAGTCCATACACCGGGGCCTGTCTCTTTTACAATCGAATGCGATCTGCAGCGGCCTTCACGCCCCTTGTCCTGTGAGTGTCGTTCCAGCGCGCTGAGTCAGCGCAGGCTAAACCACTTTGGGTGGAGGAGACCTCAATCCCGTCGCTGTAGGAAGAGACACTCCCCTCCACACTCTCCGCGATCTATCTACTCTCCTCAGTCCGTGAGAGACTTTACGGTTCTTGATTCTACTTCGACACCTCTTTCCGATCATCCACATACCCATACAACCGCACACCATGGGTGTCCCTTTTGAGGCCCTGCTTCCCTATGGGATTATCATGACCGTACGTACCATTGGTCAATGCCTTCCGGGACTATAGCTCACCAATTGCTACAGATGTTTGGCGTGACTGGTTACGGTCTTCACTACGTCAAGCGCTTTGCCAACGATGGCAAGAAGGCGCGCTGGAACCAGGACCTGTGGGATAGAGTAAGTTGTTCCATCCTTGTCGGCTGCGGTCGGAACTTGCATAAAGCACATTGGCTAACAATTTCACAGCAAAGTGAGTAATTACAACCTTATCGGCCGACCCCAAAGCGCCTGGGGATATTATATATGAGGCTAACCCCGACCAACAATAGTGATGGAGAGAGATCAGCGCATCACAGGCTCATTCCGAGGGCAGTCCAGCAACCACCAAGCACCCACCGGATTCGAAGTCAGCAACCCATGGAAGGTACGAATTACATACGCTGTGTCCCTTGGGATTCCAGTCTCCATCCAGAAATGCTGACCCGAGATATAGATCGAGAACCGGATCTACTAGTTTCAAAAATTACCACCTCTTTTCCTTTACGTTCAATGTCTGCGCCTTCCTTACTCTGTGATCATACATATCCACTGCAACTACAATTTCTTTAGAAACATTGTACCATACTCTTTACAAGAATAGTCGGCCGCTTATGCGGTCTCTGTCCTTGACGACGTAAGACTTTAATAGTCTAATCTATTAGGACCAAGATGGTATTAGGGATATTATATGTAAGAAACCTCCGGTGTCTTTTTATATGTCTTTTTTGATGTCTGTTTTTATATATATTTTCTCCCCCATCTCAGGTAGACGGCGGAAAAAGGTGGGAAAAGGCCAAAAATGTGAAAACAACTTCCTATGTATAACCAGGGATTCTAGTAGTCCGCTCACTCTACTTGAGCTCCGAGGTCATTCCCCGAATACCTTGGATCTCATTCTCACGAAGGTGCATATCGAAATACTTAGCCAGGGCCTTGACGCGGTCCTCTTCAGTCTCCATCACCTGCAAGACCTCCGTTTGCCCGCACAATCTCTCCTTGACTTCTTTGCCAGACATAACGCACTGACCGATGATCCCTGTGCCACCTTGGTCCAAAATCATTCGCATGCAGACAAAGACCTGGGTGAACCAGCTAGTTCGGCTCTGACTGACGGAGAAGTTCATAACCCCGAAATCCTGCGGTAGGAACTCCACGTCGGAAAAGCAGATTTGTGGCAACCACTTGCTTTCCGGGTTGTATCTTGTTTGGTAGATCCAGAGTTTTTGGCTCGGGTCCGTGAACTCGGCAATGCTTTCTCTGACAATACGCATCTCGGACGGCGCGATGGCCGTAGCAGTAGCACCTTCTTGAAGTAATAGTGGAGCAGTGGCACAATTGTTTCCAAAGCCGACATCAACCTGTCCATATCCGTTAGTATCCATGGGGTAGCTGCAGTAGATCCTCATGGCCATACCATGTATTTCTCTCCTCCAATAATGACAATCAAAACCATATGTCCACTTCGCCGGATCAATGGTGTTAACTCAGCTCGAAAGCGCAGAATGCTAATGTTGGAGAACTTACAACGACAAATATAATCCATTATCCAAACCCTTCGCCGCAGCATGACTGACTCTACCTCCAGTGGCGTAAACAAGATACCCCAGGGACCGCAAGACAATAAAGAAGAGTCCCGTATTCTCCATGCAGTACCCATCTAGCTGCCGCTCCACCATCTTCTCAAAGAGACTCTGCGGGTTCAGAGAGATAGTATGATGTTGCGAGTAATGCAGCCCTGAGTTGCCCCATGGAATGGCAGTGAGGTGCCGCCGTTGCAGATTACACAGCGCAGAAAGTGCATCGTTCTCAATATCTTGGCGGAGATGCTGAAGAAGGTTGCCCTCTGGTTGAGCGGTGTTCTCGGATTGAGCGGAGTGGGTGTACCTGATGCGGTTCAAGTATAACTCTAGTTGTTGATTGGTATATGTGGGTTTTGGTGGTGTCATTGTTGGGACTCCTATTGCTGTTTGGGTTTCTGTGCTTGAGGGGGGATATATGAATTATCTATATCCACTCATGATTGAAGATCGGAATTATTCCATTCCCTCCCTTGGTTGCCGTTTTGATGACCAATATTACCTTGGCTCCCCACACTTTCCCGTCCAAGGTTGCCTTCGCGACAGCACACTTTATAGTGGTCGGCAGGGAATACCCGTTTTCTGTGCGCAATATATCTGTAGACTACTCAGACTTGGGGGAATCGAATTGCATATCCATGTGGTTATCGTTTATAGCTGTTATTGCTGATAGCGTAGAATATGCCCATCTGTTTATATTTGTAGTGCTACTCGCAATACTTTATTTACAACGAAACAAGGTCCAGAAGGCAGATTCCAAATTAAAGAAGCATCCATGGATGTTACATCGTAAATGCTCTCCTCTCCCGGCCTTAAACCGGCGGGGTAAATAATTCCAGAATATCGGCAATGGAAGACACAAATCACGGTACTTGCAGTACTAAAAAAAAACAATATATTTCTGCGCTATATTTAAGGTAGTATAATGTCCCGAGAATAATCAGTTAGTACCCCACGTTTCCTGCAAGCTGTGCATGCGGGTGACAGGTTATTATTATCTATCACCTCGGGTATGACCGCACCTGAGGAACAGAATTATCCAGACATAATCGTGGAAAATATAGAATTTGATTATAGCCAGTGTCTCAATGTCTCAAAGCTAAGCAATAAACTGAAACGCGCCTTTAAACGCTCCAAGTTATAGATATCCGATGATGTAGTATTCATCCGATATCCGGACCTACGGACATGTGCTTCGACGATTAGCGAATGGACCTTTGGCTCTTCACATTTCTCTATTACTAAGGTTCTTGTCTAAATTCTGCTTTATACAGTCCAACTATCTATACAAATTCAACAGCACATTGCCCCTCCCACCGTGAACCCCGCATCTGAACATGGCTACACTGAACGAGCAACTTGCGACATTAATCGAGAACTTCTCGCCCTGCGATGTATGCCAGTGTTGCTTTTCCATACCAAGTCATCGAACCACTGAATGCATCTAACATTCTAATTCCCCAGGTATCAGACGCCCTCATCAAGCTACAAAAGACCCCCGAGGGCAGCACAGCAAGAGCAGGCTACCTCGCAGATCTAGGTAAGCCATCAATACCAAACTCCCCACCAAAGCCTCTATATATAGCTCCAATAATCCCACTCACATATATCAACCAGTGCCATTCTCTCCCACAACAGGACGGAATGAAACAATGCCCAAGATTGCCGCCCCGGCAACGACATTCAAATTTCTAGCCAAAGACACCAGCCCACCATCAATCGCGACAGAAAATCCCCAGAAACACGGTTTCCCGCCGGGTAAGCACTGGGTAGATTACGTCGGGGAATTCCAAGCGTCGGATCCTTCCGGCGCCGGATCCATCGTCGTCATCGAGCAGCCGGAGAACCAGTACTGCGCTGTGACGGGCGGGATCATGGCGACCCGGATGAAAGCCCTCGAGATCAAAGCTACGGTTGTGGGTGGGCGTGTTAGGGACTTGAAGGAATTAAAGGCTACTGGACTTCCGGTTTGTTGTGATCTCTCATGGTTTTGTTGGTTGTATTACTGATTGTTTTTCGCTTGATTATAGATCTGGGCTCGTGCTACTTCTACTGTTGGCACCAATGCCGAGGCCAAGGCTGGTGCTCGTGATGTGCCAATTTCTATTGGGGGTGTTACTGTTTCACCTGTGAGTTACAGCTCCTGTGTTATGTGCTGATTGCTCTATGTGGAGTTCAGGGTCTAATATTGCAATGCATTACAGGGAGACATCATCTTCTGTGATCCCTTGGAAGGAGTAGTGGCGATTCCTCGCGAGCTGCTTGACCAGGTGCTTGAGCTCATGCCTAAACTGACTGCAATGGATGAGCTGGCCAAGGAGGCTGTTGCGCAGGGAATGAGTGCCACTGATGCTTTTAAGAAATTCCGCTGATGGCATACTTCCAACCGAATGTATATACATACAACCAGATTATATAGTAGGCGACGAACTGGAAAGACCTGGACATACAGAAGCACGTATAGGGAATCTACAGCAGTATTACTATCAAATGTGAAACAGATATGTAGACAAGCATATATATGCAGTTCAAATCTTTTGGTATTCGAAATATTCAATACATAATGAGAAATCTGTGCATCTGAATTAGAAAAAAAGGGGCTAAAAAGCCAAATCGCTGTGCAAATATACAATCGAAACACGTCTCGTTTACTCCGACACCCAGACAGCGGCCATACCCATACCAGTACCGATACACATGCTGGTGACACCAATCTTCTGGTTTGTGCGCTTGAGCTCAGTGAACAATGTGCTGACCTGGCGAGCACCAGTGCAGCCAAGAGGGTGACCGAAAGCAATAGCACCACCCTTGGGGTTAACCTTCTCGGCAGGAATGCCGAGCTCATTAACACACCAGACACACTGAGACGCAAACGCCTCGTTGATCTCGTAGATGTCGACATCATCCTTGGTGATGCCGGCCTTCTCAAGTGCAACGGGAATAGCCTTCCAGGGGCCGACTCCCATGAGGAGGGGCTTGACGCCGACGACGCTGGCAGCGACGTACTTTCCGAGGATCTTCTGGCCCAGACGCTCGGCGGTGGAGCGCTTCATGAGGAGGACGGCGGCGGCACCGTCGGAGATCTGGGAGGCGTTACCGGCGTGGATGGAGCCGTCCTTGGCGAAGGCAGGCTTGATCTTGCCCAGGGACTCGGCGGTGATACCGGGGCGGATACCGTCGTCGGCCTTCACGGTGATGGTCTTCTCCTCGCCGGTCTTGGGGTCGGTCCACTTCACGTCCAGGGGAGCGATCTCCTCGTCGAAGAGACCGGCCTTCTGGGCAGCGAGGGCCTTTTGGTATGAGTGGGCGGCGAAAGCGTCTTGGGAAGCGCGGGTCACGCCACGGTCCTTGGCCATGTTCTCGGACAGAACACCCATGGGGACCTTACAGTTTGCGGACTCAGGGTGGCTCTCGAGGAGGTCGGAGAACTCAGTCACGGCACCGGGTCTGTATCAACTAGTTAGCCATGTTATCGAATGAGGGAATTCCGGGGCTTGAAACATACCCGTACTGAGAGGACATGCTCTCAACACCGGCGCCAATGCCGACATCGATCATGCCAGACTGAATGGCGTTGGCAATATCGGCGATGGCCTGGAGACCGCTAGAGCACTGACGATTCAAGCTCTTCACGGCGGTGCTCTCGGGGAAGCCAGCCACGAGAGCGGCGGCACGGAACTCAGTGGCACCACCACCGGGGGCAAGGACGGAGCCGACAGCAATGTCCTGGACGGCACTGGGGTCAACGCCGCTCTTGTTCAGAACAGCCTTGAAGACACCGGCAAGCAGATCAGCACCAGCGGTATCCTTGAAACCACCCTTACCACCCTTGGTGAGGGCGGTGCGGAGGGCACATGTCACGACAATGTCATCGGGGTGCTTCTCGAGGATCGCGGCGGCTCCCTTCTTGCCACCGGGGCCGAAGTGGGAGGAGACCTGGTTAAGACGTTGCTGGGCTATAGACAGAAATTAGTTGGCTGGTTCTATTTCGATTATAACTTGCAACAAGCCACCAGAAACCAAGTATTCCGTTGAATACATGGCCATGGGCTGTCACATGCATAGCACTCACCGTTAGACATGACGTCAATGTGCGATGAAGGTATAGGAGAGGGATGAGGAGGAAGAATGGGGCAAAAGTGAGGATCAGAAAGTAGCCCAGATATCCGGGGAAACGTTGGTTTATAAATCAGGGCCGTGGAATCGGTGGTATTTCCCCTTTGGACGGCCGTTGCTGGCCACTGTTGCATCCTCAGAAAGTACCGAGGTCCATTTAGCCGCATCATCGTTGATCCGTGACAGTCACGGGATCTCCGACTGGTCGATCATGGGGCATGTGAAATCGTATATCACATGCGGATGTTTTGCGACGTCATGTAAGTAGATCAGCTCGGCATAAGATTGTTCATAATTTGGATATGTTTTCAATTGTTGTGTGCACAAACATTTTACTCCGAAGCATATTTCAATATAACATCAATATGTCCACGGATAAGGAACCTTGGACCGGCTAAAATGTTAAGGTTTTTTTGATCCGTCTGTACTCAGGTACATTCATAAATCAAGAAAGGGCAACTTCCCATAATCAACTCCCCTGATAGCTCAGCTGGAAGAGCGCAAGACTGTAATTGTCCTGTTCTGCAAAGAACCTGTCATCTTGAGGTCCCTGGTTCGATCCCGGGTCAGGGGATTTTTTTTATTGTCTTTGTGTATTTTTGTGCTACATCAGACTTGCTATCTGGTGGTGGTCGTTCAGTTCACCACGACCTACTTTGATCCAACACAATGGCCACAAACTCCCATATGGTCGCGGATATCAACATCCTGTCTGAATTTCTCAGCGACAATCAACTACCCGATCTCTCCACCACATCCCCAGTCGACTGCATTGTCATATGCGCCTCAGCCGTTCTTCACAGTGCCGAGGTCCTCTTCAAGACTCTTCAGCAAAGACCATCTCTTACCAGAGCTCTCGTACTGTGCGGTGGCATCGGGCACTCGACCGAGCTTCTTTATGATGCGGTGAGATCTCATCCAGTCTTTTCACGGATCGCTGATGAGATCCAAGGTCTCCCTGAAGCCAAAGTTCTCAACCGAATTCTAGATGAGTTCTTCGATCGATCTCTCATCACCAAAGAAGGTTGTGAGATTCTCCTTGAACCCCGATCTACGAATTGCGGACAGAATGCTTCATTCTCTCGCAAGGTCCTCGATGAAGCGGGCTTTCAGGCACCAACCACTTGCATTGTCATTCAAGACCCCACGATGATGCTCAGGACCAAGGCATCGTTTGAGAAGGTTTATGAGGGTATCCAATCTCCAGTCTCGGTTATTAGTTGCCCGGTATTTGTGCCGCAGGTGCAATTGTCCCGTGACGGAGTCATTGAGTATTCAGACATATCGCCGCCTTCAGAATTGTGGTCACAAAGTCGGTTTCTGGAGCTGATCATGGGCGAGATACCGAGGTTGAGGGATGATAAAGATGGTTATGGTCCTAAGGGGCGTGGTTTCATTGCTCATGTGGATGTTCCAAGCCATGTTGAGGCAGCTTGGTCTCGACTACAAGTTGTGGCTAAGAGCTCTAGATAGCATTATGAAGACATCGAGTGCAGATAGAACACAAAACAGAGACATTGTATGTATGTATGTATTGGAATATTTGACTACAATAGTATGGGAAATATGGGAACCGAGGCATCAACATGCAGATCCCGTGCATGGCTGCAATGCAAGTACGGCACATACAACCCCACTACAATCTGTACCGTATAACATAGGAGTTTGGCGAACTTTGGAGATGTTTCAAGAGATTTTTATAAAAAAACGAATCCTGGAAAGAAATAAAAAAAATCCCCTGACCCGGGATCGAACCAGGGACCTCAAGATGACAGGTTCTTTGCAGAACAGGACAATTACAGTCTTGCGCTCTTCCAGCTGAGCTATCAGGGGATGTGATTGGTTGGTTGGCCCATTTGAGCATCATGAACAGACCAAGACCTGGCTAGCGATGTCCACTTCAACTGAATTACAACCACGGAAGACTTAGTTTCTTGTCAAAAATGAAAGTATAGACTAATTACTTGGTCGAAATGGGCGTATCCAGATAAGGCGGCGGCAACATACCCTCCAATGTAGCTTTAATTTGAAGCGCCAACGTGCGTGAGTGCCACCGGTGTTGCTGTGTATAGCCACCCATCACCCAAAAGCCCTCAAGGCATGACTGCCTCTTCCACAAGCCACGGATCTCGCCCTCAGAATCGACACCCCATGTGGCGTCAATGCGAGCTGCAATCTCGCGAGGACCAAGCTTTTGCTTACCATTGGCCTCGCCGTTCATGCCATCCACGCCATCCTTGCCGTTCTGGGCACCGTTGGAGACCTGACTTGCAGAGCCGCCAAGGATCTCAGCAGCAGTATCGCGCACGTTTTTATCAGCAAATCCCGTACACCATATGACAGCATCCACGTCAACATGGCTGCCATCCGAGAACCGCAGCCCCGTCGCCGTGTATGCAACAGGCTCAGCATTAGCCTTGACACTAGCCTTGCCTTCTTCCAGCAGCTTGGTACCGCCCATGTCAACATAGTGTCCACCAGCACGCTCAATCAGGTTCTGTATCAAAACAAATTCTGGGTTGTTGCTGTCCAGAACGGGGAATCCAACTGCTGCCAGAGCTTTGTAGCGGTCTGGCTCCTGTGATGCAAAATGCGCAAACAAGTTTCGGGCGAGCTGGGCGTCTATGAATGACGGGAGTGTCATAAAAAGCTTATCTGCGCGTTCAACGCCAGCATCATAGGCGCCTAGGCTGGCTGGGTTATCGACGTACTCCACTGGAAACACGTATGTCGAAGAACGAACGTTCATTGTTGTTTGGAGTCCCGCAGCGTGGCAGTCTTCGAGGATATCGAAAGCTGTATTGGCGGAGCCAATGATTATCACTGACTAGATTGAAAGTGATGCGGTCAATATCGATTCCGCCTGTTTATTTTTCGCACCGGAGCTTCACTCACCTTCGCTCCTTTCTCCTTCAGTTGCTCGGCATTCTTGTATTGCTCTGAATGGATGCTGATACCTTTGTACAGGTGGTCATTTGCTATTGAGGGCATGTTCATTTTTTGGGATCCAATGCCTGTGGCCATGACAAGGTGTTTACAGATTGCTGTACGTTGACCGGCAGGAGTCTGGAACTTGACCATCCACCGCTTGGTCGATGGATCGTACTCTGTCCATTGAATCTGCGCCGAAGTGATCATGTTGAGATTGAAAGACTCGACATATCGTCGTACTTGAAAAGCCAGATCGTCTTTCGAGAGACGGTGGGGAGTGAGGAACACCTTGTCATAGTCTGGTTTGGGATTTCATATCAGTGACGCCTACTCGGATATTAAGGCATGAGCAACTTACCCATATAGGGCAAGTGGCAGAGCGAAGTGGGGACATGGAAACGCATGGAGTCATAGCGGAGAGCCCAACTGTCCCCTGCCTGGGAATTGCGCTCGGCCATGACACTCTCAACCCCTAGGGCTTTAAGGCGTGCCGCGAAGGTTATGGCTCTTTACCATCAAGTGGGAGGTCAGCATGGATATTTTCGAAGCTTTTTTGTCTTCTTACGCATTTCCGCCTCCAATTATGAAAACTTCAGTCTCAAAGCTGTCAATATCACCGAGTTGTCTTCCAGGAGAATAAAGTAAGGTTTCATTCTCTTTCTGCAGGTCCAGCTCTTTGAGAATGGTGCTCAGAACCCAGATTTTCCACTCGATTGTCTCGTTGGCGCCCTTAACCGGCAAGAGTACCACCTTTCCTTTGCAACTGGCGGCTGGCGAGCTAGTTTGGAAGGCAATTCCACAGTCAATGAATTGCTGTGTACACAAAATCAGCTACCCTTCACCAAGCTCTATTTCCACAGATCCAGGTCATTTGCTCACAAGAACTGGCGTCGCTGGGAAAAATACAGCCCCGCCGTCGACTGTTATATCTCCCTTGATGGCCCTCAGCTTGTTAGTCTCCAACAGACTGGCAGCAATTATGCCTGGTGTTTTGAAGGTCCGTAGGTGGTACGTTAGTGCTAGCTGGTCCTTCCAGTATGCCTGGTCCTTCCAGAAGCAGTCTTCCAGCGCCCCCACGTCATTTCTGGCCAGCGCGGTGTTCAAATTATCCAATACAACTTGAGCTTGCTTGGTAGGCTTATCACCCGCCATTAAAACCGGATCTATCGTTCCAGGGGAGAGAAGAGGAAGCGGATTCTTCGCCATCAACTTGAGGAGGTCGACGCGCGGGGGAAACTCATCGTGTAACGGGGACATATTCTTGTCTGTTGATCACATATTAGTCTTGTCAACGCAACAGACCTGTGTCCAGCGATCGTCTGGCAAAACTCACTGGCAGCCATTGTTGGATTTGAAATAAACGATGTCTGCCCTGTGTATGGTGTGAAGGTTTGACAGCCCTCCCTAATCGGTCGCCCTGGCGACAGGGAACAATGTCCCTACACAAAGGCATTCACTGATATTGGCGGATTCATCCATCTCCTCTGGAGCCTACGGATTGGTGCAGCGACGGTCCGTGTCCCCTAGTGGAACCCACGAGGGCTTGGGGGTGGCAGAGTATGTATTCCCCAGAGCTTTGACACCTATTCTAGGCCTTGGATATCACCCCCTTGCTCCGTCAAAATGACAATTGTTCGTCAAAAATGGGCCACGGTACTTTGCCAGTAGTTCATAGGTTCTGACCTCCGCCAGAAAATGGGGCTCTATAAGTCGAACCCTTAAATATGGGGCCATGTCTAGTCACTAACCTTTAGGTCTAAACTTCAACTGATCGGCAGCGTTATGTCCGCTGTCAGCTTTTTAACATTATGCCTATAGTGGGTCTATCAACTTTACCCAATTTTTCAGAATCCTTCTGGAAATCAAGAAGAGAAGCGAAATACCTTCGATTTATGCTCCATATTCCAATACACCAGGAATCCAGAGTGCAACTGGGTATTAATCACCAAAAGCTTTCAAGAAATGCCTGTGGGTTGCGTGGACATGTATATATTTTGTACGGGATGTGGACCCCAACCTACATGTTCCCCACAAATTACTGCTGTATTTACTTCCCACGGAATATGTTGTACATAGACCATCAACTTCACACCTAGCGTCGGATCTCAACAACCTATATATGTTGTATTTCCTCTCATCATCAGCTGATCAGCCGGTTCCTGACCCTTTCTATCTCGTCATACGGGGCCCAGGCCCGTTCTCCAGTGAACCCGGGGAGAATGTGAAGCTCTACGTGCAGCAATGCAAATATGCCTGGCAAGCCGTCAATAACATGACAGTAAAGGAAAAGGCCGAAGCTCAGGCCATGACTTTGTTATGGGGGCTTGCGCGGACCGGCTCTGCAATTCGCATATGCCCGGAAGCCAAGCATTCTTCGTATACTAGCGTGGAATTTTACTACTATAACCTCGACCTTCGCGCTTGCCACAGTAGTATGCCAGGAATAAACAAAAATAAAGACATAGTATATTTCTAGTTTACATACAAATTTATGCTCCAAAAAAAGCCCTAATATCTCTCTGCTTCCTCCCTTCCAATTCCCTCGCTTCCAATTCCCTTGCTTCCAATTCCCTCGCTTCCAGTAACCTTTCATGCCTATGAAGCGCGCTAATCAACTGGGTTTCTCCCTGCTCCTGCTGCTCCTCATATATACAAAGGGTCTTTAAAGCCTGAATAGCTTCATGATGGAGAACCTGGGCCTGTTCTTCCATGATCTCATCTTCGTCAACCTCTGGAAGAAATTCACTAAGTACAATATCATCAATAGCATCGAGATCATCTTCCACAACTTCATCCATAGGGTTAAGAAAGTTCTCAATATCCACAGGATTAGGAATCCAAGCTTCCATATTGCGTATATCAGATGATATCTCATTAACTAGTGATTGAATATCACTAGTAGGCTGAGTAGGTGGAACGTCAAGTGAGATTGAAAGCCCCTTTTGGAAGCAGTTCTTAATAGTAAGAGCTGAAACATCAAGCTCCCAAGCTTGAATTCCCCATTGTATAGCTTTCAATATATTCATTGAAGCCATAGGAGCTTGACCTTTATCAAATTCAACCAATATAAACTTCACCCATTGGCGCTTCCAATACGTTTTCCACGTATTAATAATACCCTGATCAAGTGGCTGGAACCGGCTAGTTGAATTAGCTGGAAGCCAGATAACCAGGGTATTACGAAGGGGTGAAGAGCTATTATTAATAGCTTTCACCGCAGATTCGTGAGCTGAGAAGTTATCCATAAGAAGCACCACCTTCCTATGCACCATGGAGGCGTCAAACCACCGAAGCCATTCTTGAAAGATATGGCTAGTCATCCAGGCTTTGCTATTCCACTTCCAGTGCATATTAAGATTATTAATATTAACGCGGGAAGCAGCAAAAGCGCGGGGCTTCTTAGCTGTGCCTATATAGTAGTTATTAGCATAGGAAGCAATAGTATAGGAAGCATACATACCAATAAACCATGGTTTTAGCTTCTCAGATCCATCTGCATTGCAGCAAAATAGGACTGATATCCTAGCCTCCTCCTTTTTTTTTCAGGTAAAGATCGGGTTGCAAGGCTTCGGTCCGGAATACGTTTCCAATAAAGGGCTGTTTCGTCACAATTAAATATATCCCGAGGACTATATAATTGGAGAGCCTGCCGAATTGGAATCATAGCTTCGGAAGCAAGCTCTGGAGTACTTCCATCTTCACCATGGTGGACACGACTATATATTGATTCCCGATGTTGGAATCCGGAAAGCCAGCCATTGCTAAATGAAGGCATCTCTATACCTTCATATACCGGTAGCTGGCCCTAGAAAAAGCGCGCCTTTCCACGGATAACCTCTTAGGTTATAGGAATATGGGATTCAACGAGCTTTACCTAATGAACAAGAGCTTTTTCAAGATCTGGCCATTTGGCTATGCGGGCGCGCTTTGCATTGATTTGGTGCTTCGAGAGATCGGCGTCAAGATGAAGGTATCGGGAGGAAAGGATTTCGGAGATCGTAGAGGGGGAGGGACGATGGTTATAGGCTTCATAAAACCATTGAGCGATTTACTAGAGAGTAAAGGGTTGATTCGGCGCTGCCACTTTCTGGGAGGTTGGGATCGATCGGCGAGGCATTTTGATTGGTTGAGAATGCTTGAAAAAGGGGCTATAAAACCTCGATATAACGAATTTTGTATGGGAGGAATGGTAATTAACGAAGTTCGTACGGTAGTAAGGGGGAGTTTCGTTATTACTATGGCGGATTAATTGGTGGGCAGGGCAGGTATTACTTTTAAAAACAGGTATTTGTTAAAACCGGGTTCGTTATAACGGGGGTTTACTGGTATATGTAAATAAATATATAGTGGAAATAAAAAATAATCCCCTGACCCGGGATCGAACCAGGGACCTCAAGATGACAAGTTCTTTTCAGAACAGGACAATTACAGTCTTGCGCTCTTCCAGCTGAGCTATCAGGGGAGTTCATGTTTGATGTAGCCGAATTAAGTATAATAAGCCAGAAAGATGGCCCCCCACCAAAGCAAAGCACCCGGTGATTCACCATCCATATTTCCAAGAACCACCAGCCAATATACCTGCTCTAACCGAACCGAGAAAACAACCAAACCAAGCAGATACACACCAATGATCCGACGAGCCCTAATCGCCGCCTCGTCAGCGCGCGCATCGCCCACAAGCACAGTATCAAGCGCCTCAGCCTGCAAGCTCCAACTCATCCGCCCATCATGGCACCTTGTACGCGCCCCCCAGCAAAGCAGGAACCTAAAACGCTCCTCGATAATATCTCCAAGGTCAAAACCAAACCAAAAACTAACAGCAAACCCGCACCAACAGAGCCCCAGCACCACCCGCCTCTTCACCACCACCCCATTCACAGCCTTCACAGCATCACCACCAACCAAAGACCCCTCACCCTTCCGCCTCTCCGCAAACAAAGCCGACTCCTCCCCGCCTCCCTCTTTCGAAGATGTCTATTACAGCCCTTACCAGCCAAAGCGCCAATGGCCACCGGATATGTCCAAGCTGTCCCCGAAACACCAGTTCAGGCTTGAGCGCAAGTACCGTCGTCGCGCGGCGCTGAAGTATGCCCGGCCGAAGTTTATGAAGGCTGTTACGCTGGGACAGTGGGTTGTTATTGGATGTGAGTTTTCGTTGAGATTGTTTGGGTTGGAGATTGGGGATCGCGAATTGCGTATAACTCTGCGGTGGATAATGTGGATGGATTTCGAGGAAGGATGCTGACTTTTTATGCTACTAGTTGTCATTGTCTATGCTGTGCTGTTCATGGAGTGGGATACGAATGATACTGCGTTCCATTCGGTAAGTGCTCTTTCTGCCTTGGGAATTATGTTCATTCGCATCTTGGCTAACATGATTTCGCCTCACAGATTCGGGAAAGCTTCTTTGCTGGTCTCCGGGCTATATTCTCCAGCGCGCCGCCTCCTGGTCCGAAAAGGGATCAGAAGGGTAATACAGCGTCGGAGGAGAGCTAGTAGTCGAGTCATATCGACCTGTGTCTGACATCAATATTTTGTATAATATTCAACTAGATTCCCTACTTGCATCTACAGCCCACCCCATCCGGGGTAGAAAATCTCAAAATTCAATAAGAAAACCACTGTCGATTCATTCAATTCTCATATCTGTTCATAGGTCATTTGTCATGAAGAAATCCCGTCGGAAGAACAGGCGTTGCTGTACCATGGAGAGAAGGAGAAAGAGACAGGAAAAAAATCAACAGTCTGTCTCTTCCTCGCTTGCTGCTCCGTCGCCTGTGCCAATATTTGGCTTCGTTACATCATGTCCGCAGGACTTCTCTGGACAAGGAAATGCAGTCAACATGCCGATAACACCAAGAATGCCAACGCCTGTCAGAAATAACAGACCACCAATAAACTCCAAAGGTCAAATAAACAAAAAATACCAACAAAATAAGTTGGGGTGGGGCTGCGTGAGGACCAGCCCTAACGCCGAGTCATGATAGTGTGAAACCCAAAGAAAAGATAGGAAATAAAGACAAGAGAGGAATGGGAAATTCGTTAAATCGAACCGGGGGGTTGCGCACCCGGTTCTTAAAGCCAGCTGCGCAGGTCACTCGACGGGGTAGTCGGACCAGCAGCTGGACGGTTGTCCGAGAAGTCTAGAGCAAGCTCTAGCCTGGGCGGCCGCTCATCGACGAGGCCTTTTCTAGGACTACCCGGCGCGGACTTCTTGGGGGATTTGGTGGGCGAGCCAGGTTCACCTGCTCGGGGCGGGCCTTCACGAACAAAGGTGTACGGCCAGCCATCATCAGCTGCCGCTGCGACCCAGGTTCGCAGGCAATCATGCACAGAGGAATAGAACTTCTCCTTGCAAGTACGCAGACTACCACCCATGACTTTCTCAAAACCAGAGGCACGGAGCTCATCACGAAGTTGGTTTCGTTCATCAGGGGTGGGCAGCATGGCAATCAGGCCGTTCACAAGATCGAGATGTGCCGCAAGATAGTTGGTCGCATCCCATTCAACACCTCCAACGTACGGGGCAGCCGGAACAGGAGGACGAGGGACTGGGAAGTGACGCTCGTTGTAGGGACGAGTGTCTACTGGTGTCTTTTCGCCGAAAAGGTCCTCCGACTTGGGGAGGGGAACCACATTCAGGTGATGAAGGAAAATCCAGAAGACCTCCTTGGTCACGTTGGTGATCTCCTTACACCACACTCTATAGGGTCGTGACTGGTAAATATTGGCAATGAAGGACAGTGGCTGGTTGTCCACTGGTGGCGCAGGGTCCTTGAGATAAGAAAGGATCTGTTTGGCGCGCTTGGTCGCCAATTCACCAGCAGGAGCAGTGGAGAGCTGCGTGAATAGCAGGTTTGCAATGATCCCTCGAGTGGTGAACTCACTGGGACCCTTCTTTTCCTCGTCAAAGAGCATATGCAGCAGAGCGGGGAAAAGCTCATCCTCGATGGCAGTGAGATGTGCCAAGGCTACAGATGTAGTGCACAGAGCCTTCAGACAGAGCAATGCCTCGTGCAAAAGGGTGTCTTCATGGTCCTCGCTGTAAAACGGGTCAGTTACTGGTCTGAATGAAGAGAGATGATAGGATACATACCGCCAGGTCATCTTCATAATGCGGTAGAGAAGCTGCACAATCTCATCCATTCCTCCCTCAGTGATAAAGTCATTGACCCAATGGACGGTTTCGTTACGTAGGAGAAGACGTAGTTTGTGCATCTTTCCCACCTCAACCATCTCGGGCTTTTGGATCTCTCTCAGGTAATGCACAAAGTCGGAAGGATCCGCCGCGGTATCGACAGCGGCCGCATCAGCAAGTGATGCTGTTGAGGCATTGGCTGATAGGGTGGTGTAGACACCAACAGGTTGGGAAAGATCCACAGACTTTGGCCGACGGCTCGATGCTTCACTATCCCGCCGCAACTTTTTGCCAGGCGACGAGGGGCCTTTAGTGAAGGTGAATCCGCGGCTCCTAGATCGTGATCGAGAGCCTTTGCGATCCTGAGGCTGGGAGTCTTCCTTGGATTCTTTGCCGCGTCCTCGGCGGCTATCACCGGTTCCCGCGCTGAGAGGAGTGATGTTCTCCGTCCGATCTTTCTGGATAAAATCAGCCTTGATATTGGTATCAAGTGAGCGCATCTTGTCTCTCATGTTATGAGGAATATTCCTCGCATCCTAGAGATAGGTTAGCCTTGTTATTCAAATTGATTGTATGTAGTATGGTCAACAAACCAGCAGCTTCTCGAACTCGCTTTCGAGATCCTTGGAGTTCAGGTGTTGATGCACTTCAGCATCTCGCTCCTTTGCATTGAATGCCGAGATAGCAGCCTGTACCCGTGAAAGCCGCTTGGGCTCTTCTTTTCCCATGGTAGGTGGGGATGTTTTTCGTGGACTCGGTGGTCCTCTGCTCTTAGAAGAAGCACTATCAGCTCGCCCAGCAGGGTCACTTTCTCCCGAAGGTGCGCGCTGCAACCCAAGAATATCCTTCACTTTGCGGTTTCCTGTCAGAATGTCCGACTTGGGGCGAGGCTTGGGGTCATTCGATTTGCCGAGGGAGGGTTGGTGATAGTCATAGAAGTTGCGTTGTTGGCTTGGCCCGTAGCCCTTGGGCGTATAGAGAGAGACTTCGTCCGCCACGGTCCGCTTCATGTCGGCGGTCGATTTTGGCCTCGATCGACCAATAGGCTCTTTGTGAACCGAGGCCGAGTCCTGTGACCAGACTGGGGATGGCATATTATCGATAAGGTCAGTCGGGCTGCGGTTTTCCTTATCGCGACTCTGTTTCGAGCCATCCTTTCTTCCCCGTTGGGACCTTTTGAGGATGGCCGAGAGACTGTTGGATGATTTGGCCTTCTTGGGCGAGAGATCCTCGCTCTGATCGGGCGTCTCCTCCGATTTACCATCCTTCCGCTCCATATAATTTCTCAGAGACTTCAATGAAACAGCGCTCTTGGTCTTCTTATGCAGGGCACCTTTGCTTTCCTTGCTACCCATCTTTGGCGCGGGCACTCCGTGGTCACCCACATCACGATTGGGGACAATCTCACTGAGTGGGCGGTAGCCAGTCATGGAGCCAGGCTCCTCGGTGAATGGGTAAGGGATGTTCTCGGTTGGCTTGCTTCTCTGCACAGGCCGCGGGGCCACGGCATCATCGGCTGATTGATTTCGTTTATGGGTTTTGGATGACATTATGGCCCGGAACATGGACTGTTTGGTAGGGGATCGGTTCGCATCGTCAAAGATTTGGGGACCAGAGGTACTCGCAGCCATCGCTATCCTCTTTGACCAGCAACTAAGTACATCTTGTTAGCAGATGAAGTGGATGAAGACCCGCGGAGGAGAACGGGTAGTTGCAGTTTGAACTCACGGGATCTGTGCAAACAAACGCAGAATAGAACAACAACGCGGTCACAAAAAAGGGAGATAGTCAAGTATAACCCTTCAATTTCAACAAAGAACAAAAAGGCGGGGAAGGAGATAGGACTGGTGGAAGGAAAAGAGAAGACCAAGATGGGCAAGCTGGGGAATTTGAAGAATCAACGGCGTCTTGCTGCCAACAGCAACCGTCATCGAGTATCAAGATGTTGATCCACTTGCCTCGACTTAGCGCATGAGACGATCCTTGGGGTTGGCTGGATTGAAGGTGAAGGAGTAAACAACGTGCGGGTAAAGAGGTTGCGAGGGGCAACGGAGGGACTTGGCGGTGAACATGGGGTTTATTAGCTGTTATTAGCCTTTCGATTGTACTTATTGAAAGTGCCTATGAGAGCTAGACATGTCATATTGCATATTATTGCCCATTCATTTTGGGTTTATTTTAAGTATGCATATAGTCCTTGCATGTTTGTTTGTTTGATTGTCATTGTTGTTATTGTTGCTTTTCCTGTTATTACTGAATCCGGCTGGTTAATATATATATTGGATAGATTCTTGGTTGACATCACTAGATACATCTACTTTAAAATATAAATGATACGAAAAAGCAATATCTACATTTCAATTATCTCATAGGGTATAGTTTGTAATTATCATTCCTCTTTGTTATTCTTGACCAAACATGTAACTCACCTGTGCCGATGCCGGGAGGACGGCCCAATTGAGAATAAATACACTATCGTATTACATGTAGTCATGTCGAGTGATCCTCAACCCACTTTTGCAAGATCTTCTGATCATATTTTATGCAGTTTGTGCATATAAGTATCTCTGACCGTTTACTGTTTGGGTGGAATTCGATCCACAACCGTTTGCGACTTCCGGTGCCGGGGAATTAAGGCGACCGCCTAGACCTCAAACCCAAACATAAAAACGTACGGAGTAAAAGAATATAACTAGAACGCGAGAGCGGCGATTTGCAGCGGGAACATATGTGAGACAAATTCGGTTCATATAGGGTTTGCGGGTTCCAGAACGGAGAACAACGAACATCGGGCAATTTCGGACTCTCATAGGATCCCACAAGTTACCCGTTACATGTCTACCTCTTTGCACCCAAGAACCCAAGGCTTAATTTAAGGTGGAATTGTTGACAACAAGAGCCAAGCCAACACTCAGAGCCAAGCCGATATCCAAAGAGCCAAGCCTGCAACCATGAATTGCCCCTCGCGGACTGACGACACACTGGACAACCCGAGCTGGAATCAAAGCCCACCGCCCTTCAGCCCGGACACCACTACACGGAATGACTTCAATGGTCTCGCCAATTCCAGAGTCCATCGCAGACATGCCAATTCTGCCAATAATGCAGCAGGAGATGATCCGTTATCCATCGATGACAGACCGAACAGTCAGCAAGACCGAGACCCCGGAAAGGAAAAGGTGCCAAGCGGCGAAGTGATCGCTGCGGACTCGGGAGGTGATTCACCCCCGAGGAGTAGCGGATCACCTCGCCAACCTTTCTTTACTTGTTTGACGTCTTCTACTCTGCACTGCGCTCGAACTTTGGCTAAATTCAGCCGTTTCATCGGCCCTGGTTTCCTCATTGCGGTTGCTTATATCGACCCCGGAAATTATGCCACCGATGTCGCAGCCGGTGCAGACTTCAAGTACGCCTTGTTGTTTATCGTTCTCCTTTCCAACCTATTTGCGATTCTTCTGCAGTCCCTGTGTATCAAGCTGGGATCTGTGACTGGTCTGAACTTGGCCGAAAATTGCCGAGAGCACCTTCCGAAATGGCTAGTGATTTCTCTCTATATTCTCGCGGAAGCGGCTATTATCGCAACTGATATTGCAGAGGTGAGTTTCAAATTTTGGTCTAGAGGGTTTTAATTGAAGTACTGACAAACTTGAAAGGTGGTTGGATCAGCGATCGCGTTGAACTTACTATTGAATATCCCCTTGGTAGCTGGTTGTGCTATCACATTGGTGGATGTTCTTTTCATTCTCATTTTCTACCGACCTAATGGCAAGATGTGGGGGCTTAGGCTGTTCGAGTTCTTTGTCATGGCTTTGGTGTTAGGTGTTGTTGTTTGCTTTTGCATTCAGCTCTCTCTAGTAAAGGGCCAGTCAGTTGGTGAAGTGTTCCGCGGATATCTGCCATCTTCAGCCATCGTTAAATCAGAAGGGTAAGTCTGTCTAATCTGCCTCTTCGCTGCCCCCGCAAAGCTCTCAGCTACTAACGCATCTACAGTCTTTACCAAAGTTGTGGAATCCTCGGTGCCACTGTTATGCCGCACTCCCTATTTCTTGGTAGCGGCGTGGTTCAATCTCGTCTGAAGGAATTCGATGTGAATTCTGGTTATGTGGAGACCTCTGTGCCCCTAGGAAACGCCGATGGCGAAGTAAAATATCGCCCATCGATCCATGCAATCCGCGGCTGCATGAAGTACTCGATCATCGAGTTGTCGCTGTCACTTTTCACCTTTGCCCTGTTTGTGAACAGTGCAATCCTAATTGTCGCGGGTGCTGCTCTCTATGATATTCCCGGCGGAGGTAATGCCGATCTCTTCGGAATTCACAGCCTGCTCTCAAAGTCGATTGCACCAGCTGCCGGCTTAGTATTTGCTCTTGCCTTGCTACTGTCAGGTATTTCTGCTGGAATCGTTTGCACAATTGCTGGTCAAATGGTGAGCGAGGGAATGCTGAACTGGAGCATTCGACCATGGCTTCGAAGACTCATCACTCGCTCGATCAGTATCATTCCCAGCATCATCATTGCTGCGTCTGTTGGCAAAGAGGGTCTTGACAGGACTTTGACTGCGAGTCAGGTTGTTTTGAGCGTTATTCTGCCATTTGTCTCGGCGCCACTTATCTGGTTCACTTGCCTCAACCGCTACATGACTGTTCGAACTGAAGAAGCTTCCGAACAAGAGGGTGAAGTTGATGTGGTGACAGTTCCGATGCGGAACAACTTACTTACTTCGGTGGTTGCAGTTCTTGTGTGGCTTGTCATCGTTGTGATGAATGTGGCCCTGCTGGTGCTAGTGGGAATGGGCAAAGCATCTTAGTCTCTAGATGGTGATACTTTCCATGACACACACAAAAAACACGCATCTGGGACGATAGAAATGACCAAGTACGTCCCTGATTACAGCGAAAATAGATTTATAGAGCTTGCATACGCTAATTGATATGATATGACGGATGAAATGAGAGCTTCAAAAATATGATATGAGCGTAGCTTATTGCAAGTTAGTTAAACACCCAATCAACTCCACTGCCTGTGCCTTGACACAAAAGAACACCAAGTTGCCGCTAAACAAAAGCACACTTTAACATTAATCTTATCCAAGTCCGCCTGCGGCCTCCTTGACCTTATGTTGCTCCGGCGGCTCATCAATAAACTGCGGGGGAGCCACCTCATCATGTAAGAAGCTCGGCATAGCACTCTCGCCCATGCTGCTCTCAAACATGGATTCCTCGCCAAGCGCCTCAAGCTCTGCATCCAACTCGGCCTCATCAACATCCTCAGGGACATCATAGGCCCGGGAGATGCTTTCTTGAATCTCATTTCCGACCTCCATCAGATCCGCCATTTCATCTTGCATCTGCTCGATCTTATCCACGTCGACCTTGCCATACTGCTTCTTGAGTTCCTTGGTCGTGGTCTTCATCGCGTCCACCGTCGTCATCACATTCTTCAAATTATCCTGCATCATGCCCGCCTGCTCCATGTTCCATGATTGCTGGGAGAGTTGGTCGCGCTGCGCCTCGTATTGTTTTCGTCGCTGAAGGACCTTGAGCGCTTTCTGTCGGAGTGCATTCTTGCCCGGCCCGTCGCGCATCTTGGCGATCTTGGTTTGGTATGTGGTGAGTTCGGAGTTGAGCGCTGCTAGCTTGACATCTATGCTGGAAACTCGAGTGTCGACCTGTTGTATGGTTAGTGGGGTATCTTGAGGGGCGGGGATGGGCGCCTTGGATCAGGCTTGTGCGGGCATCGTACATTGGTAATAGCGCCTTCAAGAGTCGGCTTGGGGCCTGAACTCTTTGTGCCAAATAGTCGGTTCATGATGGTGGGTTGGGTTGGGGGGTTATTATTGAAAGGTGAAGGTGAGGCAAATAGGCAGCGGACTTGTGAGCGATTCCAGACCACGCGTGGCCAGTGCTCAGTATAACCGCGATCGGTGGGCCGAAATGGTAATTAACCAATAGCTGGAACAGAGCAGTTCTGGTAAAAGCTGGTAAACTATAGAATAAGGACGAGTCTTGGAATGTAGGTGTTTCCTATGTATACATAAGTACATGCGTGTATGTACGTAGGTACCGGATTTCCTTCCACTTCTTGGCTTTCCCTTTCCGTTTTAGTCCTCAGGCCTTGCCGCTTTTTGTCTCACCGAGTAAAACTGAGCACGACCCTGTATTATATAAGCCCACTGATCTCCCCGGGGCCCGAGGTCCCCGGGAGGTCCCGAGAGCCCTGAGGTCCACCTGGGCAAGGCTGCACCTGAGCACCCGTGGACCTGGGCAGGTGCCCACCCGAGGCGCCACAATGAACTGATATCCGTGCGAGGTGTCTCAGATCTTATCCTCCAGCTTACCATATTTCTACTTGAGCTTGCCACTGACCTGCAGTGCTCAATGGCACCAAAATTGAGCTAAGGATACAGAGACAACATTGCGGACAACATTGCGCTCGAATTGCCAATACATGGACGATCGCTGATCCATAAGACCGACCCCTACTGATATGGCAAAGCCCCTGAAAATATATTCTTGATTAACTGTCAGAAAAACAATGATGGCGTGATAAGCCTACAGAAGAGACACTGCGTGCTTCCAACCGGACCTAGGTCTGGAAGGACAAGCTAGACTTGACAAGGGTATTGTTCCAAACTAGTGGGTTGTGTCTTGGTCGTTGGCCCATGCTGTGTACATATCTTGTATGGAAGCATTGTGATTGGGAAGGTATGTGATTGGGAAACTATCAAAATTAAAAATAAAAAAGTCATCGCCCGGAGGCGATCCGGCAGCTTGAGATCAAACGGCACTCAAACTGAGGATGGACGGGGATCCAAGGGGCAATGCACCAAATGTCGCCAACGACAACCGCTAGGCCAAATGCCCGCCATCCATTCATATATGCAGGGCAGTGCCATTTCTCATATCAAGTGAAAATAGAAAATGAACGGAGTTCAAAAATCTATGTTCTCTAAAAAGTTGATTTCCTAAACATAACTGTTCCATTTCCCTTCACACCAAGCCCATAGCTTATTCCCATAATCCAAACCCCCCCCTCCTTGGAATCCCCAGCCTTGATGAGGTCCTGTCGCGGAGTAGCCTTATTGGGGCGGATCCGACCCCAGGGGATGATGTACGAACCGCTGTTTTCCAACGCAATATCGGAAGAGAGTCCAGCATAAAGTTCCGTGTACGCGCCGTAGATCGCATCACCCAGGAGAACTTTGTTCAAGACGAACATGATTGGCGCAGGAGTCCCATTGAAGGAAGCCGTCTTCAAGTAGCCCGGGTTCAGACAAACACTGACGATTCCATCCTTGGCGTATCGACGAGCAAATTCCCGACTTAGGAACCAGGTGCCCGCTTTGGACGTCCCGTAGTTATCATTGAGACTCTTTGTTCCTTTATCCAACAGGTCGAAATTGACGCCGTTGGGTGGTGAGCCTGCCTCTGCCAGACCGCTCGATGTCCAGACGACACGAGTCTTGCCACTCTCGCCAGAAGCGGCGGCAGCGCGTAGCTGTGGGAGAAGGAGTTTCGTGAAGAGAAGGGTTGCAACGCATTGCATTCCTATCATGGGCTCGAAGACTTGGGCTTTGTGTTGGCCGATCGTAACAGCGCGTTGGCCCCGGTGCCGGCATTGTTCCACAGCACATCTAGTTTATCCTCTTGCTGAGCGAAGCTTTCCGCTGCGGCCTTGACGGGCAAGAGATCGTTCAGATCTAGATGCAGGAACTTGAGTTTGCCACTCGTATTCTTGGATTTTGATGCGTCGGTAATCGTTTTGATGACCGCTTCTGCTTTGGCCTGCGAGTCCAAGTTGGTCAGTACATTGGGGGCCAAAAAAAAAACCTTTTGGACTTACCTGGGATCGAGACGCCATGTAGACAGTCGCTTCGCTCGCGTAGAGGATCTTCACCAGCTCATGTCCGATACCTGCATTTCCACCTGTCACAATAAAAACGCGACCATTCTGCGAGCCTGGGGGAGCATTTGCTCAGTGAAAGATGGAGCCGGAGGATATGCCCGAGTGAGGGTGGCGCGGAGGCTTGAAAAAGTGCCATGATTTTGCCTCGATGAACAGATGATACCTATGATACAGAACATTTGGTTCATGCTTGCAAGTTTATAAAGAAGATATCAAAAGCGGACTTCAAACTAGGCCGAGTGGATTTCTAAGAGAAGGGGGTATATTTCTAATCCTAGTCCGTACTTTGTAAATCCAATGATTGCTGTTGAGGCTTGTACAAAGAATGCGTCTGATTCGCCATCGTAGTTGTTGTTGGTGTAGATTCCAGGTTCGTCCGTCCGGACCAACTGTAGATAGGGTTGCTCCGCTCCCGACACAGCGGGCTGATGCTTATCTCTTCCAAGGTCACTTCATGTTTACATACCTAGGTATGTACCTAGGTAGTTCAGCACCTCGTTTCCTACATGTACATATCTTCGGAATTATGTTCATTGTCTTCATCTTTGGCTCTAACCATCTGGAGTTGGCCGTCCAGCCTAAGTTTTCCGCAGTCACACCCCCGGCCTACGGATAGATGCTAAAAGAAGAAAGGCTACGAACTATATGAGCATGAGACCCTAATAAAGATATTTCTATAATTCTGTATTACCAGAAGGGAAGGGCCACATAACTTACTGAGTTATGTCCCAGGAAAGGAAGTAGGAAAAGAGAGAGAGAGAGAGAGATAGGTGGATTAAAAATGAAGAAACTATCTCCCTAGAATATCTAAGGTGGAAAGCCTGCCACAAGCAATCTCTCGCGTGAGCCATCACGGCAGAAAGTAAAATGGATAAACACGGGACGAATAGACAACCACGCCGTCCGCGCGTAGTAATAGGAAACATAGAAGCAAAAGAATGGACATCCAAGGCCACTATTACATAGAGCCTTGCACAATACAAGTAAAAAGAACCTCAATCCACATCCAACTAATCATACAGCTTAGCCAAAGACGGCCACAGGCCATAGATCTATGGTTCCCTTGCTAAGGTCCAAGCCTGCTTCAGTTCTTAATCTTTGTAGTACCATCGACGGTAACAACGCGCTTGTTGCTGAATGTATCCTTCACGAATTGCTGGGAGTTGTGCTTCCCATCCTTGATAAACTCGTCGTTCCAGGTCATCCAGTAGGCCCAGGGAACGTTCTCCTTAGCCTGAAGCTCAGCGTCGGGGATAGACCCAACTTCCGCCAGCGCAAGAACTCTCTCACCCTTAGTGACAGTTTGCAGCTCGTGGAACTTCTCCGCGAGGACACCATGGTCACCAGTTGTGCCATAGTAGTCAATAGTGGCAATATCGCACTTGTCATTTCCGGGATACCACTTGGAGTCGGCGGTGTTGCAGACCCACACAATATTGTGAATGTTGTGCACGCGGGTGATACGGTCGTAGACGATGTTCCAGAGCTTCTTGAAGGGAGCTGGACCTTGAGCTCCCCACCAGAACCATGCACCTTCCGGCTCGTGGAGCGGGCGGAAGAGAATCGGAACGTCTGCATCCGCCAAACGTTTGAGCTGGACCGCAATGGCATCGATATCCCGAATCAATAGTCGGTAGTCTGTTCCGTTTCCGCGGTGGGCTGTTGCGTTCCCGCGGTAGCCAAGTGCATTGGCCACATTGAAACAGGTTGCCTCGGTGTAAAAGCCTTTGTACCACGGCTCTTTCTCGGTTTCGAGCAAACAGTTCGGAGCGTACCAGTGCCAGACAAGAGCATTGATGCCGCCTTCCTTGTCAAAGCGGATGGCTTGCTCGATGGTTTCACTCTTGCTTCCGCGGGCAACGGCAGAGGGCGAGTAATTCATGAGGTCGGTGCCCAAGATGGCCGGGGTGACGCCGGTAGTCTCTTTGACCCATTCCAGACTGGCAAGTTCCTGCTGACCGGAAATGTAGTGCGAGCCGTACTGAGATTGAACATACTTGAGGAGCTCCTTGGCTCGGGGAGTGGCGGCCTTGTCAATGTTGTTGTAGGACAACCCGGCGGCCAGCGACGAGGCAAGAAGAGAAAAGAGCGAAAGTCTGGTGAACATGATGGAATACAAGAACTAGAAAGAAAGAAGGAAAGAATGAATGAATGATAGTTGGGTGCTGAAAATATTCCATGCGATATGTTTCTCTTTATAAGTTTACTATGTCGCTGATCTGTGTATGTACTCTACCCATGGATGCTTGGAATCAAGATGAAACTACAATTTGACCCATTTTGATATATATTCAGGGTTTCTTTATTAATCCTATCCACAGAACATCTATAAGAAGTGATATCGTTCGCTACGTCTTTAAGCTCAGCCCACCCTGGCGTTTCAAGCAGACGAACTTATCTTGTACTGTGGATGCTGCCCCATTTGGAATGGGGATTATTCGGAGAAATCTTACCTAAATGGGTATAATCGAGGCGGCTTGCCCGGATTGCCTTTTCGGGTTTGGCGACGCACGGTTAAAAGCCAAGTTCATCTTTTGTACAACGGAACTAAAATATCTCAACCTCGATATTACATAGTTAGAATATTATTATGGCTTCTAATATCATTTACTTTATAATAAATTGCTAATAGGATCGAGTCTAAATACAAGCATAGTTCAGAGTAGTGGTTGGGGAGTAAAGCTTCCGTCTTGAGTCCTTTTGATAGTTTGTCTTAGTTCTTAATTACTGTAGTAACCCATAGTGACTTTCAATTAGAAATTGCGTTCCGTTTTCATTTCGAGAACTTTCCAGTATTGCGCCGACAGTGCTATCAAAGGTCACTCGAGGACCGATCTGCAGATCTGCAGGGAGATAGGTTGGCATGAACGCAATCTGAAACGAAGGCAGGTCATCCATAAACCAATCAGTAAAGCCAATCGAAATTATCTAAACCGATGGACCTACCTACCTGACTCGTTGCGTAATGATTATTTATTGCAGAGTAGTGATAACATTAGTCGTGATTTGAGCTAGGCAGAAGGTTGCCAGTCTGTTGCCAATCCAAGGCCCGGTACTTTAGCACGATCAGCCGTCTGGTGAAGGAATAAATTACCACCGACAAAAGATCGAATACAAAAGTGTACCCGGCAGACCAGACGAGAATTCCGTTGCCTAGTGGTAAAGGGTACAGGCCATCACAGCAAGAATCGATGTCGAACTTTGTTAGATCACCAGCGCCTTTTTCTCTCACCCGAGAGGGCCTGGTACTGACGCACAATGCAGGCCTTCCCTGGAATGGAAAGGTCTATAGTGCGGCCGCTACGCGGGTGACGCCGTGCCCGCGCAACGGAGACATTGGAAGGCTGGATGGCGTTCTTGGCGATGTTATTATTGCTGTTACTGTTAGGATAACAAAAGTTAGTGGACATCGTAGTGCAAGGCGGCGACTCTTTACAGCAGGCTCGGGGGTGGCGACATCTTGAGGGAAGGTCGCCGCGCACTTAGTCAATGTTGATTGGAGTGTGACCACTATCTAAGAATGCTATTTCTCTTGTGTTCGTCTTCCTCTCATTTCCGTGCTTTCAGTCGAGGTGGGAAAGAAACCTCCCCTAGAGCTGGATCTCTTGTGCTAACGAGGTATACGTGTACCGTAGGAGCTTTACAAACGAAATATAAAGGCTGTACTTTGATAGGAAAGACTCATTGCATCTTATGGTCAATCCGGTCTCTCGCAGCATAGTCAAGAATTGGAATGATCTATAAATAATAACTAGCTCACGAATAACAATTTACCATATTCGTCCTGTCTACACGGTTCTGTCAAGCGCAGAGTAAAATGTGAGTAAGAAGTCAATCTTAAACCTAGATGATCAGGGCGTCTGGTGAAATAACGAAAAGGATGAGAGGATTAGCACTGTGCTTATCTTGTATTAATAATTGACCAAGTTCTCCCCTCCATGTAAAGCTTTTTTAGAGTATCGAAGTGGTCATTGCAATTCTATCAACCTAACGGAAATGATAGAATGTTTAATCAAGTATGATACCTACAAATATATAAGGAGGAACAACTAAGAACCGGCATTAGACCCTACTCAGGACAAAAAATGCCTTGCGAAGCGAGATCCAGTCTTCCTATCGCTTTAGCCACTATTAGGATATATATTTAGCAAAGTGCTTTTTAAACGCTATATGCAAGAATATGAGAAATGCTGGAATATTGATCCCCGTAACTACACCAAGCTTTAATATTATCGTGAGCGCACCGTTTATATGACCTAGAATGTATCGAACGCTTGTCTCAAAATCGACGGTTCGGATGCGGCAAAGTTTCTCCCATTGTTAGCCCACTTCGGTACCTAAAGCCTTTGGTACGAGTTTTTCCATGTCGGGCGTAACGAAGGATTACCCGGCTGGCTTCGTGGACTGGTTGCAGATGAAGTGCCTTTCTAGGTAGTGATGAAAACCTTGACCGAACAAGTCCAATTGGCATGTGAATCTTGGAGCATGCATAGCTGTGTGCATGAATAGACATTAGCTGCGGTCTATAAGAATGTTGATATGGATTATTACTGGTATGCGTTCAATTGCGTTGATGCGACTATTAGTGAGGTTCATACGAATCTATTTTAGTCACATCACCTTCTCCCTTTCGGCTGATCATGCATACGACTTGCATAGCGGTTCTTCGAAACGATATGATCTATGATTCTGCACCTGATCGTTGTTTTGGAAAAGGAGACGAGCTTCCAGAACAATTTACAAGCAATGTCATGTGATGCCTGAGGCTTAATATACACGTGATCGTAAAGCACATTCAAAGTTTCAGTTCAGATGGTTTTTATACCAAGTTTAGCCTGTTTCACCTTAGTGGGGAGGTGTTTGGTATGGGATTTTACAAAAGTTATGGAGCGGAATCGTCAGATGATGTACTATCCGCTGGGATCTAGATCCTTGTATTCACTGTGGCAGTTTAAGTTGGGCGTAGACATGGGACAGGATATTGAAGGTATTCGGTACTTTATTTAGCATACAAATCTGGCGGGGAAGGGTTGTACCCAGTACCCACCACCATTTTGATGCAGCTGACCCCATGATGAGATGAGATGGAAATTTAAAAGTATAGGAATAGATAAGTAAGATTAAACAAAAAGAACATAATCAACATAAAATTCTCATCAAACTCACATATATTCAGGGATTTTGTAGTTCATTCTTATCTGGAGGTTTTTATCCCCGCGGTGATTACATACGTGTTTCCGCCCCTGCTTCTACAGGGCTCGTGGTCATCAGGGATCGGTAATCGATCAGCACAGCTTCCCCCGAAGCGGAACCTCTGTTTCTTCTCTCTTCAACTGCTTCCTTGATGGACAGGTGTTGAGTCGCCATTCCCGTCTCTCTCCCTCTGTGTGTGTGCCTCGAGTCTGCTCATTTTGACTCTCCAACTCCACTCCCCATTTCTTCATCTTCCCCTCTCCAAACCCACAGGGAGGTTCGGATTTCTCTCTTTCTTCGTCATTCCCTCGAGATTGAAGGTACGCTCTGTCAAGGGCTCTGTCTTCTGGTTCAGCAGCTCCTATAAACCCCCCTGAACAGATCCTCCAGCCCCGTCTGTCGCACCCACTCGGTGAAGGCGGCCTGCTTCACGGGTACACATCATCGGGACTGCTGGTGATGCAAGTGTGTGAACCTGATTGCTAATACATTCTCTATTCACACAGCGCTAGATCGCTTTAATTTCCAATCGATTACTTCTCTATCTCCAGTCATTTATCGGCCGTGACGGTCGAGCGTACCCCACTCAACCTGCGCGACCTGGTCTCTGTGTGTGGACACCACACTTGGCTTGCCGGTGTATCGGCCTGTCGCGCAACTTCTCCTGGGAACCCGATATTTCGACCAACCCTTGTACCATAGACTGCTCCGTTACGACATCTCGAAGACGAACGAAACGAATCCATTTTTTATGAATCATTTCCCTCGGCTATATACTCCATCATGTTTTGGCGCTTTGGGGGATATGCGAATATCTCCACCATCGATACCCTGCTCGACAAACCCGATGTCACTCTTGAGGAACTCTTAGACGAGCCTGAAATCATTCAAGAACTGAAACAGCTTAATACGAAACTCATTGAATACCTGCGCGAGGATCATGTCTTGAAACGGCTTATGGACTATGTCACTGCACCGAGCTTGCTGAATGATGATGAAGAGAACGATGAAGATGATGCGAAAGACGTTTCAGAGAAGGACAAGGATGCTGCCGCTTCCGCGGAGCAGACGGACACAGACGAGGAGAAGGAAGGGGATCCGCTAAGGGATATTCTTGACCCAGATGACCTAGACAAAGTTGAGAAGAATCGTCTGAAGCATGCCTATATCGCTTGTGAGATTCTCTCATCAGAGACCTGGTCCATCCTCGAATCTATGATGGCCAACCCTTCATACTTGCGAGACTTCTGGGGCTTCCTGCGACGATCCCCACCTCTTGATTCATTGCAGGCAAGCTACTTCACGAAAGTAAACGAGACTTTGCTTGATAAAAAGACCGAGGAGATGCTGGAGTTCCTCAAGACCCTCGATGGAATTGTCCCAGCATTATTGCAGCATGTTGATAACCCGATGGTCATGGATCTTCTCCTGAAAATTATCAGCCTTGAGAAGGCGGAGGGTGGCCAGGGTACCGTCGACTGGCTCAAATCCCAGGATTTGATCCCCAATCTTCTGTGTTTCTTGTCGCCCGATCGTCCGGCATCCGTTCAAACCTCGGCAGGTGACTTTCTGAAAGCGATCATCACCATATCTGCAAACGCAAGCCCGAACGACCAGTCATGTATTGGTCCTAACAGTTTGACACGTCAGCTTGTCTCGACCCAGTGCGTACAGCAACTCATCGATGCTATGCTCAAGGGCGGCAATCCCCTGACCGTGGGCGTGGGTATTGTCATTGAGGTAATTCGCAAGAACAATTCCGACTATGATCCAGAGTCCCTTGGCGGACCCGATACAATGCTCACCACTTACGACCCAATCTACCTCGGAACGTTGCTGCGTCTCTTCGCCAAACATATTCCCCAGTTCATGGCTCTCATTCAAAGTTCCCAGCACACTATACATGATGGAAATAAGCTCAAGACTGTTGAGCGAGGAAAGTTGAACTCTGCATGGGGTGGGCAAATTGAGCCGCTTGGTTTCGACCGATTCAAGACGTGTGAATTGATGGCAGAGCTGCTTCATTGCAGTAATATGGGCCTTCTGAATGAACCCGGCAGTGATGAGTACGTCAAGCAGAGAGATGAGGAGCGTGAGCGGTTGATCCGTGAAGGAGTTTTCGATTCGCGCCAAGACGAGCATTCTGGAGTTGATTGTAATGATACCACGGCCGATTTCGCAAACGATTCAGCCTTCGGTTCTGGATCTCCAGAAGATATCAAGATCACAGAAGTGCCACACGCGGGCGAAGAAGAAGGGTTTGAGGATGTTGGTGCATCTGGTGTTTTAGTGGGCGAGAAATCTGGCGCCGACACAACGACTACTGCAAACTCGCAGCCAACGGAAACAGTCAGCGAAATTCCTCCACCGGAGATCACAGCAGCAGAGCCGGTGTCTTCCGAAGAAACCGCAAATCCATCTGAAAGTTCCACCGCACCCATTGGCCCCTCATCGCCTACTATTGGTCTCCCTGACCAAGTTGGCAGCATGAATCTTGAAAATGAACCACAAGACGAGCAGCAAAAGCCTGGAAAGGACAACCAGGAGCCCGTGGTTTCCCTCTCTCAAGATGTTCCAGCCCCTCTCTTCTCGAAGGAACAAGCATCCGAGTCAAACTCGGCCCCTATCGATCAATCGGAAGAAGCATCCAGTGTTGCTGCACAGGCCGAGGAAACAAGCATTACGAACGATGGAGGCGATGAGGATTCGGCCGAACAATACATCCAACTCGATACTGACGGGCGACCCGTGGTCGGTGATTACTTGAAGATTCAGTTCGTGGAGAACAAAGTGGTCCCAACGATTCTGGTTTGTATTCTTTTGGAAAACGCTGAACACCTGCGCTAACCATTGATAGGGATTCTTCTTCCGTTTCCCATGGAATAACTTCCTTCACAATGTTGTTTACGATGTGATCCAACAAGTCTTTAATGGGCCCATGGAGCGTGGCTACAATCGGGCACTCGCAGTCAATGTATTTGACACCGGCCGGATCACCACCGCGATTGTTGAAGGACAGAAGCGCAGCGATGAGACCCAGCGGACCAAGCAAATCCGCCTCGGGTATATGGGACACCTTACTCTCGTTGCGGAGGAAGTCGTCAAGTTCAGCGAGCGTCATCCGCCAGAGTTGCTTTCACGGTCCGTTATGGAGAGCGTCTTGAATCCTGACTGGATTGAGTATGTCGAACAGACCTTGTCAGAGACTCGCGAGCGGGACAATGCGATTCTCGGCGGCGTTCGTCCTGATATGTCGGTTGGGTCTCGCCAGACTAGCCTTAACAACACCAACTCTGGCCAAGGCTTCTCTAACTCAAATGCTCTGGCGGACGCAGGATTGAATGGAGGGATCGGTGGCTCAACCTTCCAGAGCTTCGACCTCAGCCAAGGAAGTGTTTCCGGTGGAGCATTCGGTGGAGGTGGCACCTCCCTTTTGAGTGGCTTTGCCAGCTCAAGCGATGACGAGGACGAAGAAATGGAGGATCAGGACGACAGAGACTCCGGCAATGCCGATCAAGGCGACACTGACAATGTGGGTGACCTCTTCCCGATGGACATGATGGTGCACGATTCTTAACCGACTCCGTGCATCCCCCATTATGTTTCCCCTCTCCCTTCTCCATTTCTCTCACCATTTGATCTTCATATCCCCCCATGTATCACAAGCCATAGCAAGAGGCAACGAGCCAGACTTCCAGTTAGAGTTGCTGGATCGCTAGCGCTTGTTCAATGGAGCCACCGACTTCCTGCGCAAATTTTGAATTTTTATCTGCCCATGTGTTTTACATTGTCCCCTCATGTCTCATGTAATTTCTGTGGTTTTGATCTAAACTGGTGTGATGTCTGTTCGCAGATGTTCACTGCCGACGACACCTTGCAAGTCCCAACCCAGAAAATCTTGTGGCATTTTTGTTTTGCACTGGGTTTCTTCTGCGCTTTTCCCTTTCCTTTCACAGGCTGTGAGCTGTCAAATGTATTATATCTTTACTAACGTGACTTTCTAATAGGTGTTGACAAGTTCAGCCAGTCAACCTATCCCTATCTTACCCCCGCCACCTGCTCCATTGAGCCTTGGTCCATCCCGGGCACGCCGTCAGTTAGCCGCGCGCCTTGCCGCCCAAAAGCAACAACCATCAGAAAATGAAGAGGGCGACGGGGAAGACAGAGGGGCCGAAGGAAGTGATGACCGAGAGTCAGATTGGCCGAGCAACCCATTCGTAATTGCAGGGATCGATGATGATGCCGAAGGAGGCAGCTCTGCGTTCCCTAGTAGTGACTTTGGTTCAGCCAATGCCAAACACTCACCTACCTTCCCAGAATCGGGATTCAGCCCTCCAGACTCGCTGTCGACCAACTCATCCGAAGATGAAGGTGATGGCCACGCAGAATCCGTGAGGCGCCAGGTTCGTGTCCCCCTCGAAGTCGAGGATGACGACGATGATGAGATGGGTGAGATGGTTGGACCGAGTGGCATTGGCATGGACTCCGACGATGAAGACGAGGCTATCATAAATGAATCTCTTGGTTACTCCAACCTCTCGGGCCCCGCCCGATACAACAGCTTCAGCCGATCCCAGGCCGTGAGCTCCCATTATGACGACGAGCAAAATGACAGCAGTGATGGCGAGGATGATGGATTGGTGGAAATCGTGGTTCCTGGCCGCAGGTCCTCGACCGCGAACTAAGCTTGGACTCTTTGCATTTGATTGCGTGGCCATGACGGTACATCCCGCCTGGAGAAACGGTGGGAATTTTTACGCGAGTCGTTGTCGCGGCATGGCGTTTGTATATACACTTTCCATCGATGGAGTAGCCATGAGGTTATGCATTCATGATCCTCGAGTTCTGCATGGAGAGCTTTCTGATCTGATGTTTTATTTGTGTCCTTGCATGTATTCGCATGCTACCTGCCTCGGATCAGCTTATGAGTCCGTGGCTTTTGATTGTTGGCATTCGCCTGTGTACGATAGTTGAAGTCTGGAGAAGCGAATTGATTTAGTTTGAGCAAGCAGCAGCAAAGCCCCGTAGATCAACCCAAGAGTTTATTTCATAGATCATTCTACAAGATGCGTAGAAAGAACATCCACTTGAATCTCACAGACTCGAAGAAAAAAAGCGGGCCCCCACCATCCCGCATCAATTCTTTCCTCAGGACTTTGACCAATACAACCAAGTCGAGTCATCCTTGGATAACAGTGTCGTTGGCAAACAGTCGCACTGTGAGAAATATAAACATCAATCAAATAAAATCTACCTGCGTCAAAAATGGCAGCTTCCTCGGAGTAAGTGCAGTCTGGAGATACGTCATTCCCAGGGTATTTTGCACCCTAAGAATATTAAACATATCTAACACAACTAAAACAGAGAAGTCGATCCAAGGCTAAAAGCCCACACAGAGCTAGTGAGCTGGTTCATTCAATATGGTGGCACGGTCGATAAGAGCGTGCGCATCGCACAAGACGCCTCGCGCGGCGTGCACTTGCAAGTGAAAGCAGACTGGCCAGAAGCCATCCCGAAAGAGACTCGGGTGATCAACACTCCAATCGAAGTGTCAATGTCCTGGTACAATGCCATTGGGTACGAGTCACCGCGGGGATCATTCCCTAAACACGGCGTTGACCTCCCGCGAACATGGATCGACAAGGTCGGGCCGGAGGAGACTTTTGCTTTCTTCCTCATGGGCCAGTATCTACGGGGGCCTGAGGGATTCTGGTATCCGTATCTTCGTACCCTGCCTCAGCCGGGTCAATTGACCACCCCTTTGTTCTTTGGTGAGGAGGATGTGGATTGGATCCAGGGCACTGGGATTCCTGAGGCTGCCGTTGAGAGGATTAAGATATGGGAGGAGAAGTATGATTCGGGCTATCTTAAGTTGGATGCAATTGGATTCCCGGATTGTGAGCAGTATACATGGTGAGTATGGGATACTGCTATTGCCTGTTCCTTTTATTTAGCACGAGGAAACATTATGCTGATTGGTATGCAGGGAGTTGTATCTCTGGGCTTCAACTATCATTACATCCCGAGCATTCTCGTCAAAGGTTTTATCTGGGGCTGTCGAGCCTGATGATCTTCCAGAGGATGGAGTCTCGTCGCTGCTTCCGCTCATTGACCTTCCAAACCATCGACCAATGGCGAAGGTTGAGTGGCGAGCGGGTGATAAGGATATTGGCCTTCTTGTGCTTGAAGATCACTCAGCAGGCCATGAAATTTCCAACAATTATGGCCCTCGTAATAACGAACAATGTACGTATCGCGTTTGCCATGGCGTGGTATTCAAGCTTTTGAAACGTCTGTATCCTCAGAGACTGACTATAACATAGTGTTGATAAACTATGGATTCTGCATTGCCGGCAACCCAACCGATTATCGCATTGTTCATCTGGGTGTGAAGCCCGACAGCCCGCTCGGCGAAGCCAAGGCTCGCCAGCTAGAACTGTTCCCCCAGGTTGCCAAGAATACCGAGGACCACTATTACATCTTCAATCCCTTTTACCCACTACTGGCTCCCGAAACAAGGATGGAACACTCGATCTTCTCACCGGCATTGTTCAACGCATTGACCGTCATGGAATCAAACACACGCGAGCGCAAATCGCTCGAGATCACCGAGGGCTGTATTCGCATTCCCCCAGGATATGGAAACAGCCATAGTATCTATGCTGCCCTCGCTCAGATTAGCTTTGAGCTCATGGCTCATGCCACAAATCTGAAAGCCAGTGCGGAGCATCTGCCTTTGCAACCAACCACCCTGAACCAGACCCACTCCCAGATCTACCGCAACGGACTGGTAACATTAGATCAGGCTGCCTTGGTCATCGCTACTTGGACTATCTCCCGTGGCCGGGAACACAAGCGTGGTGAAAGCTGGGAGGATACCAAGGTCCTCCTACATGAACTAATGGCACGCGTCCCGGCCGGCCTTCTCTCAGACGAAGTCATGTCCCGGATCCGAGTGCGTATCCTGGAGCGTCCGTCACTCATTACTAAAAATGGTGAGCTGTTCAGATTAGGCGAGCTTTTCAGCCTTCTCCCGGCTGAAATGCAGGAGCCAGCTCAGACATGCTTCCAGCACGCCCTCGGAGTGGCGAGCCAGATCGTCCCGAGTATATCCACCGATCCGCAGACTATGTTTGCAACGGTTATTTGCTTGCTTGTTGCAACATATAATTCGTCAGAGGCACGGTTAAGATTGTCGTCGCGTCTCAACCGATGGTTTACTTTCTTGCTTGAGCAATACCCTTCGCCTTGTGACACTTCCAGATCCATTGAAATTGGTGTGGATGAACCTAGCGAAACACTTCGTCAATTCCAAGAATATACTAAGGCGGAACAACCAAGCTCATGGGCACCCGGTGACGGAGTTAATTGGCTTACCGAGGATAGTGGGTGGTTGGACTCGGAGTGGCTTCAATGGGCATGGACAGTGGCTGGCTCGGAAATGGTGATGATCCCTCTTGAGCCATTTGAGATCCTTAAGATGGAGGGATCACTGTCTATGTTAAAGCAGGCGTGTCTTTATGTACCACAAGAGTAAATAAAGAGATAATAGACATAGAAATGAAAGAGTTGTTTACGGTTCAACCTGCTTGCTTTGTGTCCATTATCTCAGCCTCCTGACTTGAGGTTGAAAACATCATGAGAAAAAAGGATATTGGAAAGACAGCCATGGGCATTCGCCTAAAAAAGAAATTCGAACAGATACTAGAGAAAGAGGCCACTTAAAGCGGCCATGTCTTCATGTATACATGTCACGTGATATAACATACTTGAGGTCGTCATGACCAAATCTGGAATACTGACTCAGCAATCTAGTCACGTGTGGGCTACCACCCAATCATATCGAGCCCAAAGGCGGATCATTCAGCAAGCGCAGGAATTGCCGTGAGCTCCACGACTCCCTTCCCTCCTTCTCCACGACCCTTTGACCCTCACCACGCATTGTCACCCCCGCCGTCATCATGATATCCAGAGCGGCGGCTCCCTCCACCTCCTCCCTCTCCCACCTCTCGACCCGCTCCCTCCGCGCACAGGGGGCGGCCGCCCGCTCCTTCGCATCTGTGTCGGAGGCACCTCCCGTGAAGCACTATGGCGGACTTAAGGACCAAGATCGGATCTTCACCAACCTTTACAGCCACCATGGAGCGGATCTGAAGTCATCAATGAAATATGGTGACTGGTACCGGACCAAGGATATGATTTTGAAGGGTGATGATTGGGTGGGTTGTCGCACAATTGACAGGCTGGGGAATTACCAATTGCTAATGCCATGAACAGCTCATCTCAGAGATCAAGGCATCTGGCCTCCGTGGCCGTGGTGGTGCTGGTTTCCCTTCAGGATTGAAATACGTAAGTGGTCTACATGCAATTCGGACGAACGCGATTGTTTTGGGATCCCGGGCTGACCCGCTACTCGACAGTCGTTCATGAACTTCAAGGATTGGGACAAGGACCCTCGCCCCCGTTATCTGGTTGTCAATGCAGATGAGGGTGAGCCCGGTACTTGCAAGGACCGAGAGATCATGCGCAAAGACCCCCAGAAGCTGATCGAGGGTTGCTTGGTGGTGGGTCGTGCTATGAACGCCAACGCCGCCTACATCTACATCCGTGGTGAGTTCTACCACGAAGCTACTGTTCTCCAGCGGGCTATCAACGAGGCCTACGAGGCTGGCCTGATCGGCAAGAACGCCTGCGGTTCCGGATACGACTTCGACGTGTACATTCACCGAGGAATGGGCGCCTACATTTGTGGTGAGGAGACCTCGCTCATTGAGTCCATTGAGGGCAAGGCCGGCAAGCCCCGTCTCAAGCCTCCCTTCCCCGCCGCAGTCGGTCTGTTCGGTTGCCCCAGCACAGTCACCAACGTCGAGACCGTTGCTGTGACACCGACGATCATGCGCCGTGGTGCCAACTGGTTCTCTTCCTTCGGCCGTGAGCGTAACGCCGGTACCAAGCTTTTCTGTATCTCCGGTCATGTCAACAATCCCGTCACAGTAGAGGAGGAGATGTCCATCTCGCTGCGCGAGCTGATCGAGAAGCACTGTGGAGGTGTCCGCGGTGGTTGGGACAACCTGCTCGCCGTTATCCCCGGTGGCTCGTCAACTCCCGTCATCCCCAAGTCCGTGGCTGACAACCAGCTCATGGACTTCGACTCCCTGAAGGACTCCCAGACCGGTCTGGGTACAGCTGCCGTCATCGTCATGGACAAGTCCACAGATATCGTCCGCGCCATCTCTCGCCTGTCTACCTTCTACAAGCACGAGTCTTGCGGCCAGTGCACCCCCTGCCGTGAGGGCAGCAAATGGACCATGCAGATGATGCAGCGTCTCGAGACCGGAAATGCCCGCGAGCGAGAAATCGACATGCTCCAGGAACTCACCAAGCAGGTCGAGGGCCACACCATCTGTGCTCTGGGTGAGGCCTTCGCCTGGCCCATCCAGGGTCTGATCCGCCACTTCCGTCCCGAGCTGGAGGCCCGTATCCGCCAGTACGAGAAGGAGCTTGGCGCTGCCCCCTACGCCGGTGGCTGGCACCCCAACAGCCGTGCTGAGGGCAAGCTGATCTCCCCTGGCATGTAAACGCACTTCCCACCTTTCCTTTTTCCATTTACAACCCTTTTTCTCCCTTTGTTGTCCCCTCAAAAAGAAGCAGGAACGGGTCGGGGATGATTATCGCATCTAGACCTCTCTTATATCTCCCTCTCCCTGGCCGGTAATGTCTTTTCTTGTTTCTTGTTTGTCTGGTCCGGCCAGGGAGGGTGGTGTTTCTCTTTTCTTTGCTCTGCTCGATCCCCTCGTGTTCATCTATCGCGCCTAGGTTTCCCTTTATTGTACAGTCGGTAGCAAATTTGATGCATTTGATGTGTTCATTCATGCTATGTAGCATATTTCCATTTTCTCCATTCCCATCAAGCGATTAATCTTATACTCATAACAGACGATCGAATGCAGTAGCAACAAAGTCTACCGCCTCACAATCGCAGAGCGATGATCCCCCGGTTTGAGCGTGTCTCAGGTCCTCCGGCGACACCAGTATCAGTATCAGCACCAGCAACCAACTCCCGAACATCAGTATCCTTCTGTTCTCTCCCATCTGATTTTCCCTCAACCTGAATCTCAGCGGCCCTCGCCTCCTTCTCCACTTTCTTCCTTTCGATTTTGAGCAACCTCTTCTCTCTCCAGCCCATCCCATACACATTCTCGACCCAGAGTAATCCCATCCCAACAGCCATGACCAAGCCCAGAAAAACGAAACACCATCCCCACCCCATGCCACTCAGCATCTGGCTAATGACAGCGGCCCCAACAGCACCAAGGCAGCAGCGGAAAAAGTTGCATGCCGACGCAGCTGTAGCGGGCTTGTCTGGGAACAGGTCGACAAGAAGGGTATTGAGGCAGTTCAGGGATGCAACGAAGCAGAAGCCTATGATGAACTGTAGGACTAGTGGGGCAGCCAAGTGTACTCTTTGCTGCAGGACCCAGCCATATGGAATGAATGCGGCAACGCCGATGGCCATTGCTGGGAATACCGTTTGCAGGCGATTCCGCTCAATTGGAAAATTGCGCAAGTCGTCTTCTTTCTTCCGGTCCACTGGGAATCCGAGCTTCTGGGCTGTCCGCTTGTAATTGTAGTCGATGACTTTCCCATATAGGACTGCGCTGAGGCATGAGCTTACTCCGAGGGGCCTGGGAGTTTGTATTAGTCAATGGACCCCTGGGTTGGGAGGATAAAGAGGGGAGGCACAGAAACTTACAAGAAACAGAGCCCAATCTGAAGCTCGTTGTATCCATATAGGGGACCAAAGAGATTGGGAGTGCTTGTCAACAGAGCGATATTTGAGAACATCACGATCCCGACGTAGGAGATGATGATCAAGGCATCCCACTCCAGTAGAATGGAAAAGGACCTGAGAGGATTCGGGAACCTCAGTCTTTTAGTATGCGGGGACTGTTGTTGGGATCCTTCTGCATCAGTTTGCCCTTCCTCATCCAACTGTGCCTGCCTCTTCGACCGCCATTGGATGACCGACCTGCGCCACCACTCATTTGGTACTTCACGGCCGTTACCAACAATCTTGCGCGCCGTCTCCGGCATAGCAAACACATAGAACACCAAGTACCCTCCACTAATAATGACCAGGAACCAGAAGACACTGCGCCAGCCGAGGAATTTGGCCAGAAGGCCACCGATAGCAGGACCCAGCGCAGGAGCAACCATAACACCTGCTGCCATGGGCCCGATATACTTCCCACGCTCTGCTGTTGTCGTAATGTCCGCTATGACGCCGTACCCAAAGGCCACAGTGCCGCTGCTCCCTATGCTCTGGAGACAGCGGAGGATAAGCAACGCCGCGAAACTGTTCTGCAACACCAGCCCGATGTTGGCAGCGGTGTACACTGCAAACGCAACGATATACGCTGGACGTCTGCCGCTCATGTCGGCGAATGTCCCCATGAAGCTCGGGGCTAGGCCTTGGAAGACCATATATGTTGTGATTGTGAGGTTGATCAGTTCCGGGGTGAGATGGTAGTTCCGTGCCAACGTTGGCATGACGGGGTAGTAGATTTGGCCGGAAAGAGGGGAGAAGAACGAAGCAAGAGTCACCATTACCACAATAAATAGCTTTTCGGATTTGCTAAATGCAGAAAACGATGGCTGGGAATTGTCCGGTGCTGTTTCTGTGGTCTCGGTATGTGGTCCGGTAGCTGGCGAGCCTGAGGTGCCCTCAACAACAGCCGCGGGTTGATCATGGACGTTGTTGGTATCGCTGGGGGATGCATGGATGGCTGGGGCTGCCAAGCCAGGGCCATATCCACTGTCGACTCTCCTTATATTGAGATCTGCCGGGGCGTGCTCGAAGGGACCAGGTACTGTCACGGTCTTTCCCTCACGACTTCCTTCAATCTGTTGCAGCTCCATGATGAATAAGGTGTGACAAACGGGATAAAATGAATGGCAGATGGAATCCGGGATGGTCTGTCTCAACAAGGTTAGCCAAGCTGGGGACATGATCTAGATATGGCGTCATTCTTACCATCAGATGTCGGGGCCGTTGAAGGCTAATAGAGGGACCTTCTAGTACGCACAACCCACTGTGATTTCGGTGTGTTATTGCATACTGGGCCCTCTCTACTGGCCTCGTTGGCGACATGCAGAAAGCACTGCCTAAGCGAAACAGACGGCAAACCCTGTGTTGATGCACTTTCGATGTAGCTCGTAGCTGCATCGATTACCGGGGAATAATGTACCTCCCATTCCCCATTGACCTCTACCATACGTATGAACATTGTCTCTACGTGGGTACTCAAAAAGCCATACATGCAGTCTAAATCCTGCATGTAATCAAGGGGTTGAGCTAGCAGAGTCCGAAGCAGTGCTTCGTCTAGATATGCCGAACCTATCTTGTGCTCGGTAATCCGTGGTGATTTAAGCTCACCAATAACCATGAGCTCGTTCTGGCTAGTCTTCAAAATAACATCGGGAGTGTTGTGGTATGTGCTCCCGAGGCATTTAAAATCGGCAAAATGGGCGTCGATACTTAGGGCCTCAAAGATATGGCCCAGCACAGTACCCACAGACTGGTTGAACCGTCCCTGTACACCGTGCTCATCGCCTATCTCGATGGTTTCCTGGTCATTATCGCGAGGTCTTTGTGTAGGCTCAATGACCTGTCGTTGCCAGGCCTGAGCTATATCTGTATTTTCTACATCCCGTAGAAAGTTAGGCCATTGGCGGAGCTTGCCTCTGTACTCAAGCTTGTGTAAAGCACTCGATTGAGTGTGGTACTTCCCTATAAGTAAAGGGGGGATGCTAGATCGCACAGCCTTTTTCGCGTTGATTCTTTGGCCGATCACTTCGGAGCGGATCTATAAGCAAAGCAATATTCGAAGTTAGAACAACGTGCGAATTGAGGATCCTGGGGTAATATTTACAGGATTTCAGACGATGATTATGATGCGCAGTATTCAGAAAAAAGTAAACAGATATTTTTTTTTCCATTGCACTATCGACAAATACTACGTGTATATAGTAGCTACGTATGTTAGTTTTGGAAAGAGCTACTTCGCTACTTCCCTAGTTCTCTTCTCCTCCCCTCCTCTCCTACTTTGTTTGTTCCTTCTTCTATCCTCTCCGCCTCTTGTCACAACTTCCTCCTCTTTTCTCCCCTCAACCCTTCCAACCCTGCCTTTGGTAAGTACAGCCACCCCTTTTTGCATCATTTCCCATCAAGAACCCATCAAAGCAATGCTGGTCATCAAAATAAGGCTCTTCCCAGTCTCATGCCGCTCTTTACACGGGCCTGCATGTAGATCTGGGTGGTCTCATAGTTGGCCTAGTCAGCTCTCACTTTGGTGTGACTGGCCTCTCAACTGGCTGGCGGCTTGCATGTCATGTATCTGTTGGCTGGCTGAAAAGGTTCTTGGTTACCATCTACTACCATCTGCCATCTACCATCTACTCTCACTCTACTTTCATCAACTCCCATCACTTTATTCTCCCATATCCTGTCTCTGTCATCTACACCTGTACCTCATCAAGAATTCGCTCTGATTTACAAAAATCTACAGTTTCAAAATGCATGGCGCTGAAACTCAGTTCCTGGTCGGCCTTGAGGGCACTGAGGTCCACACTGACGCCAAGACATACCTTCAGTTGCCCTCCCAGACATGGGTAATAACCGAGAAACTTGACGAGACATCTCTTGTGATGACCCAGAAGGACATGGACCACGGCGGCCTTGATCCTCCGTTTGCCGCTGCTAAATTCCTCTGCCACCGCAAGGATGACCCAACCAAGAAGCCAGCGTTTTTGCGAATTTACCACCAAATCCCCATCGCAGGCACCGAGTTCTCGAACTCCAGAATTCGAGCAAACCAGGCTGTCCCACCAATTGATCATCCTGAGCTGGATACATTGAAGATGTTGAAGGAAAAAAACTGCAAGGTTGTTCCCGACCTTCTTGGCTATCAAGAAGGACAGCAAGGAGATGATGGTATTGTTCCCTCCGGCTTCAGCACCTGTGTCGTCTGGGACAAAGTACCTGGGGAGCCTCTGACGCAGGAGTATTTCTGGAATAAAAAGCCCCTGACCCGCAAAGCAATCCGTGAAGAGTTCCGCCGAGTTTATCAGTAAGTTCCTACTCTGTGCTCATCTGTCGGGTCATTGAGTTAACATATCGGTAAGACAACTTGTGCGATACGGTGTTCAGCCACGTATGCCCACGTCAACAAAGCTCATATATGATGAGTTGACCGGAACAATGTGCGTGATATTCCTTCCCCGAGATGGTATTCGAGCGTGTGTACTTATTCTTCTTATATTCAGGCATATTTCAGGTTTCCAAAATGCTGGTCCTATTGACAGCACCCAGAAATGGTCTGATACCAACTACGTCTTGTATGACCTGGCCAAGCGACCTCCCAGACCGGATTGGTACCTCGACAGCAGTGGGTGGGAGTTCTGAACGTGGTCAAATTGTCTGCAGGGCTTGGAAATGCAATCGTCCCTGATAATCAATCAAATTCTTGCTGAAATTGCAACCGTCGCTGATAATCGATCAATTTCTTGCTAATAACCAAGTCCGGATCCCTGTAGTTTTCTCGTATTAGATATGAAAGATGCTATATATGTAGCAGTTTGAAGACAACATCGACTAATATGTTACTATTCACGTATACAGCTAGCTGTCTTAAGTTAGAGCAAACTAGATAGGGATCTATACAAAAACAATACATGAGCACATATACTAGTAGAACACCCTTGACAAACATCCCGATATGCGAGGACAGCGAAGCACAACCTAGACTCGTGATGGCTTCAGTTTTGCTCGTACTTGGGTTGCAACCAATGAAGAGAGCCGTAAGTGATCACAAGGGTATGACTACGAACAATATATTCTTTATTCTGCTACGATGTCTACACCAAAGAAGGCAAAGGACAGAATGAATTGGTTCAAATAATTTTTCAGCAATAGGGTAGAGTACAATACAGGTCATGGGAACCATTTGAGATCATTTGGGGGAACAGAACACAGCGAAAAAGTAAAGAGAGCAAAACAAAAGAAAAAGATCACGGGTGCTTGGGCTTTGGATGTAGTTAATGCCCGCTAATTCCACAATGAACATATGCAAACTGGAACATGATTTCCTTATCTCCTCAAAACTTAGTAGCCACCCGCCATGATGACGCCGTAGTACCGACGGCTCATCTCTGCGGTCTGCAAAACGCGAGCGTCGCCTGTCAAGGGCAGGCCCAGGACAGCGGAGGATTCAACAGACTGTAGAACGATAGAAGTCAGTAATGAGCAAAAACAATATATAAACGGAAAAGGGAGGTAACTAACGTGAACATCCTCGTGCGTGATCCAGCCAGCGACGGCTCGGCTCATCTCCTTAAATGCAACACGCTCCTCCAGTCCATCCAAACTGGATCCCTGGACACGATCACCCATTGCGACAAGAGCGTTGACCAAGCGGTTCAGACGAGTTGGATCACGTCGGCCGCTGGTGGCGTTGACCAGACGGAGGAAATCTTCGTAGACACCGCCGCCAGAAGACCAGCCGCGCATTTTACGCTCTGGCCCATCGCCGAAGCCAGAGACCAGAGCCTCGAGGGTACGGTAGTCGCCCTCGATGATGGTGCTTGGGCCGACGATGCGACAGAATGTAGCGTGGGCGTCGTTCCAGTGCTTGCCGCGAATAAGACAGTCGACCTCACGGGCGGCGTCGCCGATGTCGCGAGCATGCAGGGCCTTGGCAACCCAGATCCAGGCTTCGGGAAGCTGGAGCTCAGTGATGAGATATTGCCATGCCGGGTGGGAGGAGCCGTCGGCAGCGAAGGGCTCGGGGAGTTGAGCGGCAAACCGGGCGAGAGTTTCCTGGACGGCGCGCTTGCGGTCGTTGGCTTGGGAGAGATGCAGAAGGACGAACAGTGCTTGATCAAGTTTTCCGCCGGCACTGAGTTCAGAGGCGAAATCCCAGACGAGTTGGTCGGTTTGAAGCTGATCGATTTTGATGGCCGGGTTTTGACCGACCGTCGCAGCGAGAACGTGGTGTAGCTGGAAGGAGAGTCGGTTGGAGAGACGGTCACCGGAGACGGATTCGGGAAGGAAAGAGGCCGGGAATTCAATCGACTGGGAGCCGTGGCCTTGAATTACTGAGAAGGCCTTGAGCAGAACCCAAAGAGGAGATTCGCGCCCAAGGGTATCAGAGCCAGGCTGCAGGACTGCATGTGTACTGGCCTGGTGGGATGGGTGGGGGAAGGCGGGTTCCTGTCCGGTGGCCAAGTCCGCAAGGAACTTTGAGACAGCCACCTCAATTGGCTCATCTTCAGCAGTGCAATACCACAGACGAAGACCAAAGGCCTGGAACCAATCTAGGTCGAACCGCTCGGTGAAGCCAAAGCTGGAAGCTCGGTCTTCAAGCGCACCGCCCGATTTGCCCTCGCTGCGGAGAGCATTTCCAGCGACCAGTTCGTAAAGGGCTCGCGTGGGTTCGCTCATCTCTGAGAGTAAATTGTTCTGACGCCATACATCGATCTGGTTCGCTATGTCGGCCCGTGAGGTAGCATCGCGGCCAATCTGTGCGACAATAGTTGCTAGATGGGGATTTTGACTGTCGATCAGTGTCTTACACGCTTCCTCCACTCGGTGCGAACAAATCAAATGAACGGCGCGTTCCATGGGGGAGCGAATCAGATCAAGGTTCTGGGAGTGCTTTTCACGAATGATTCCCTCCCAAAGACGTGTGAGTCGGTCCTTCTTGATGCGGTGCGCAAATTGCTGTCGTAGACGCGGCGGTACACCCGCTGAGATGTCATCCTCGATATCATCATTAAAAAGAATGTTGAGAAGCTGCCACACCAAGCGCTCTTCCTCCGACTGGGAACGGGTAGACGGTGACAGAGGGAACTGTGACAGATCGACCTTAGCCATACGAACGAAAGGAGTGCCGTCAATACGCTGGATAGAGGACTGAAGCCGCTGGACATCAAGCATTTCCCTGACCTGTATCATCATCAGTATCAAGTTCAAATAAACACCAACAAAGCAACTAAACATACCTCGCCAGATTGGTTGTAAGTCATCACTGCAATATCGCGCTCTTCGCTAAAAATAGAGAAACTTTCTTTCCAGGTCTGGTTCACGCCTAAGATTGTATCCTCCATATCGTTTTTCGCGCAGACGAGGGAGTCCATGGGACCCCAGCGGGGTTTGAAAGAGTCATGGAAAGCGGCATCGGATTCACTCATTTGTGTTGTATCGCCAGCAAAGGTCTTGGGTTGCTTGTTGTAGGGCCACTGCAAGGAAGAAAAAAAAGTTTTAGCTCAGGTTATCGCATTTGTTAAACTATCTGACAGGTGAAGTGCAATTTCATAAATACATGATGCAGTAACACAAGGGAAAAACAAAGAGAATGATAATCAGTGTGAACATAAGAAAGGAGTTCTAACCTCAAAGCCCTTTGGCGGTGCCTTAGAAGGCTTCAGCGGAGAAGGGGCAGCTTGCTTGCGCGGCTGCTGAAACAAAGAGTTCATAAGATCAATGCTGTTTGAGAACCCTTTCTTCGGAGAGGCTGTCGCAATGGTAGTGGGAGATTCATCGTTCACGAGGTTGCGATCAAGGAAAGCGTTTGCCTGCATTTCACGCAGGGCATCACGGTTCTGCTTGCGTGGGCTGATGGTACGCTGCAGCTGCTCGGCCCAGTCGCCACTAAGATCAAGCTGAGGCTTTGCGGGACTGCCGAAATGTTTTGAGATAGGGTAAGTGGTATCCAGATCACCGTTGGTGCTCTGGTATTCGTCCCGCTCCACGGTGCGATGAGGAGTGGGAAAGGCACCCGCCATATCCATTTCATCTGCCTCATCTGATCCAACTACCGAATCGCCAGACTGTTGGCTCTCGGTGACGACGTCATCGTCATTCTCAGTAGTCGAACCCGTGGAGCCTTCCTCTAAAAAAGACTCGGTTTCACCCTCAGAAAAATAATCGTCCTCCACAGGCATGGCTTGGCTAGCGAAAGAGCCAGGAACAAGCTTGCGCTTCTTGAAATCGAAGGTATCGTCTTCAACGCCAATCATGGAACCGACGAAGGATTCGTCGATGGAGAAAGTGGTGGACTGATCGAAACTCGTGGGGTGGTCGAAGTGAGCCCTTGGGGTAGGGTGGTCAGGGCCCTGGGCACTCATGGTGCTCTGGTCAAGACTTTCACCTTCCTCTTCATCATAGTCAAGGCCGTACGTAGTGAAATGAGGCACCTTGAAAACCCAGGTTCCAGTCTCAGTCTCGTAGTTAACAAACTCAGTGTCGCCCACCTTCTGCAGACGATCAATGTGTTTGTCGAACAGAGGACCACTAGTGACAGGCGAGTTGCTCTTCTTATCTCTACCACGGGGCCAGGAGTTCTCAATCCGCAGGGTAGATGGCACGTTCAGTCCTTTGCCCCTGGCAGGCTTGACCGATTCCTCGGGGTAGACAGTAATCTTGCGAAGACCAATATCCACAATATTGGAGAAAAGGTTGTCCAGGTCAACGGTAGTCAGATCAACGGGGCCGTTGAAAGTGACAGATCCACAGTTCTGACGTCCAACAGTGAAGTCAACGACTTGTCTGAGCTGGTCGCGGCTCAATCGGCTAAGCTCGGCACGGGAAGGTTGCATCCAGTACTCACCAGGCCTTGGGTCACCACCAGGGATGAACGTAAGGCGCTTAACGGTAGCACCGTTGGTGGTAGGCGGTGCGCTTTCGGGGACAACAGCAAGGTCACGGCGGGTAGACTCCATCTCAGGACGATCGGTAGTGCCGGCAGCATCGAAACCATTGAGGCTACCGCTCTTGCGGACAGAGCGAAGGAAACCAAGCTCCTCAGCAGACGGTTCAGGACTGTTAGGTTCAACGCGAACAAGGTCTCCGCCGTTGAGCCCGGAGGTATTAGAGTCGAAGCTGACCTTTTTCTTCAGCTTGTCCGTAGACTGAGCAGCATCTTCTCCGTTGATGAGAAGAGGGGCCGGGGAAGTGCGAGTAGAGGTCGATAATATTTCATTTCTCAGACCACGGTTGATAGTGAGACGCTTGAGGTTGCTGGCACCACGTGCGCTGCCGGCCTGCAGGGCGCCGGGAGAAAGAATGCTGTCCGCCTCTGGATCGAAAGTCTTGCGAAGGTTGCTAGTGGAGTAACTCTTGCTGAAGGTACGACCAATGCTGCCATTGACGCTGCCGCGGAGACTGTTACTGCCGCCAGCACCACCCAACAAACTACTACCAAGACCAGATGGGGTACCAGTGCTACCAGAGGGCGAGCCATAGGTAGAGTAGGAGAAACCATATCCACGCTTCGGAGGGGTAATGAGGCGATTGGCAGCGTTGGGGGTAATTCTGTAGACCGGCAACGGAGTTCGCTGCTTTTGCTTCATGCTGGAAGACAGTGGCGTGGCAAGGGGACCGGGAGCCGATCCACCGGGAGCAGGAAGACCAGAGAAGATGGACTGGCTTCCATATGGATTTCCATCAAGGAGCGACGCTTGGAAGCTACCAGGGGCAGGCTGAGACTGTTGTCCGGGCATTGAGCCGCCGAAAGCACTGGCACCTGGGCCACCGGCCTGCGGTTGCTGGCTTTGACCACCGAAGAGCGAAGAACCGGCGCCTTGGCCCGTGGTGGTTTGACCACCGCCGAACATGCCGCCGCCGCCGGTTCCAGTAGTCGAAGAAAAGAGGCCACCGGGCTTCTGCTGCTGTTGGTTCTGTGTGTTGAACAAGCCACCACCGCCAGCGGCTGGCTGGGGCTGCGAGGCGCCGAAGCCAGAGAAACCACCTGCGGCGGGAGCTGGGGCAGATCCGAAGAGACCACCCGGCTTTTGTTGTTGTTGATTCTGTGAACCGCCAAATAGCGTACTTCCGGTACCAGCTTGCTGATTTTGACCACCGAAGAGTGAGCTACCTGCCTGCTGCTGGGGTTGCTGCTGGGCTCCACCGAAGAGCGAAGATCCGGCAGCTGGAGTGGTGCCAGCGGCGCCGCCGAGCAAACCTGTGCCAGTTCCCTGTTGCTGGGTGCCCGCGCCAAATCCACCGCCGCCAAACATTGACTTGGGTTGAGTTTGAGCTTGGTTCTGTTGGGCTGCGCCACCGAAACCACCGAAGGCACTTGGTGCTTGCTGCTGAGTACCGCCACCAAAGGGTGAGGCTGTGGCGGTCGAAGCTCCAAACGGATTCGCGGCAGAAGTTGTTTGGGTACCACCGAATCCACCAAAGGCGCTACCGCCAGTTGCGCCGGCGGCGCCAAATGCGGGCTTGTTCTGCTGTTGCTGGTTGGCACCGAACATAGACCCGCCAGTGTTGCCGAAAGCTGATCCAGTTCCAGTACCGGTGTTGCTTCCAAAGCCACCACCAGCGGTTTGTGTGGCTCCACCAAAGAGGGATCCTCCTGATGAAGCTGCAGGAGTAGCTCCACCGCCGAATAAGGAAGTTGCTGGTTTGGCTGCTCCACCAAACAATGGGTTAGCACCAGTAGAGCCGAATCCACCACCTGCGGTCTGTGTTGAACCGAAGCCGGTTGGCGCACTTGTGGCAGCCCCTCCGAACGGCGTGGTGCTAGCGCCAAAGGCACCAGGAGTAGGTGTAGTATTTTGCTGACCAAATCCACCAGTGGTGGCGTTACCGAAAGCAGGAGCGCCAAATCCACCGGCTTGGCCACTGCCGTTGCCGAAACGACGGCCTTGTTGGTAATCCGCTAGGCGCAGCTCCTCGAAAGACCATTTATTGTAGGGTTGCATAAAACAGATGCTTTGATAGTGGTTCGTGGTGTTGGCTGAGCTGGTATCCTTCTCATTCCAGGGACTGAACGGGGTGCCGCCAGTACCTTCGCAGTTAGGTAGAGCTCCTTGGAAGGCAGTGCCTGAGCCACCAAAGCCTGTGCTGGGGGTTGTTGTGGGGGCTGCAGTAGATCCGAAGCCACCGCTAGTGCCGAATCCGCCAGTGCCCGTAGCCGAAGTGCCAAAGCCAGTGGGTTTGGCGCCGCCGAAAAAGGCTTCCACCCGCGGGGGCTGCACTGGCATTGGCGCCAAAGCCACCAGTGGTGCCGGTAGAGCCGAATCCTCCACCAGTACCGAAGCCGCCGGTGGCGCCAGCAGTCTGAGTGGCTCCTCCGAAGAGAGATCCGCTGTTAGAAGTGTTGGTGGTGCCGAATCCACCGGGGCGAGTTTGGCCGCCGAAAAGGGCATTAGGTTGTTGGGCTGCTGTATTGGTACCGAATCCTAATGAAAAATAAGAGTTAGTAAACACAATCAACCCTTCGATGAAGCGATCAAAACAAGTGCAGATCGATGAGGAGAGGTCCTCGGGCGCATGTCGGCCAAAATGTGGGTAAGTCGCAGGTGGGTGGCAATTCCAGGAGAGGGCCACGATCGATCACTCCAGGGGGGACCGAAGAGCAAGTCCACAGATTCCACGTGCGCGATCAGTGCGAGAGCGTTTGAATCGCAAGACCATGTGATGCGGCTGGATATCTCGCAAGGGAAAATCGAGAGAGCAGCGCAAAGCTCATATATTTGAGCACGTACCTCCGCCAGTGCCGGAACCAGATCCGAATCCAGTAGATGTGTTGGAAGCGCCACCGCCAAAGGCGCTGCCGCCTGAAGTGCCAGTAGTGGCGCCTCCGAACGGGGATGCTGTCGAGCCAAAGCCTAGATGACGGAGGGGATCGCGGTCAGAGAGACTTGGATTCGAAGAAGCCCTTGCATTCCTATCTTGTTGTGGTGTCGCTAATGCATCCAAATGGTCCGCAGGTGATTTTCGATCGCACGGCGAAGGTCGTTATGTTGATATTTTTCGCCTTGCGCGTGGCACCATCGCGGGTCGGAATAAGGAGCACCGGTTGTCGAGATAGAGAAAAGCCGAGGACACGAGTAGGATGGGGGAAGATGGGGATAGGCGTCGAAAAAACAAGGGGAATTTGAAAAAAGTGAACAGGAAAGACCTACCTCCACTAGTGCCAGTGCCTGCTCCGAAGCCAGAGCCAGTGCCAGTGCCAAAGCCGCTGCTTTGGTTGTTCTGACCGAACCCTCCAAATCCGAAAGACATGATGTCGGTTGGAGTTTGTCGGGTGTTCACGAAGTCATAGGTTGATTGCGCGCAGTTTCGAGAGAGTGCAGATTAATATTAGAAGAGGAATTGCGAGCAGGAGTGGGGATGAAGAAAAGAGGGAGAAGACGCGACAGAAAAGGAAGAGTTAAGTTTGCTCCAGGGCTGGAGACTTGTGTTAGGTAAGGTCCGGGTCACAACGCTCCGTCACGTGATAGCTGCCTAAATCGGATTTCTCCAATGAATGCGGTGCAGAGCAAGAACAATAGGGGACAATAGACTTGTCTTCGGTCTGTCTATTGATAAATGACTCATTGATGTTCAATACAGCTCGAGGTGAAATATCTTATTAATTAACGACTATTGTCATTCACAAGTAATCCCAAGGTGAAATGCACTCACACGAGTGATGTATACCCATTTACTCGTCTACTGTAGCGCAGGCCTCTCTAAATTTTTTAAATTTTTTATTCTTGCTATATTCATGATTTCCATATGACCTGTCAACCGATTTTTGCCCACAAAATTTAGTCCTAAACCTCTCTTCCAATGCCTATGTCGACATGATTGATTTCTATCATTACAGAACCTTTGATATGAAAAAGTACAGGCCCAAATATGTCCAGCACCTCGTAACCGATAGTATGATACATAGTACCTAGGTAGCTCCGTATGTTAACTAGTTAACTATGTACATGTACATATGTATGTACCATCCAATCATCTCAGATCTTAGATCGCTATAGCCACGTGCGCATATCAGCTGGTCACCGCTGTAGACCGTCGGACACCCACGCACCGGAGGCAACTATAAAAACAGTCATCCTAATCGGGAGCATTTCTTTGTCGATCTTCCAGACCACCTTTAAAAATATACCTCGAGATCAGATACTATTAAAAAAATCCCCCTAGGAATTGCACAGCATGAAGCTAAAAATTCACGAGGTTCGTATTCTGCATGAGAAATCGCGAGTCACCGCTGTGGCTGAACTCATTAAGCGAGTTGAGATACCGAGCATATGTACGGTACACGACGAAAACAGAGACTACATGTATGTAAATGAATAGTTATAGTACTGTGTAACTAAGAAATATATGCACAGCTCATGCCGACTGCATCCAATAAGAGCCAGCGCAATGCAGGTAAGAAATCAACCCCATTGGATACGGGCTGATGATAGTTATACGGTACACCCGGGTTTCTTCCGAGGCCAGTCACCTAAGACGTTTATGAGCAACCTAAGGATCTCTTCTACAATTGGTACATAGATGGTTCTTGAAGAGCTTTATTCATCAGACCTTTGGAAAGCTACGTAACCAATAGCCTCTCTCTTTTTCGGTGTATTGGACTATTGACCGCGGAGTACAAGCTACCCCGGGTAAACATACATCCAACCACCTCGGAAGAACGTCCACGAAGTATATATGAAGCCAAAAAAAAATGCTATTCACATCGCTTCTGAGCGAGCCAAGGGAATCTCAAGTACAAGTAGTGATTCTGAAACCGGCCAAAAGAAAAGAAAAGAAAACCTCCCGCATGGTCAAGTCCGATTCCAACATGAATCAAGTGGACCAAGGTCGGGGGTGTATGATCCGTCGAGGACCATAATACTACTTCCAAAAGTCACACCAGGAATTTTGCTCTCCGACGTCATTATCATCAAATTCATAGACCTTCACTTTACTTCTGGCGGGCGGCGTGGACGGTTTCGATGATCTTGTCCACGACACTGGGGTCGGAGAGCTATACAGGAGATTTTGTTAGTGACTGTTCGAAGTAGACAATTGAGAATATTATGTTGCTGGAAAAGCGGTGTGCTTACCGTTGATGTATCACCGAGGCTGTCCTCCTCGCCACTGAGAATCTTCCGCAGGATGCGGCGCATGATCTTGCCACTGCGGGTCTTGGGGAGGTCCTCCACAACGAAGACGGCCTTGGGGGCGGCGAAGGGACCAATGGACTTGCGAACCTGCATTGAAAGGTCCTTGCTGATCTGTTCTGACCCGGTGCCCTCCTTGAGAGCGACGAAGGCATTGACAGCCTGACCGGTCAGCTCGTCGGCAATACCAACGACAGCAGCCTCGGCAACGGAAGCTGTTCATAGTTAGTTTGGGCTCAGTTGAGAATCTTGGAGTGTACTGTGGTTGCACTTACGGTGCTCGAGAAGGGCAGCCTCGATCTCAGCGGTGGACAGACGGTGTCCAGAAACGTTGACGACATCGTCGACACGGCCGCGGATCCAGTAGTAGCCGTCGTGATCACGGCCAGCACCATCTCCGGTGAACTATACATGAGTCAGCATCAATCCCGTAAGGTCAGGCTGCGAGGTGTCTTACGTAGTAACCCTTGTACACATTCAAGTAAGTATCCATGTAACGCTTGTGGGCACCCCACACGGTGCGGGCCATGCTGGGCCACGGCTGCTTGAAGGCCAGAACACCCTCAACATCATTGCCAAGAATCTCCTCTCCGGAGACGGGATCGATGATAGCAGGCTCAATACCGAAGAAGGGCAGGGAAGCACTGCCGGGCTTGGTGGGGGTGATACCGCCGAGAGGGGTGATGACATTTGAGCCGGTCTCGGTTTGCCAGTATGTCTGCAGATCCAAAAGTTAGAAGTTATTCCAAAATGTTCAAGGGTAGGGGGAAACGAACGTCGCAGACGTGAGCTTCCTCCTTGCCGACAGACTCGAAGTACCACTTCCAGACTTCCGCAGCAATGGGCTCTCCAACAGAGCCAAGAATACGCAGACTGCGCATCTTGTGGTGAATGTGCTGATCTCCAGCGCGCTTCAGCAGACGCAGAGCCGTGGGCGCAACGTAGAATTGTGTGACGTCGTGCTTGTCAATGACATCCCAGTAGCGGGAGAAGTTAGGGTAGGCGGGGGTGCTCTCGAACACGACGGTGGCACAGCCAAGCAATAGAGGGGCGTACACGACATAGGTGTGACCGGTAATCCAACCGACATCACCACCGCAGAAGTAGCGATCATCATCGTGGATATCAAACACGTACTTTCCAGTCATGGCAGCACCGAGCAGGTAGCCGGCAGTGGTGTGCATAACACCCTTGGGCTTGCCGGTTGAACCGGAAGTGTACAGCAAGAAGAGAGGGTCCTCGGAGCTGACCGGCTCAGGGGCGAGGTAGTTGGGGTACTTCTCGACCTCCTCGTGCCACCAAATGTCACGGCCAGCGGTCCAGGGCACCTCGGCACCGGTGCGCTTGAACACGAGTACGGTGTGCACATCGGGGCACTGCTTCATAGCCTCGTCCACAATCTTCTTAGTGCCAATAACCTTACCACCACGCTTACCCTCATCGGAGGTAATAACGATCTTGGAAGAGGCATCCAGGACACGGTCCCGAAGGGAGTCAGAAGAGAAACCAGCGAAGACAACGGAGTGCACGGCACCAATACGCGAGCAAGCCAGGAAAGCGATTACGGCCTCGGGAATCATGGGCAGGTAGATGCCGACCGTGTCACCCTTCTTGACACCGCGCTCCTTCAGAGTCCAGGCGACCCGGGACACCTCGCGCATCAGCTCTCCGTAGGTGATCTTACGGCCCTCGTTGGGCTCATCGGCCTCATAGATAATGGCGACCTTATCTGGGTTCTTAAGGGCGTGACGATCGACACAGTTGTACGATGCGTTCAACCGACCCTCGACGAACCAGGCATTGTCGCCGTTCTCGAAGGAACCGTGGTGTGTGGTTTCAAAGTCCTTGTCGAATGTGAGGAGCTCGCGGGCCATGCGGGCCCAGAAAGTGTCGGGGCTCTTGATTGATTCTTCATAAAGCTTGTTGTACTCCGCGAGGTCCTTGATGTGAGTGCCGGTGGGATGCTTATCGTGGAACGCCTTGGGAACGTGGAAAGTGTCGACCTCGTGTGCTTCATGCACCTATATCACCAACTGTTAGCCCATGATACTGTGGTCACTGGAGCTACGCGGGTCTGGTCATCCCGGTCAGGAGGGTGATTCTTACCACTGCGGGCTTGGGGCCGTCCGACATGATTGCGGGGTCCAATGGGAAGGATGAATGCGGAATGAACTATATAATAAGTTCTGCGCGAGATCGGATGTCAGAAGAAATGAATTGCGAGAGGTCCGGAATGGGGGAAAAGTGAGCAAGGTGGGATGAGCTCTTTATTAACGCAGATGGTGGGGTTGGCTAGAAATGAACTTACTCTGAGAGTCGAGGGTTATAGTTTATAAAGGGGGTATGATCAAACAGAGAGGGGGTATAGCAATTAGAAAGAGAGAAAAAAAAAGGAAATGCGAGAGGGGATGCACGACAATATTAGTAGTCGAACATTCCCGGGATGTGCCACTTCCCTTTTCTTTCCATATTGGGTCTGTGCACACGGACCACCCGTACAATAAAATACTCAAATACCACTCTACATCTGTCGAGCCGCAGACGGCCTAAGTACATGTACATTGTACAGGATTATTCACCTCGAGCCTCCGAATCAGGATTGAGATACATTCCGAATACACTCCAAGTCCTAAAGCTATTTCATTGCGATAATCACATCACAGCATATATGAGTTTGGGTTCGGCCATGCGGGGGTTGGAGGTTCCTTCCGTTGCTCCGGGGTAAGCTTGCCCCTCCAAGATTTTGACTAAGAGATGCTCGACACCTCATTGGGGCGTTTATAGTCGGGAAGAAACGCTAGTTCAACCGACCACGGCCTAGTTGTTCTCGTGTCGAACCCTTTGTCCGAGTCCAATAGGCGGGGGGTATAATCCTAGCTTAGCCAAGGGCCAAGGTCCGGGGATGGTCGCGGGCCAGGGGAGAGCGGGCCACAGGAGACCTTGCAAGTCAGTGACATTCAAAAGATACAAGCGTATCCTCGAGCCCCTCCCGAAACAGCTCCGACCCGCCGATGCAAGCCTTCTATGCCGCATTCGAATATTTGAGGCCTCCGTACTCCGACTCCATACGGAGTCGGAGTACCTTATGCATAGATTGTATTTTTCCCCCCAGGTCGTACTATGTTAGAACTCATTTGACTTTGATATTTCATAATATGATATTATGATGTCAAGGGATTTCCGGACCGAATATCCCCCATATAACTTAGTAGTTCGCCATCATGGAGGCTCATCATGGGACCGGATCGCCGACCTCGGGAGCGCTGGAGAACCTTGGAATGTGGGGTGGATGAGTAAGCTATCGAACCCTTTTGTGTTGACGGCTATTGGCGCTGTTGATCTGATGATCATAATCGTCTGAAAACTTTGGTATTGCGCACAGATACATATGGTAGTACAACATAAAGTGGTCCAGGATATACATACATGTATATATGATATTCATACATTAAAGCTACATGGGCAGGTCAACTGTTCTACGAGGCTCTGGACTCCGTATTTACACTATGTTTTAATTTCCTTCCCATATTATTATCATCAATTTTAAATGTTACATAGCACAGTTTTATGGGCTGGATTGTATTGTGGGGAGTAAAATGATTGTGGGACAAAAGGGGGGTACCTTGCAGCCTTGGAGGGCTTCTTTTGTCTTACTAGTACATAACTAGTAACTTGTACGTTTTTTTCAGTTTTCAAAGTTGCATTGGTGGAAATACTTCGATATAGAAATGATCCTTGAATCTGAAACAGCCCGAAGTTTAAGAATTTATCCCATCCCTCAACACGGGTTAGGCGGAATCTAGCCGCCTTGCGATGTAATGTGCATCGTAAATTTGACGGCGGGATCTTCGCCCCTCTGTAACTCTGCTACTGCATGAAGATCAGCGGAATACGAAATAATATGAACACACTACCACAGCTACTCTGTAAAAAGGAGTTGTTTAAGGTCCACCTTTTCCCACTCGTTTCCCAACAAAAAATAAAGGTAATGCAGCCCGAACCCGAGACCTGCACGCTACATACACCGGGCGATCCGACGGGGTATCAAGCCGTATTTGTACTATTTACAATAGTACAATCGCTGAATTGCAGCGGGGAGAAAGCACAGACCTGCCAATGAGCACAACGGAATTTTCGATAACAAAGATTATTGTGGGACGAGTCCCTCAGTACAACTTTAGAGCGTGAAAGAGGCCCGAGAAAAGACCGCGTTAACTCCATTCTTTGCTCGACGTTGCCCCAACAAAACAAACATCCAAGCAAATTCCACTTCAACACTGGGAAAAGGCCTGGACATCTAACCCGTTGTGAAAAATATTCGCCAAACCCGTCCAGTGTGGTCCATCCAAAATCGCACAAGCGGCAAATCCATCGTGCGGCTACCCCTGCCTATCGTTACATATTGTACCTAGACTAACGGCGCGCTAACGCGTGGATCGCATGACTCTCAGACGGGCCCGGACGACTGGGAGTATCATTAAGCTGGAGACTGTTGCGAACCAAATCCGACTTAAAAAATAGAATGCGGCTAGATCGCTGCATGATTGCCGCATAGTTTTTGGCTGCTTTAAGTGTCTTTTTCTAGTTCAGTCATGTCGATTGTAGGGACGGGTCGGCCTTTTCCGCCTCGGTATTTACTCGATATATTCGTCAGCCATATTCATGAAGCTTGTTGAATCTTCTGTCTCGAGTAGTTGGAGCGGGCGAGCGGATCATTGGGTGGAGTAGGGCGCGGAAGATGAAGACTTTAGGATTTGCAAAATGAAGACATTCTAGACCTGTAGCCCGCTATGGATTATAGCGTCAAATAGCTTATTTAGCGGTGGAAGGTGACCACCTCTCTTTCGGATTCTGGAAGGAGCAGTCTCACGGAAATCTGGGAAGTTTGACGATGATTCCTGAGCAGCACGTAGGCGCTATATATTGGCTCTTGTTACCGACGCAAGGGAGATATACCCGGCAAAAACATGCTGTAAGGGGGCTTTCATCATCGCATATTGGAACATTTTTGCTTTTTATTGTTCAGTGTAGTATCCCCAAAGCTGCGATTTATTAACTCATGCACGTTGACTGATGATCAATTTAGGGCCTATAGTTAGTGGTGTAGTTGTACTACACACTCGCTGGACATGCAGTGAGTTCACCTCAGTACTGATATGATGGAAACAAAGTGTTAAAAAATTTTGCTTGAACAAATTTTCGACAAGTGCTTCGTCCTACATGCATTTTTGACATGTTTAATTTACGATCTCTTGTTGGTTAGTAGTTTTGGTTAGAGATTTAGGGTTCGCAGATGTTGCGGGAAGGCGTCCCCGCGAGCCGTTAACCTTAGACCCAATCGCCTCAAGTCTTTTCGGCCATTACCTGGCCCGGTGGCAATCATTCGAGTATCTAATCAATATACTCGGCTAGCAACTTCGATCATTGCTGCGACCGTATCCACACCTGCTGTGAGAAGGCGCTGTCAGAGTAATAGATTGGTGAGTCGTCTTGGACCTTAAAAAAAGGACGACCTTTAACCCAATAAAGCCCTTTTATATTCCAACCCTTCAACTCCCGCCATCTGCTTGAAATTACACAGACTATTTCAATAGACCAGCTGTTCAACCCGTGCCACTTCATCCGAAAATGTACGGCACCAAGCGCGCAACACGCGCCCTTCATTCCAATGCCCGGCGGTTCTCTACTGCCACCCGACTACAAGCACCATCCGGTCTCAAGATCAATTCAGAGCGCTTATGGAACACGCTCCACGAGACATGCGAATGGGGTGCTGAGCATCGCTATGGCGAGTAAGTACCAATGTCCCATGCGACCATTGAACACAATCTAACGATACAACAGAAAGCCAACAGATACAGGGATGGCCCGTCTGACTCTCAATGATGATGATGCTCGTGTTCGTCGGTGGTTCGCCGCCGAAGTCCAGAATCTGGGCTGCTCTCTGTCTATAGACCAGATGGGAAACATGTTTGCGCGGCAATCAGGCCGGTTGAACTCGGCTGCTCCAATGATCGCAATGGGAAGTCATCTCGACACTCAGCCCCGGGGTGGTCGGTATGATGGTATTCTCGGTGTCATGGCTGCGCTTGAGATCCTTCGGACGATGAAGGAAAGCGGGTTCCAGACTAACTATGATATCGGAGTGGTCAACTGGACTAAGTAAGCATCGAAATTTGTTTTGATTGTGCCATTTGGGATTGTCACTAACCACAAGTCCACAGCGAGGAAGGCGCACGATTTCCCAAATCAATGTGTTCCTCGGGCGTCTGGGCTGGTGCCATCCCAATCCAAAAAGCTTGGGACCTGCGCGATATCCACGATCCCAGTGTAACTCTCCGCTCCGAGCTTGAAAGACACGGATATCTGGGTGACATTGCTTGTTCTAGCGATCCGGCTACCGGATACCCACTCGGAGCCCATTTCGAGCTACACATTGAACAGGGTCCAATCCTCCCAGAAAACAACCGATTAATTGGTGTTGTTCGGGGTGCTCAGGGATACAGATGGTTGACTATGACCGTTTACGGGAAAGATGCCCACACCGGAACGACACCTTTCAGTGCCCGTCAGGATCCATTGCTTGCATCATCTAGGATGATTGCCGCTTCGCACGATATTGCTAAGCGACACGACGCGCTGGCCTCGACTGGTATCATTAGAGTCCCATCGAACGCGTCTACGAACACCGTCTCATCGCAAGTGACTTTCACTCTTGATATTCGACACCCGCAGGATAGCGTGGTACACGCCGTGCAGGACGAATGCCTCAAGGCGTTTGAGGCTATTGCATTGCAAGATGGCAAGGGTGTGTCCTTTGACTGGACGCTGGATACGGACTCGCCGGCTGTCAAGTTCGATGACAACTGCGTGGCGTCTATCCAGGCTGCGGCGGATCAGCTGGTTGGCCGTGAGAAATCGATGCTCATGACTAGTGGCGCGGGTCATGATACTGTTTATACTAGCAAGCACTGTCCCTCTGCGATGATCTTTGTCCCTTGCCGGGATGGTGTGAGCCACCACCCGACAGAATATTGCAGTCCTCAGGATTGGTAAGTCCCTCTCATTTCCGTGAAGCCTTTTCAAAATCTAACAGTCGCAGTGCTCTGGGTACGCAAGCTCTTCTTGAAGCTGTTGTTCACTACGATCAATTCAGGGTAGAGGCTGAAGGGCAGAAGTAATCAGATTTTCAGTTGTATTGGCGTTAAATCAGAGCTAGATTGTACTATGTTATATGATAATGCTCCCATAATTAGAAAAAAATGAAGGATATTGAGATAAGAAACCCCAAAATATGCTTGTCGTACATTCATACCAAACTATATACAAGTGCTAGTGCCGAAACCGAGAAAGGGAATCTTGCCCAACGGAACGAAGGGAATAAAAGCCTTGAAATGTCTCATGAAGTTCCAAAAAAAATATGTTGGAGGCGGCGGTGTCGTGAGAAGGCGTCCCCACTCGACCCGAAATGTCGTCAGAAGGCGCGATGCGATGTCTTCAGAAGGCTCAAGTTATCGCAAATGGCACGGCAATAAATAAAGCGTCTGCATTGCGCAGATAAATTAAGCATATGCGAACGCACAACATGTCATCACGCCGGTCAATCTACTTCAACCCCGCGGCAGCAAATGAGAGCAGCGCCTCCCCGCAAATCGAAGGCCTAACATCATTCCACCAATCATTCCCCAACTATGCCCCAACTCCATTAGTCCAACTCCCAGAACTCGCAGCTGAGCTAGGCGTTGCAAACGTCGTCGTGAAAGACGAGAGTAACCGGTTCGGCCTACCATCATTCAAAGTTTTGGGCGCATCATGGGGCTGTTTCCGAGCGATTGCAGAGCACCTCGACCTGCCCTCTACGGTTTCACTCGATGAACTTTCAAACCGAGCAAAAGAAGCCTCGATTGTCTTGACGACAGCCTCGATGGGAAACCATGGACGGGCAGTTGCGTTCATGGCTCGACTCCTTGGTATCGAGGCGCGGATCTTTGTTCCTCAGTCTTTGAACCAGTGGACTCGGGATCTTATCGCCGGGGAGGGGGCTCGGTTGCTCGTTGTTCAGGGCGATTATGATCAGGCGGTGCAGGAGGCTGTGGATGAGACGCGTGTGGGACAGGGTGTACTTCTCATTCAGGATACGGCGTTTGAGGGGTATGAGGATGTTCCTACGTGGATCGTGGAGGGATACTCTACTATGATGCGCGAAGTCCAAAATGAACTTGCTCGGCTTGGTCTGTCGGGTAGTGTGATGATCACACCTGCTGGCGTGGGCAGCCTTGCGCATGCCGTCGCGAAACATTGCAAGTCGCAGGCCACACCTATGTCTGTAGTTGCTGTCGAGCCTGACACAGCTGCATGTTTATCTTCTAGCTTGAGTGCTGGAAAGCCGGTTACTGTGCAAACTTCTTCCACAATCATGGATGGCATGGACTGCGGCACAATATCTTCTACTGCCTGGCCCGATATGCAGCGTCTGGTTGATGCCTGCGTCACCGTCTCATCCTATGAGAGCCACCGCGCCGTGCAGTATCTAACTTCCAACTCTGTGGCAGCTGGGCCATGTGGAGGTGCATCGTTGGCTGCACTGCGGCGATTGGCTGTATCAAAGGAGGCTAAGTCAATTCTGAACAAGGATTCTGTGGTCATTCTTCTCAGCACTGAAGGTGCGCGCGAGTATCCAGTCCCCAAAGACGTCTCTGTTGACGATGTCGTGGGCTTAACTCAAACTCTCACTCAAATCAACTCTTCCAACCCGACCTTGTCTGTAACAGACGGAGTGGGTGAGACCGAAATCGCACACTATCTCGTTGCCTGGTTCGCCCATCGAGATATCGAGTATCACTGGATTGAGAAGGTCGCTGGACGACCATCCATTGTGGGAGTATTGCGAGGCAGCGGAGGTGGCAAGTCTCTCATGTTCAACGGCCACACAGACACCGTCAGTCTCTCCAGCTATGAGGCAGATCCCCTGTCCGGGTCTATTGGAACCAAGAATGGCAAAGAGGTTGTCTTTGGTCGGGGCTGCCTCGACATGAAGGGCGGTTTGGCTGCCGGGTTAGCAGCACTCGCAGCAACCAAAGCTAGCGGCCGCGTACCTCGGGGCGATGTCATTGTGGCTGCAGTATCAGACGAAGAAGATGCCTCACAGGGAACACAGGATGTCATTGAGGCTGGTTGGCGTGCTGATGCCGCTGTACTCCCCGAGCCAACCCAAGGCGCAATCCTTACTGCCCACAAAGGATTCGTGTGGGTTGAAGTTGATATCCTAGGAGTTGCTGCGCATGGATCCGACCCTGCATCAGGAGAAGATGCCATCCTGTATGCCGGATCCTTCTTACAGTCTTTGGAGAAGTACCAATCTCAGCTGCCAGTAGACGATCTCCTGGGTCAGGGTTCTTTACACTGTGGCTTGATTCGGGGTGGCGAAGAGCCTTCATCCTATCCAGACAAGTGCACTATCACTGTCGAATTCCGCACTGTCCCAGCTCAAACGGAAGAGTCAATCCTAGGAGACATCAGCGCCCTGCTGAAGGAAATTGGACAGCAGAAGCCTCGTTTCAAATACGCCGAGCCGCGCATTACGATGTCGCGCCCTACACAGAAGGTGGCAGCTGATCATCCGTTCGTGCAGAAGGCGATTGCTTGTGCCTCTGCTGTGCTGGGGAGCAATCCTGTCGTTAAGGCTGGCCCGTTTTGGACTGATGCGGCCTTGCTCGGTGCTGTTGGTATCCCATCCATTGTGTATGGCCCGGCAGGGGAGGGGCTGCACGCTAAGGAGGAATGGGTGGAAGTTGAGAGTCTTCAACAGTTTGAGATGGTGTTTACTCGGCTTGTCCAGGACTTTTGTCATTGAATATAGATCTATATAAGCATAGCTTAGAAGAACATACCCAAATTATTTTGTTATGTTTCCCTTGTAAACGGCGGACCTGTGAATTGCCTATATGAGTTAGTATTGGCTAGAGGAAGACAGCCGAGCCACAGAAGTTTTTCTCAAAAATAAGAAAATAGCTATAGTCAAAGACTGTGGCTGAGAATGCATTTTCGCGTAATGAATGCTTGTTATCAAATTAACTGCACAGATAAGAATCTATACTCGAACCACCAAAACACCAGCGGTATCTTGTCTAGTACAGTAAGACTCGACGTTTTAATAACCGGTGGAACTTCCCGTCTTGTTTCCAACACTCTCCGACTTCCCAGATTATTAGAGCCCAGGCTTCAATTTTCCATACAGTACGACAACTCTCCTCCTCTTGCCTCTCTTAGTTTCATTCCGTTGCCCATGAAGTGAAATCTATTCACTGATCCATATTCGATGTCAAAATCCTCCGTCCTAAAACTTTCGAGAATTTCTGACGTGAATTCTTTGCATTAGCAAACGTAAGGTTTTCTTATTTCACAGTTAGGAGTTCATCTTGTCATACCTCTAAACTGAAGCCGGCTTCCAGCGTACAGAGCGGTAACGCGCCCGTCTGACTTGCCATTCTTGTACCAACTTCGGCATGACCCAGACCACACCATACCCTTGAGAAATTCTTGTGAATATGTGTTATAGTCATCCAGAGCTTCTTGTTTCACACAAATTGACCTATGACAACGTCAGCAGATTTTACGATCACACAACCAGAATCCGAAATATACTTGATATCTTCCGTTGCCATCTTCAGACACCACTTCAATATCCATTTCGCCACGCAGAATACGCTCTCTAGGAGAGAGCCATGACCCACTGCTGGCCGTGAGTGATATTCCCTTTACTGGCAAGGGGATGCTTACCGGGACTATTGGGACCATTGAAGATGAAATAGTTTGGAATGTTGGCCGCTGCGATCCCAAAATATGCTTCTGGCGAGTCACTCCATGCGAGATTGAGTTGATGTCCATTCCGCCCTTGCACGGTCCATGAGGGGCGGTAACTAACATCGAATCCAGTTGCGCAGACGATGATATCGAATTTGGTGTGCTCGTGGGTTGTTTGAATCCCAGATTCTGTAATTTGGACTATTGGATTGACATTGACCCTCGCATTTTGCTCACGTAGAGCCTCAAGATACCCATCGCCCGGTGTTGCGCGTCGGCATCCAAGCTCATAGTGTGGAATCAGCTTGTCGCAGAGCTCTTGATCGTTCCCGAGCCGCTCTCGCATCGATGCATGTGCCTGCGCAAGAGCAGCTTTTTGAGCCGCCGAACCCTTGAAGAAGACGTTGAAAAAGTTGTCTTCACTATATTTAAGTTACTACGATTGGAAAAGAATCATTATGCAGCTGCCGGAAAGTTTTGACGTACCTGCGCTCGATCTCCTTACGAAGCTTAAAGAGCGAGGCAGGGTTATCACGAAACCCCTTCTTTTCTTCTTCGGTGAATGCAAAATTGGTTCCGTCTTTTGTAAGCTCAGCCGCATGATTAGAAAATATCCATGTAGGTGAACGGATGTAGTTGGTCAACTGAGCCGCGGTCTTCTGCAGCTGCGGGAGCACTTGGATAGCGGAAGCGCCATTGCCAATCACCGCGACTTTCTTGCCTGCCACATCGATAGAAGGGTTCCTGGACCACTTTTATTAGACCAATGACGTATACCGACACGAAGACAGAGAGACACACCAATTTGCAGTATGAACAAGCTCCCCTTTGAAATCATGAAGACCCTCGATATCAGGCCAATTCCAGTTACTAGTAAGATTAGTCTTATGAAACTTCAATGGTTGCTTTGTTCATACTTCAAGAAGCCCGACCCGTCGATCAATATGTTACATTCGTCTTCTTTTTCTTCACCGTCTTGTCGAATCTTGAGACGCCACTTACTCGAAGGCTCGTCCCAGGTCGCTTGGACTACTTTCGATTGAAGTTGGACATGTTCAGCTAGACCATATTTATCTGATGTTCTCTTTATATAGGACCAGATCTCGGGGCCTGAAGCGTAAAATGTTGACCAGTCCGGGTTGGGCTCAAAAGGGAAGGTGTAGATATGCGCGGGAACATCGCACTAAGCTCTCGAACGTCAGTCATCAGTTAATAAGGCTGTTGAATCTATCATCGAACAACGCACTGCAACTCCAGGATATCTATTCTCCAGCCATGTTCCACCAATGTCTTCATTCTTGTCATAGATGGTCAAATCGATAAAGCCTTCAAGAGCCTTATTGTATTTAACCTCGTATGCTGTCATCAGACCAGAATACCCGGCCCCGACACACACAATGCGTATGCGTCGAGGTTTGTATGCGGGCTCTTGCAATAAAGGAACCCAATTATTCGCATCGCGCAAAGGATTCAACGCCGACTTGGACGCCTCTAGAGAGCGTTGATTAACTTCAGGCTCCATCTTAGTCTCTATGGCGAGCTTGAGAGTTTCACTGCGACTTGGGGTTGGCTTTTTTTGAAAGTGTAGGAGAGAAAAAAGAGTAAAATGCGGAGTTGGGACAGAAAAATGCGGGAAATGGCTCATGTAGCTGTATTTTGTCTAAAACAGACAATGGTATTACGTCTGACTATGTTTATTCTGCAAGGAAGAGGGTATCCGAGCGTGATCCGATCAATATAGTGGGGTGACATAGAAGGCTGGCCCCACAGATACATGGCAGGGGGTGGCGCTGTCTGTTCCTCGGGCGGCACGGGCCAGGGTGGAGCTAATATCGCCACTAGCGCTGTCCGCCTGCATGCGTGATTGGCCCGGAATAACGGTAGTGGGTTGCCGTCATAGGGCGCCGGGCGGGGAATATGCGGGGTTCGGATGTGGCGGCATAGTATAGCAGAATACACAGTTATTTTTATGAGATATTTATCTATTGGTCCCTTAAATAGATAGATATGCATGACAGCTGGCGACAAGGATAGATTTCTATTAGTCTATCATGTAGGCAGGCAGATATGCCCGTAGCTAGCCGGGCGATCCATGCTCTGGCTAGCTATTTAGGGCCCTTAGCTTTGCGTTCTTTATGTACTTTATGTACGGAGTACCTGAAATTTCGTGCAGAGATCGGATAAGGGGCGAACGCTGAACATTGAAACAGTGGATGTTATGAGTTGATGAGTTGGAACAAAATGGTCAAATGCTCTTCAAATCAGCCTTGCCGAGTCCAACTAAAATTAGGATCCTGGGCAACAACGGTTGCCCCAGGGTTCGTCCTTCTGACAGGTGCATTCCATCCCGCTTCCTGCAAGTAATTACATTTCTTCACTCCATATTACGTGCCGTGTAAGAGTTGGGCGGGGAATATGCGGGGTTCGGATGTGGCGGCATAGTATAGCAGAATACACCGTTATTTTTTATGAGATATTTATCCATTGGTCCCTTAAATAGGTAGATATGCATGGCCTCGTATGAGGAAATTTGGTCGAGAGGGGGAGGAAATTATTGCACGGTCAAGCGAGCACTAGGGCTCTTGAATATGCAGGAAAAGCCATGTAGAGCAATGGTAATATGCGTGATACGTACAGGCTTGACGACAGTTAGTATCACGAGACCCTTCACGATATCACCGGGGTAGTATTGGCGGTACGGCTCGAGGGGCTGGATGTGGAAGTCGGCGATATTCCCGGTGCGTGGTCATCGTAATAGCGAGGCCAGTCGAGATAGTAGAGACCGATTGGTCGAGGGTGCGAGCAATGGCAAAGAAGGGCCCATGCTCTGAAACTTGTTTCTCGCAAGCGGCGGATGGGTGATGACAGCTTTACCAAGAGCTTGGCTTTGACGTGCCTAGGAGAAGCCTTGCATCCTCCCAAAAATACCATTAACACACGCATGTGAACTCCGTGGCCACCGGCACGTTCTGAATCAGGCAGACTACGGCTCATTGAAAATGAGGCGGTAGATCAAATATGCCTATATAATTGTATGAGAACCCCAGATAGACTCCTTATTGAGAATTCAAGTTCCTGATCTCTCTCCTACATCGCTATACTGCTATATCCGCTGTACAAGGTGCAATTTTTTCGACTACAGACCCAGGCTAAAATTTTATAACCTGCTATATACCACTGAGAAGCCGTTCCTTGCCTTGGGCTTTTCTCATTCAAAGCCATGTTGCAGAAGCAAGAAGCAGTAATGCAGCCACGCCTAGAGCGTCTCGAGCAAATGCTCGGCGATCCTCTCTTCGAAAGCATACTCTGGGGCCACGAGTACGACCTAGGTGGACTGGACAACAGTCTGCGTATTAAGATCGAGTCCGGCCAGTTCAAGAGGATTGTCTTCTATGGGATGGGATGCTCCTCGGTGGTGTCCGACATCGTCAAGGGCTTCTTTTTAACGGAGCGCATCCCGATACACGTCCAGGTTGTTAACGACTACGACAGCGACTGGTTTATCGACAGAGATACCTTGAAAGATGACTCCACTCTGACGATCATCGTCTGCTACAGCGGCTGGTCGGTGGAGCCGTGCCTGTTCTTCGAGACCATGCGAAAGATGACAGGAAACAGAAACCTGATCGTTCTATCTGGAGGCGGGAAGATTGCCGCTCTGTGCCAGGAGCACGGCACCTCGTTGATCCAGTATAAGCTAAGGCATGCCGACCGGGAATACCCCCTCTATCACGTTCAGCAGTTCTTCTCGATATTCCTCGATCTCTTCCACAAGCTGAAGATCACAAAGTCCTCATACCAATCCGAGCTCGAGGACTCGGTCAAGTTCCTGAAAGCCGAGTTCCATGAGGGAACCCTCAAGCGAGCAAAGGCCATTGCCGAGAAGCTGAGGGGGAGCCGGATCGTCCTGCTGAGCACGGCGGACTGGTACGTCACCCTCCTCAAGCAGACAACCATGTTTTTCAACGAAATCGCCATGGTTCCGACTCACAGAAACCTCCTGCACGAATTCTCCCACACCGAAGTGGCTGCCTATTCCGACCCGGCCAACAAGCAGGCCATCGTCACCTTCTGCGACTCCAATGCCGACGACTACACGCGGAATAAGATCCAGACCCTGGAAGGGCTGTTCGGTAGCAAGGAAGTCCCTCAGAACTGTAACATCGAGTTTGTCAAAATCGAGCTTAACCAGGACAACTTCTTCAAAAAGTTCTTCTTTACGCACTTTTTTACAATTTATGTTGCGTATTACCTAGGGAAATACTCCGACGTGGAGGGGAGAGACTTGATCTCGATCGCCGCGAAGAACCCTTGGTGGAGCCAGCGCTCGATCGAGCTGTTCCCCAAGTGTATCGATATCCCTTCGGTTCTCGAGTCCTAGAAGGCTGGTGACAACCTAAACGAGCCAGTAGGATTGCAGGTGAATGGATACTAAACAGTTTCTCTCTATTCAACAAAGGGGAAATCCTATTTGCGCTGGTCTCTCTCTTCAACAAGGGGAAATGCTACTATGTTTCGGATGGAAATTCTAGTTATCTTACATTACGATTATTCTGAAATGAGTCCATATTCAAGTTTCTATTGTCCCAGCCCGGGCTGTTTATTAGGAGATGCTCTCCTGTGCGACCTCGCGTAAAATTCGCCCACTGATCGCCACCGTAATAGCAAATCATATACGATCATTTGGCCTGATCTGGAGCATTAAGCATTAAGGTACTCTGGCACGAAATGTATTGTCTATTTACCAACATTTGTTACATGATACGCCTTTGAAATATAGACTTCAGATGCAGGAATAAGTCCATGAGCCATGCCGCAAAGACTAGCATAGTCATGACTGTTGCCACCCAAGCTATGGCATTGGATTCCAGCTCCTCGCCAATGCGAATCGTGGCAATTGTGAAGCCAACATTGGGAAAGATAATGGCCCACCAAGGAAGTGTGAAACTCATCTGTGGCTGCGACATACTATTGCCGCATTTGGGAATCATAATGGGCAACTGAGCGACCAGCGCAATCGCGAAAAGCCAGAATGTGAAGAGCCAAAGGAATATACCTATCCACAATGCCACGACGTTCAGGGTTTCTGAAGCAGTAGGGTGCTTCGCAAAGTATCCGTATTCGTCGGGGATCGCCTTGGCGCACCCAAGGAGAGCCACAATGGTGTATCCTGATGAACCTACGGATATGAAGAGTCCGGGTCTCTGGTTTGCCGGGCCTAAACCATTGATAAGCATGTTGCCCACGAAGAGCTGAAGAAACAAAATGCACAACATCCACCCAAGACCCTGAAAAGCAATGCCGGCAACGATGATGGCCATTCGTTGTGAGAGAGGCTGATATGCTGCAATAGACGACGCGACAGTGCCGGTCAGCATGGCGTTAAAAATCATCAGAAACATTGGTGGGCTCATGGTGCCAGGCTCGAGGGGGCAAACGACAAACATGACGACGAAGACGACGATGTTATACACCAGGGTGATAGCAGCATAGGTCCAGAAGAGAACGCGGACGGCGACAATGACCCAAGGACCGGCGTGAGGAACAGCGAAACGCTGCATGCATATGATGATGGTCGCCATCGAGAGCCATAGAGAGCCTGTGAAGTAGGCTTCCGGGGGTTTCGTGACGGATTTGCGGAAGTTGGAAGGTCTCTGTACGAACCGACAGATAATGGCTGTGGTGAAGAGGACGAACAGAACTAGGTTGAGGATGAAGACTACGACACCGGCGGTCTGCAGCCCGCGAAATTGATGGGGGGTTTCGGACAGGAGAATGGCCACGCCGCCGGTAGACTGAGTGCAGGTGAAGTTAGCCCATGTGAAGCGATCGAGCAGTCGGACCTCCTCGGCGGCGCTTTCGTCTTTGGGTTCCGCATTGTCAGGTCGAGCGGCGTTCCTCGTTGAGGCTTCATGCTGCTCTTCGTCTGGCATAGTGACTCCGTAGGGACTAAAGGCAGGGTCTTAACTGAGCGGAAATGGCTGATTTCCGAAGAATGAAAAGAAACAAAGAGGTACGAGGTTGCAGATGGCTGGGGGTAGAAAAAGCTCGCGAGGGGTAGCTACATGTATGTAGGGGAGTGTACTCCGTACTAACTAGTATAGATACCATTACAAAACACGCGGGGTCCAGCCGGCTTGAATTTACACCAGCAGTTTCTATTAAAATTTAGGGTATTATTAGTTAGGCAATTAAAGAAGTGCTATGAGATTATTCTACTCCAAGTATTCCTAACTAAGATTTTAAGATGCAGCCTAGTAATAGTAATACAGGGAATAAATAGTGCTGAAGATCACGATCACTGCTAAGTACATAGAAATTAGTGTTCCTCAACGGTTCGGTCCTATAATTGAACCCAGCCTTCTAGGTCAAGTCTATCCTTTCCGTTCCTCAGGTGACCCAGAATTGCATATGGGCTTTCCTTTTCCCTCTCCAGCAGAACTATTCAACCAACTTAAGTATGATTGCCAAAAAACAGAGAATATCGATGTCACAATCGATCGAGACTGGGGTTTGATATATGAAAAGTTGAATGCCGTCACCAAAGGCCAATACAGAAAGCTTCTGGGAATACTTATAGATGCTGTATTTTTCACTCTTTCAATTGCACCCCAAAGCCCCTCCCCGGCGAGGAGTCCATGAAACGCGAAAAAATAGACATTGAACATCGGAGTGTAAAAGGTTTGGTTGGCAGCTACCTTCGCCCCCAAAGACAGAGAGGATGAGCTGTAATTGAACCGCCGGCCTAAGAACAGGAACCATTCGTGACTAGGAATCGCGATAACAAGACCGATGATGACACTCCGCAGCGAGCGATGATAGTCGAAATCATCATCTCCTATCATTTGTGCTGAAAAGTCACCAAGACAAAATATCAGCGGTGTAAGGCACAGTTGGGTAATGTATGGTCGTCGGCTTTGAGAGTGTGAAAACCAATCAAATAGTGATGCAATGGGTCTCTGATGTTTTCGGGCCATCGGCCTCGGAGTTGTACCACGAGGAACAGCATCTTGTTTTGTTCGGAAATTTGTGGTTTGAGTGTGGTGATAGTTCACTGGGATACGACTCGGCAGCCTGAGACGCAACCGAGTGAGCATGACTTCGTGACGAAGATGAGGATGGGAAAGGCGAGAGAAGACACCGAGGAATCAGTATAGTACGTGTAAATGGACGGGTCCGAGAGAACGCGAGCTTGCCAGAAGAATCAAATCAGTTGGATGGGACTCATTACTTTATAGGGACCACAACTCGAATTTCCGACATACCAAAAAAAGGTGATACTCTCAATGTCCGAAAAAGACACAAGGGGTAGAGTTGATTATATAATACCGGTCTTATAACTACATCCTGGAATTTCGACCCCAATATCCAAGTCACGCTCCAATGCCCGGAGAAATAATTAATGCGTCACACTCAGAATCAGGAGGCCTGTTTATTTAGTGGTCGATAACAATAACAAGGTACGATCACCAACTGTCTAACCACTAACCGTGACCAGTTAGCAACGCGTAACACCAGTCCCCAGGATCACCATATCTGTTCCTGGGAACTGTGGGTGCTCTAGGAGCAGGGCTGTTCCTTGATAATCGAAGGTAAGACCAGAGCCTTCAATCTGAAATCACCAGGCTCTAGGAAAGACTGATAAGCTGACAGCAGTCCTGAGGCCCACCAGCCTTCTCCCAAAGAAGATGGCTTATTCCAAGGAGGAAGATCGATTTTGTGTCGACTGTTTGTACCAAGATTTTCCATCTGATTCTGCACCAATCGTTATAGCGAACTACCTAAAAGACCTCGGGCCACCAAAGAGTGCGCTCGACCACTTGCACCCTTGCAACTGCCTTTCAGCTCGCCCTTGAAGGCTGTGGGCCTCCATATCTCAAAGACCAGGTAATAGCCACTATTGCCTAGTAGGCAGACTAGATGCAACGAGTTGGCCAATTGCTAGAACATCTAGCCAGGCAGGAACTCGTCATGGACGTGGTCGACGTAGAAATAGCCGATCAAGCACTGGCGGATCACTGAGAAGATATCGTGCTGCCCGTGACGGAGAGGCCATGGAAGACAACAAGCTGGTGTGTCTAATGAGTCCCCCGACTAAAGGCCATGTCGGTGTCCACTTCGACGATGCACGGAGCTGGCTGAGGCTGATTAGAACCTTGGCTTATAACCAGATGATGCACCCGGACAACTTCGATCTTGATCGCGTGGCGAAAGAGGTACTTGCGTTTCTGGCTTAGTTTGTGTATCTAGCAATGTTCCTTGTGCATGCTTGATATTGTGTAACCATCAACCTGATACCCCAGTAAAGGGATCGTCAAGGCAGGGCAGAATACAGATTTAAAGAACGCATTGCTTGACAGTATAAAGATTTCAAAGGAGACAGCCAGACCCGTGAACATGGTCGTTGATTCGTGTAGAGGAAGTGTTGTGGCTGGTGTTCTTATCGCCACGGGACTACACAGCCAGGGCCGATCGGCAACATCCAGATCGGCCACCTTCGCCAGACGACATCCCACTTATTACCGCTACTAGCTAGCACACCCATCTCGTTGTTTCCAAATTTGCAGCAACTCTGATATCTTTTCTTGAAGATCCCGCAACGATGGCAGACGAATCACCAGCACAGCGATCCGCCCGAGTGCGCCGTGAGCGCCGCGAGGCAAAGATCAAGGAAGGAGGCTCAGCGCGCCTGGACAAGATCACCAGTCTCAGTGGACGCACACCACAACCTGGTACGAAATGAGAACTGCATCCCCCGTGTCTAGCTCCCGATAGCAATGCCGACATGCCGCCTCATTAGCCACGCTAGTACAAGCAATACTAACTGAAGTCAACTACAACAGACCGTGAAGAAGCCTCCCCATCCCCTCGACCTCAGCGCGCAATCTCCGCATCTCCCTCGCCTCAACCAGACATGCAGTCACCAGAAGCGATCCGCGCCCAGCAGGAAGCGTTTTTCTCGATGCTCCGACAATCCGCACCGGAACCAGGCCAGGGCGTGCATCCCGACCCACAAGCGCCAAATAGCCTTCAGGCACAGCAAGAAGCATTCCGCGCGATGTTGAGACAATCCGGACAGGACCAAGGACAGGGCCAGCCGCCCAGCGACGCCGAAGACCCCACCATCAAACTCCTGAACTCTCTCATGGGTGCTATACCCGGCGGTGACCCCAATGCCCCAGCAGGAGCACCTCCAGCCGGCGCAGGCAACCAACCGGCACCTGGATTCTCGCCCGCTGCTATCGCATCAATGCTCGGCGTCCCGCCTTTCATCGCCAATATGCTGGGTGGAGCGACGCCGCCAACAGAGGCGGAGCAGAAGCGCGCTCGGATTTGGAAGACTCTGCACACTGTCTTTGCTTTGGCGGTTGCTGTTTACCTGCTATTTATTATTGGGACTTCGGTTGCGTTGTTCGGTAGTCCCCCGCCAAAGCCTGCGACGGCACAGAACCCCTTTGCGATTTTTGTGACAGGAGAGTTGCTGTTGACTGGGAGTAAGGTGTTGCTTGGTGGGAAGTCTGGTGGTATGGGAATGGCAGTGCAGCTTTTCAGAGATGTCGTGAGGGATGGTAGTCTCCTGCTGTTCATGTTGGGCATGGGGACTTGGTACAATGGCGCATGGCAGACTACGGCATGACTAGGGTAGCTTGAGTATTTAGCTTCGTTAACGATCAGCACGATATGAGCATTTTCAATGGCATGTATTATGTGATTATTATTTCATTATTCGTATACAACTTTTGATAGAGGCTAAACAGACATGTTTACGACGGCCCGCTGGGACGGTGGGATCGCGTTGCGTAAAACACTCAAAGCAGATGCATCCAGACCCCAATCACCTTCCCATTGATCCATACGAGACCCTTTCTTGAAATGACCCGCCAGATGCTCTGCCCGAGCTGACCAGGTGGAAAGTGAACATCCACAGAATCCACAGCGGCTTTCGACATTGGCGCCCGATCCGCGCCAGGCTTCGAGGTCAGCCACGGGGACCTTCGTGCAACTGTGGAACTTGCGCAGATGCTGCCATAGATAATCCTTTCGACTGAATGAACGCGCCTGAGCAGGCTTGTCGGCACATACTCGGAATTCATGCTCTTCCCAATGGGCGGGCGTTGGGAAAAGGACGTCGCAGAAGGGGCATTCAGAAAACTGGAGTTCGAACGCTTGTTGGACGTCGTTGAGATTTGGAGTGCAGACCCAGGAGTCAAGGGTGAGATGGACACTTTTCTCGTGGCGGGCCCAATCGTGTTTCTTCTTGAAAGACTGCGTACAGAATGTGCACTGGTAATGATATTCGACTGCTGGGGGTCGTTGCCGCCCTCGAATGCGTTTGGGTTTGGTTTGCTTGGGGAGCAGTGGGAATGGCAGCCCCGTGTCTGCTGAGGAATGATAACTCCATGCTGAAGAGGCACTACCAGATGTTTCAGATGCCTTGCTTCCAATGCTGGATACCGAGGACGCCAAATGTGACGAGCTCTGGTCGAAATTGAAGAAATCCATGGCAGACCCATCGAACTGGAACGGGTCAATGCTGTCATCCGACTCTATCGAGCCAGAGGCAATGGCATTTTGAATTGCCGCTTCTGGAACAGGTTCATCTTCTGGCGGGGAAGCCTGCCATCGCTCCATGGGTGTCAGGGAAGACAGCGTGCTGGTGACCATGGGGGAGCCTGAGCGGGTACGGGATGTTGAAGAAAGTCCCGCAGTCTGGATCTTTTGCTTTTGGCGGCGGCGCGCGTTTGCAAACCAGGTTGATATGCGCTTTTGGGAGAAGCCAGTCTCATCGGCCAGCTGATTCTTTTGTGCATCAGTTGGATAAGGATATTCTTGATTTTGATAGAACCACTCGCGGAGAACTCTAGCTCCTTTTCTGAGAAACTGTTTGGGCTCTTTTCGTTCATCGCTATTTTCCATAGTTGTAGCGGGCAATGGGTTTCCATCTTCCGGCACACCGTGGAGATGACCCAAGACTGGAGAGAAAGTTTCAAAGCCCGACGGGAGGCGTTTCTCTCCCTTTGCTAGGCTGCATTCTCGAAAAAGGGCCACGCAGCTTGAGCAGGAGTTTCTGGGATTTGGATTGGCAGGCGCAGTGCGGATTATCAGACATTGCAGCCGATGCCTGCGACAATGGGCACATGATACAGGGGGACGATATGCCCCATCAAGCCACTGTGAGACATTGGTGAGACTTGGTTGCGGCAAGGATGGGTCAAAATATTCTCCTGCTAAAGGCGGAGCAGAATCATATAGAATTTCTGAAGCCTTCAATTCTTCACGGTCTTGATGTCCAGGTTGTGCATCGGCGGTGGGTATGACGTGTGACTCATGATTTGTCCACTGCGACCATTCCAGATCACTGATGTCTGAGGGAAATGGTTGAAATTCGTAGTCAGTATTTGTATCAAAAGAATGGCTCTCTTGCATCCATTGGGTTGGCTCATTTGCATCCAGCATGCCCTCCAGCTCTATATCTGATAGAGGCTGCGGCAATGGCTGCCATGATGAAGGGTTGATGGATGGCGGCTGCGGAGTCATGCCATATAGCGATGGACAGAGTTGCCCGCGCGGTATATAGTGAGCCCTTTCTTGTATATCGAGATTATAGTCCAAAATCCACGAGTAGCTTGGCTAGACCCCGTCGCGTTCTGCCTCGCCGTTAATTTGCCGTTATCGATGGGTGGCGGACGAAGTCCGCGCTAATCCATATTGGGCCAAAAAATGTTCCTCGCCACACTAGTCCAAAAACGGCAGGTACACACCAGCCGCGCCAGGCAAGATACATGTATGCCATTACCTAAGCTTTCACTGCCCCCGGAGCGCGTGGGCCGATCTCGGGAGCATCCAAGGTTAGGTAGATCCGCAATGAATCTCGAGGTCTGTGACCTCGTGTTCGCTGCGCCTACTAGACCTTCCCCAGAGTCTCCTTGCCGATTTCTCCGTATCGGTCTCCGTAAAATCCTCGAAGCAGTCTCAGATTATGCACGATAAGGTCGGGGTAATTAAGAGTTTCCGAAGTCGGCTCCAGGGCTGAGATCATCCTTGTACCAATAACTATTTACTTGATACCTCAATTGAACAATCTTCGAAGAGGTGGCAGGCCATGTCTAGATGGAAGCAAGGTCAATGTCCTGGTCCGAGACAGAGCCTGTATGTTCCCTAGAGACTCAATCAATCAATTTCTACGGAAATCAATCTGGCAGCCACGTTGCTTATCGGAATTAAGCTTATCTTATGGTGTTACAAGACCAAAAAAATAAGGCTGGGTCCACGTATAATTGGAACTATCACGTATTAGGCAGGATACTGATTGAAATCTATAGTCTGGGGGATAAACAGGCGAATTGGAAGAGGCATAGAGGTTGATATGGCATCAACGGGAGTAGAGGAAGATATGAGACCTGGGGTAGATATGTAGGCAAATAACTAGGCGCATAATTCGAATCCACAGGTGGGACACACCGGAGTTTGACCTCTTCTCCGTGGTTCGGGTGGGGCACTTTTGAATCGCCACTCGGTGAGAAGGCAAATTTATTCGTGAGAACCCGGAATGAAGCCGAGTCCCGGTGAAGAAACTAGGCTCGGGAAAAAAGGCTATCCGATATAAAAATAAAAGCCACAATTTTTTACACTCAATACCTACCTAGACACCTAAATATGTACACAATCTTTTACAAGTTTCCCCAACAAATAATAAACCTTAAAATGGGAATGGTGATCGCCACTGTAGCTATGTGTCAACGATCAGGCAATGTGCGCTACAAGGTGGTACCGGGTGGGACTGGGGATGGACTGGGGCAGAATTAGCTTTTGCGATCAATTTCCATCACCAATTAGAATGAGTCAGCAAGGCTAATCCGGCATTGACATTGGCCAGACGTTGGCCAGGTCTCCGGATTCGGACCGAACTGAGACAATCATTGGTGAATTCGTCGGGTTGCATCGAATTTCTGTGGAACCTTCCATTTATTCCTACCCAGGTATGGGGCAAAATTCCAAAATTCCCGTTGACACGCGAGAAAATGGGGAAACAATAAGATGGCCAGATTTCCCACTTAAGTTTGTTCTTTCCTCGTAGGAGTAAACTTATCCTTTGTGCCCATCTTCTTCAACACTTGACTCCTCTGCTTTTTCAACTACACAGAATGGAGGTCAATACAGCACCACCTGCCTATGATCAGGATAAGATCGCTGAGCGGAAGGATATGCCACAATTCGAGGAGGAGGGCCAGCTCAAGGCTGGTGAGGTCCACGATGCTTTTGGCAACGAGGAGTACGCTGAGATTAAATATAAAACCTTGAAGTGGTGGTATGTATCATCTATCATCAGGAACAGAGTCTCTTATCGACCGTGCTAACGTGTGGTGTCTTCAGGCAATGCGGCTTACTCATGATCTGTGAGTCAGTTTCACTGGGTGTGTTGTCACTGCCCTCAGCCGTCGCTACCCTGGGCCTCGTCCCTGGTGTCATCCTGATTATTGGCCTCGGGATTCTTGCAACATACACTGGCTACAATATTGGCCTCTTCCGCGAACGGTACCCTCATATTCAAAACCTGGGTGATGCTGGCGAGATTTTGCTCGGCAAGTTCGGCCGGGAGCTCTTCGGTACTGGCCAGTTCCTATTCTGTATTTTCGTTATGGGCAGCCACATCCTGACCTTCCGCGTCATGATGAATACCCTTACCAACCACGGGACCTGCTCTGTCGTGTTCAGTGTCGTCGGTATGGTTATCTCAATCGCCCTTTCCATCCCCCGTACGATGAAAGGCATGACCTGGATCTCGTTTGCATCATTCCTCAGTATCTCGTGCGCTGTCGTGATCACTATGGTTTCCGTGGGGGTGCAAAGCCACCCCGATCGTGTTATCCACGCCACCGTTGAAACCAACCTGTACACTGCATTCCAGGCTGTTTCAAACATCGTCTTCGCTTACTGCGCCCACGTCGCTTTCTTCGGTTTGATCGCCGAGATGGAGTCGCCCCAGGATTTCAAGAAGTCCTTATTCATGCTTCAGGGCTTTGAGATCTCCCTTTACCTGACCGCCGCCGTTGTGATTTACTTCTACATTGGCACAGACGTGCATTCCCCTGCCCTCACATCCGCAGGGCCCCTGATGAGCAAGATTGCCTACGGCATTGCTATCCCCACCATTGTCGGCGCCGGTGTCGTCAACGGCCATATCGGCTTGAAGTACATCTACTTCCGCCTCTGCTCCAAGTCGGATCTGATGCATCAGCGCAACAAGCGTTCCGTCGGTCTCTGGATTGGTCTCGGTGTGGCTTGCTGGGTCGTTGCGTGGATTATCTCCGAGGCTATTCCTGTCTTCAGCGACCTGAACAGTTTGATCAGTGCTCTTTTCGCTTCCTGGTTCAGCTACGGTCTCTCCGGTATCTACTGGCTCCACCTCAACCGCGGCGAGTGGTTCGCCTCTCCCCGCAAGATCTTCCTTAGCATTCTCAACATCGGCATTGCCTGCTTCGGTCTGATTCTATGTGTTCTTGGGTTGTATGCTTCTGGCACAGCTATCAACAAGAACTCCGGCAGCAGCAGCTTCACCTGCGCAAACACCGATACTTAGATGGTTTCACCTTGCTTCATCTTTTTAACATCACGCGCACTGTATATATACCGCATATAGATTATGCTAAGAGCGCACTGGCTGGCTCTAGAATATAAATAATATATTTAAATTATCCTGAAAATGCTTGCCTGTCCTAATTGTACCTAGATTATACCCCTGAGACTAAGAAAGGTAAACTTCACTACAGAAGAAATTGACGATTTCCTCAAGTCCTACCACATAATCAGGTCTCCAGCCTGGTCTTCGCCTCTCCACAAACTGCTCAACATGGAAGAGGTCACGTCCATGGTCAAGTTTCATTGCTCGATTGTTCTACCCTGGATGCGACTGTTCGAACGCTTACTAATATAAGACCCTTTATGTAGCCTAAGGGGATACTTGGGATAATTAACTTGATACATACAAAATCCCCTCCCCGGATTCGAAGACATTATTGAAGGCGTTTCTCCCGAAGGGTGAGAACTAGAGATAGGGCCAGTGTTATCGAGCAAACAGAAAGAACTACATGGTCAGCAAACTTCGAGTCTTGTCTATGCGAGGGATACGTACTTGGAATAAGTTTGAAACTCTTCAAATAGCTTGATATAATAATCTCTTGTAAGTTGCTTGGCAGAGATTGGGCAAATCGGTCGTCCCTCAGTACTTGATTTATGATCTATGAGTGGCCGGGCGTTAGCATATGCCCAAGTTGAAAGTATTTTTTCCTTAAGATCCTTACCTGAAGTGACGCTATATCAGTACCAAGTCGTTGTACTAATTCATCCCGAAGCTTGTGTCGACAAACGGTTGCTGCCTCTGTGACGCCGAGAATAATCCCGAGTTGCTGTGCCAAGTAAGTAGTAGGTAGTTATCACAGCCGGGGAATGTTCCTGTGGTGTTACGGCTGAGATACCGACAAATGCAGTAGAAAAGAGACCACCAATCCCAGCCGCAGCACAAAATAAGTGGACAAGCCCAAAATGGCTCGGGGCTAGCGGCCAGCGGCAAGCCATCAACATGAAACCAATTAGGCTAAGTCCATGACTGGCAATAGCTAATGACTTGTACCTTCCAGTTCTGTAATGGCTAAATTAGTACGTCTCGTCAATCCGAATGTATCAGATTGTACTCACCTTTGAACCAGATATCCACACAAGACTGAGCCGACCGCAGCTCCCACAGAAGCGGGCATCAGGTAAAGTCCGACAGTGTCGATCGAAGTGTACTCCGTCCGAATAAAGAATTCAGCGATGTTTGATAGCACCTTTAGGAAAGAACCCGTAAGTGGAAGTGTGAATAAACAGGCAATGATGCCGGTCATGTTGGCCATCGAACCACCAGATACAAATCATCCCCAGCAGACGAAGGCAGTCCCGCCTGATTGGCCAACCAACGTATAAGAGAAACCTCTATGGTAGTTGGCCCAGAACCAAGAGTCCACATCGCTGCGTTGACGTTGAAGATAGAGGTCAGAAAATCCCCGAAATACGCTAGAGGCGAAGGACATGACGGAATGTAGGCAAAACATTTCGGGTGATCAAGACGCATGCAATTGTCGAAAACCGAAAGAGCTTCACGTATGACCGAGAGGACATCTTGTGACTCGCTAGGGATCCCTAGGCGTTGAATGGCTTCTATGCCTTCGAGGTTGAGTGTGCGACTGATCGGGCTTGATGAGTCTATGGGGTTATTTTTGAGAAGACCGGCGATGAGGGATTCAGCTTCTTGAATATTGAGACAAGGTCGACATTCCCTGGCTCATTACTGGGCGGGATAAGCATGACTGGAAACGAAAAAAAGAGGCCTGCTATCAGAAGAGATATTTCTTGTCAAACAGAGAGGAAAGTAGTCCACAATGGAGTGACCATGATCAAGTGGTTTATATTGCCAGCCGCTACTGCACGCATAATACATGTAGTAGTATAATAATAATACCGAACCGAATTGGAACTGGTTGGTTTTTGTTATTGTGACAGTCTCCACTCCAAGAGAATACATATGAAATACATTATCAGGCCAGGGTTTACCTATATAGGCAGGTAGGTTGATCGTGAATACACTCCACCGCTTCCTATCCCGTACTTGAGCTTTGACTAACCCTCACTTGGGTGTTTGGAGGTACCTAAGGGGAAGGTGTGGTTACGTAGCAGAATCTGCGATTGAAAGCAAGTAAATCCATTGAGCACTTACTTTGCGTATCTTGAGAACAACCTACGCTAGCAGCACGATATATCGAACATGGATTCCTAGCCTGTTACAAATTTACCAATACATTATATAAATACAATGGAGATTTCCCGAATCTTTCGTAAATTTAATATAAAGTTTCTACCAAAAGTCGCGTAGATACCCATGCACTTTGTAATGCTTTTCGCCATGAATCCGAGAATTGCATCCGATAGCCTTTTGCTTTGCGTGGCGTAGACCGTGTCCCCACTGCAAAGGGATCGTGCTGAGCTGCGAGTGGGCACTGATCTACAGGTTGAGCTGTTCCGTATGCTGAAAAATGCTGCAGATCGCAAACACTGCTTCTGTTGGTCTTGCCCCGAAAAGCCACATCCATGGATGCATAGACATCCAGCATTAAATCACATCGCATGGCTAAGGAGAATACGGAACACGAGCTTGCTGCGCACCTGAGGAATTTATCTCGCCAAGGTGTCTGATCATAAAATTTCCGAGTGGACATTTGAACTATTCAATCTGGCATACGAGAAATACCTTATTCAATTTAGGATAGGAATTAAGGGGAAAGATGAGAGTTAGCTTAATAAGGTAAGGAAATGTGCCATTTCCATCAAATAGGTGCCATGGTCTAGTGGTATGACGATAGATTGTGGTGAACCACGATCTCAGAACTAAAATTCTCTATTAGCCCCGGTTCGATTCCGGGTGGCGCCATACATTTTTTATTTTTGAAGATTCTTAATCTTTATTTAATCTTAGTATTTTTGATTAGAAAGAAAGACTATTACTATTTACTACTAACATTGGGGTCGAAATATAAGGGGCCTCCGATATTCATCTTGTAGTGCACTGTAAATTGATACAGTAGCGTTACGAATGTCGGTATGTATGGAAAGGAATTTGCATTAATTAGGCACTCGGTATTATATACATGCATTCAAGTGCAATTTTGTAACGTTTTTTTATTATATTCACCACAAAAGCCCAATTTCGGAGTGATGTCTTTACAAGAGATTGTCTTCTTCACTACTATACTGCCTCTGAAACGCCGTGGTCGGACTCACTACCACCGGAGATAATGAACGTAAGACTATGGACAGTATGAAGATCAGAGTCTGCGATGCATTCCGTTAATTACAATGTGTCATTCTCAAGTTATACAATCCCAAGTGAAAACTCCTCCGCTAGTTCATCAGTTTCCCGCACCACCCCCCATCAATATGTAACGGTCACATTCTTGTTCAAGTACATTGCGTCTGTCTTCAAGACAAGGTTCTCAGCGAGCCACCTCCCCGCATCCTCCCGGGAGATAGTATAGCCAATAGCTCTGGACTCCGGACCAGTCTTGGGATCCTCGATGCCCACGCGGATAGTCTTGTTAGACTCGCCATCAACAAGGTGGCTCGCACGAATGATTGTGAATGCTTCCCCGCTCTGTGCGAAACGGTCTTCCATGACTACCTTGTCTGCTCCGGGGACGCTGACAAACAGGTAATAGATGGGTATCATAACGATAGGAACATCGCGGCCGAAGCGGGAGAAGCCCGCTGTACTGCAAGCGATTATGTGCGGAGTTCCGGTTATGCCGGTGCTTCGAAGCTGGGCGAGGGCATCTAGGATAGTTGCCGCGCCTTTCTTGCAGACGTTCGGATCATCGACAGTGATTCCGCGTGGCTTGGCACCGATGGTGGACACGATGACATCGACGATGCGGCCATCGTCGGTTTGGAGGCACTGCGATACGGCGGAGATATCGTGTGCATTGCCTTTGATGACTTTCAGATTTGGTGTTGACTCTGAAGGGAAGACGGCTGTGAGTTTTGAGGGATCACGACATAGCGCGATGCATTTGTGCCCGGCAGCGAGAGTGCGTTTGAGGGCAGCAAGGCCAACGCCGGTGCTGGCGCCAAAGAATGCAACGGACTTGGTGTTTGAGGTCATTGTCAAAGGGCTGTGGTTGCTCAAGTAGCGAGGTATTGGAAGGTTGTATTCTGATGCAAGAGATAGTAGAGGCGAGGTGGATGGCTTCTTTCAAGTTCCTTGGACGGGACGATGGGCTTCATAATATACATATTGGCTGACAGCCCGTTATAGAGAAAGCGAAAGCTATCCGAGCCCACGTAGCAGGTCTCGCTCTTTTCTCGCGACTCGTATTAGAATGAGGGGTCGAACTCGAGCCTATCATATCGAGGCGGAAATGCGGTTCTCTCGTTGGTTGTCTCACTATCTACCGTACTGAGTCAGACAGCCAACTCTTCCAGGCCTTGCCGGTTGCCTAACGAGATCAGGATAATCAAGATTTTGATCAACTCGTTTAACTTGCTGGAACAAGCTCATCATGGTCCGAAGATGCCCGAAGAGCCTGTCATAGTCTTCGGGCCCCTTGAGGGCGCGCTCGCGTCGGCCTCGGACGCCGAGAAAAACGCGAGATTTGAGGCCTCAGGCAGAAACGCAACACCCCCAAAGCTGCGCAGCTGTGTAGTATGCCGAAGTCGGAAAGTTCGCTGCGATAAGCGAGCGCCTTGTTCCAATTGCCGTCGCGCAAATATCTCCTGTGTGCTTCCATCAACAGACCGTCCACCAAGATGGGCGCGCCATCTCAACCGCCTCAACAGCGCGGTATCCAACCTACAGGCCTCCCAGGAACCTGAACCAGTAGCAGAAGACGTGATGGAGAGACTTCACAATCTTGAACGCCTCGTTCAAGAGCTACGCATTCAGCTAGAACAGGCCAAATCAACAGCTAACTCTGCGGCTGGAGGGTCATCGGGGTTCGGTTCGCCTGATGATCGACAGTTGAACCCATCTTCCATCAGTACTGCTAATGTACAAAATAAGTTTGGGAGATTGGTGCTTCAGGATTCCAACCGAAGCCGCTACGTCAGCAGTGGCTTCTGGTCTCGGGTCAATGACGAGGTATGCCGCCTTAGTCTGTTGACATTGCTGCATGGAATCAATGGCGAGCTAATCTCTATTGAATTGTAGCTTGATGGCATCAGCGCAGATGCTCATGGTCTTCCATTAGGGGAATCTGATACCTCGGATGATGAGGCATCGCCGGACATGACCTTTTCCACACAAGAACTTGGGCGGACCCCTGCAGAGCGTCACGGATTCTTGTTTGGGCACAATTTGAGTCCGTTTTCTCCTAATTTAGCTGACCTTCACCCACTCCCCTCTCAAATTCCTTTCCTTCTAGACGTGTTCTCCGAAAATGTGAACATTATATTTCAAATCGTTCATCTTCCCACTATCAGGAACATGGTTCGCGATTGGCGCGGCCGTGACATGAAGGGACTCACACCGGCCAATGAAGCTTTGATGTTCGCTATTTACTACGCTGCCATAACATCGATGGAAGAAGAAGATGTAAGCCAAATCCTTTAACGTTCAATTCAAGCATGCGGTTCTCAGGCTCACGTCTCGGTACATTTAGATAGTACTTAATTTCGGAGCCACAAAAGCCGAGCTCAATCTCAAATATCGCCAAGGCCTCGAACATGCTCTTGCAAGAGCTGATTTTCTGAATGCACCTGACCTTGTTCTCGTGCAGGCATTTGCAATCTTTCTTTGTCTCGCTCGCCGACATGACAGTCCGAGGTTTGTGTGGATGATGACAGGACTAGTGATCCGAATGGGTCAAGCTCTTGGACTACATCGTGACGGAACACATTTTGATTATCTCACTCCATTTGAGATTGAGATGCGGCGAAGGGTCTGGTGGACCCTGTGCGTGCTAGATGTGAGAGCATCCGAGGACCAAGGAACCGATTACACAATCACGAAAGCGAGCTTCGATACTAAGATACCCCTTAACCTCAATGACACCGATATCGACCCCGAATCAAAGCAAGCACCTCAAGCCCGCGATGCCTTGACTGACATATCCGTTGCGCGTGTCACCTTCGGTATGTGCGAGATCACACGGCAGATGATGGCTCATGGTTTCAAAGAAGGAGCACCGTGCTTAGAAGAGCAAAGTCGATTGTTGCAACAGATATACCAAGATCTTCAACGAGAATTTCTCCAATACTCAACCGAGTCAGGGAACATTACATACTGGGTGATAGTTACGGTTGCTCGTCTTCTTATGGCCAAGATGACTCTGCTTATCTACCTGCCTCTGTTGTTCTCCTCGAATGAAGACTTCACGGAGGAGTTGAGGACAAAACTATTGGTCTCTAGTATCGAGGTCGCCGAGTACAATCATGCCCTAAACAACGAGCAAGCATGTAGAAACTGGCGCTGGGTTTTCCAGACCTATACCCATTGGTACTCCATTGTCTACATGATGCTAGAGATTTCTCGACGCCCATGGTCGCCTCTTTCTGAACGGGCCTGGGTAGCCCTTCATAGTGCCTGGCTAATACCGAACCAATCACACATGCAAAAGAATCTCCGCGTCTGGATTCCACTCCGAAAGCTGATGACCAAGGCCAGGAAGCATCGCGAAATGGAGTTTGGGCGGCTGAGAAACGACTCTCAAGCTGCCGAACAGCTGGAGCAGGGCTATCGCATTGCCGCACACCCTTCGAGCACTGGGCCATTTCCACCTGGTTCAAGTTCCGCAGATCTCTTCCTTGAACAATGGCGCCGGCTGGTGTCACCCCCGGATGAAACCAAGCATGATGCACTTGCACCTGGGTTCGCCGTCACCAATCGGTCGAATCTACCGATCCACATCGCAAGTACAACGAAGTCAAATTTGCGTCCTCCCAAGTCATCTCACAGTGCATTCCACTCAGCTTTCACCGCTGAGCCAGAGCATCTTGAGTTCGGGTACGAAGTGTCAAACATTGAATCTACAAGCTCCGATTCAGTCATGCCGCCTAATTCAGAAATCGGATTTGGACCTCGAAATCCTGCCACTTCATCACACAACCACTTTTCGATGGCACCAGAAGCTCAATTCGACGGTCAACTTGCTACCCCGGCCGTTGTACCTTGGCTGTGGTCTGAGGAGGACATGTCAACTGATTTAACCGGCACCTCTAGAGACCACGCCGATAGCAATATGGGGATGGATGAGGTAGATTGGTATAATTGGGCCGCGTCTGCGAATGATATGGAATGTGATGGAGGGATATACAGCAGTGGGTCGCGCTAGCCCACTGCCTGGTCACGACAGCCAGTTTCATCGAAACTACTGATGTAAATTGTATCGCTCAGGCTCACTACGGAGTCCCAAGGTAATCAGTTTAGTAATCTTGCGCATACAAGTGCATGATTCCTAGCCACCTGGATGAAGGCCAAACCTATATAAACTATGAGCTAGGCAAGACTCTTGTATTTCAACTTTTTCGCTATGAAATGCGGATGACAACCTTGCCAATGTGTGATGACCCCCAAAGATACTCATACGCTTCTTGTGCCTTTTCAAACTCGAAGGTCTTGTTAATGATAGGGTGAATGGAATTTGCAGTGAAACAGGCCAGCAAATCCTGGAATTGCTCTCGAGACCCGACAATGATCCGTCGGAGTATGTATGGCGCGTCAATGGTCAGAAATGTCGCATCACTATATTCTCCATTTTTGTGATCATCGACCATGTTGGTGATATGGCCAATGGAATGGATTAACCCATTCCATGCAACTGCCTGGAAGGACTGCGGTAAGGTCCCGATTCCTCCAACTTCGAGGATATGATCTGCACCCCGGCCATGCGTAACGGCTTTTACCTCGGCCGCCCAGTCCGATGTGCGATAGTTGATGCCATGCGTAGCACCAAGCTCTTTTGCCTTGGCAAGTTTCTCGTCGGAGGAAGATGTGATAATAGTGACCGCACCAGCTGCTCGCGCGATTTGGAGGCCGAACATGGCCACCCCTCCTGTTCCTTGGAGAAGTACAACATCTCCTGGTCGAATGGGCACCGAGCCATAGAGTGCGTTCCATGCTGTGACTGCAGCACACGGTAGGCAGGACGCTTCCTCAAAAGAAAGATATTCGGGGATCCTCACTACGCCTGATTGGGGCAGAATCACATATTCCCCCAACAGACCGGGTCTGCCTCCGGCAAGGCATGATTTAACAGCTTCGGGGGTAAGTCTGCCCCCAAGGTGGTCTTGGATGAAGTTGGACACCACCCGATCGCCAGCTTTCCACTCAGTTACGCCTTCGCCGATTTCCTCAACGATTCCTTGGCACCTGTCAACAACTGTTCAAATGTATAACGCGGTGATATGGACAGTACCTGCACCATCACTACCTGGCACGTCACAGGATTTACCGGGGTAGGCATAAATCCCCTTGGCAATCGCACAGTCCCTCCAGTTCAGTGAAACAGCCTTGATGCGGATCAAAATTTGGCCATATTGTGGACGTGGCTTGGGCACATCATGGAGTGTCAAACAATGAAATCCTTTTCTTTCCGGTAGGATATATTTCTTGAATGTATCTGCCATAGATTTGGAGGTAGGCCGATGGCTGGTGATGGACTTCCAGACGACCTGGATAATACGTAGGACAACAAGTGGGAAGAAGGAACAAAGGGGTTCATTACGGTACAAACCGCCAGAGTTCCACTTCGGATTTTTACCTATAGTAAATCACTGGCCGCCCACACTACTTCCACGCATCGCCACGTTTCGTCTTTTCAGCTGCTTTGACTTTCAAAGATGTGGAGATATGACATCATGCAGTGAGATCCCATCTGCCAGGTTCTATGTTCCTGGGCGGCTTCAGCCGTGCCAATATGACTGTGGGGTTTCATGATGACGGCCCCCTTCAACGGTATAGGCCGATATGGATATATTATGGAGTAGTATATTTTGATTGGAATGGTCAAGATCTCAAATATCCATCAGTATCCCCTATTCTTCCCAGATTGGGCCATCATTTGTGGGTCTCGGCTCCGCAATGCTGATCTCAATTGGTCATAGTTTCTTCTCACCTGCATGATGGTCGTGTCTGCTTTTGCGAGAACCTATGCATACAAGACGAGAGGCTAGAACCTCCAGGGCTGTGGATTTATTGAGCGGTCCATCCTGCAGACCATAACCTAGCAACTTCTCGGACGATTACGAGGATCTTGACTTCTGTTTCACAGCCAACAATGGATTCATCAGATCTGCAGAGAGAGGACCCCGTCGGGCCAACCAAATACGATTGTGTGTCTATGTTGTACTAGTGATGGCAGCATCATGTCAATTCTAACATGCTCTAGTGGACTGGGCGGATCTAGTCACCCTTGACCTTTCTCAATTCGACGTGCCTGGAGGAAAGACCAAACTGGCAAATCAGCTGAATAAGGCTATCCAAGAGATTGGTTTCTTCTATATCTCAAACGTTGGATTGACGCCTGAGCAAGTGGATCGCCAATTTGCCATCGGGCGCAAGATTCTTGAACTTCCCGAAGAAGAGAAGCTGAAGCACCGTGCGGACCTTGAGGGCGGCAGTTACAATGGCTACCGACCCCTAGGATCCATTGAGATACTTCCTGGTCTTTACGACAATGTCGAATTCTACAACGTCTTCAAGTTCACGGACAAATACAAGCGAGAACATCCCGAAATTGTTCAACAGTATTATTCTGAGATCGAAATCTTCCACCGTCACATTCATGAGAATATCGCTTTCAAATTACTTCAGCTCGTCGCCATCATACTGGAGGTGCCCGAAGATACCTTGACCAACCGCCACTCATACGAGGATGACAGCGAATCCTTCCTACGGTACATGCGCTACCGCAACCGCAGCACCAACGAAAACTCCAAATTCCAAGAGCTCTACCTGCGCGGCCACACCGACTTTGGTAGTCTAACTTTTGTCTTCTCACAGCCTATTGCGGGGTTGCAGGTGAAGACGCCGGATGGGAACTGGAAATATGTCAAGCCACATCCCGGGAGCATTGTCGTCAACACTGCCGATTGTTTACAATTTTGGACCAATGGATACTTGCAAAGCAGTATCCACCGAGTTGTTGTTCCGCCGGAGGACCAGAGACATGTTGATAGATTCGGGTTGTTGTACTTTGCTCGGCCGACTGACAGCATGGATCTGAAGACAATGGAAAGTCCACTTCTGCGCAGGCTGGGTCTCAAAAATGACAAGGATGAGAAAAAGAGCGATGAGCCGGCGCTCGAGGTGGGTGAGTGGGTTCGATCTCGGGTCAAGAAGAACTGGACCCGCTCACCGGAGGACAATGACCAAACTATTTCTGTAGGGGGTTATAAGGCGAAGATCTTCTACCAGTGAATAAAGCGTAATTGCATGTGTCAATTGTATTTCTCTTGGTTGGACTCTGTAGTGGAAGATCCAGCTTGTTTAGCAGAACTATGGAGCCATTTACGGGGCAATGAACTGCAAGTATGACGCAACTATGCACGCTGATGGGGCACTCCATAATTTTCAGCTATCCACCAACCCACAGGGAATGTAAGTTGATTTTTGCCTTTCATTCTTCCTGAAATTTGCTCTCCCATATGGACTCAATAGGAGCGGCCAAACAAAGAATAATGGCGGGAATAGGGGAACCGTGTGAAATATTCTGGCGAAAAGAATTAAGAGACCATATTGAGATAGGTGCCTGGTGTTTCAGGCCAGTAGCTCAGAATAACTAGGTTCAAGCTAGTTGTGAGAGCTTGTCTCTTCCTCCAATCAACAACTCTATGCCCCTCTCTCTGATCTTTCGTTTTGTGGACTTAACAGATCGACGATCTATACCCAGTCAGTCAGCGCATTCCCCCACTCACTAAGATACTATAAATGGAAATCAAGCTCTTCGAGCGAAAGGCCCTCATCAGGGAAGTATTCGAAAATGCATCTTGACAAGTTCCAGGTTACCGATGTTCGCTTTGTTTGTGGGCTGTCTGGATATTTCCACAAGGACCTGCAAGCAGTGAAACAGAGTCCCAATTATGATCCTCTGGCCGACGACATCGCACCAGTGACAGCAGGATTCAAGAAAGTTGTCCAGGCAGGAGAGGTGATCTCGATTCTGCTTCGTCTCCAAAATGGAACTGTAGCCATTGGGGAGTGTGTCGATGTCATCTTCTCTGGGACTGCATCGCGCGACCCTCTATTCACCCCCAAAGAACATCTGCCGTTGCTCAACACAGTTGTGCGACCATGGCTTCTAGATTGTGATGTGACGACGTTCCGCTCAAATGCGGTCAAAATTGATCAACCGTGGCCAGAACTCGGAAACAAGAGACTCCACACTGCTGTTCGTTACGGACTCAGTCAAGCTCTCCTGTCCGCGACCGCTCTCGCCAACAAGTGTACCATAACCGAGATCGTTTCCCGCGAGTGGGAGACAAATATCAGTCGTCGGCCGATAGGTATCCTCGCCTCCTGCCACCGAAATGACCAACTGCAACTGGACAGAATGATCATGAAACAAGTGGCCCTTCTTCCACATGCGTCATTTGTCCACGTGAGCGACATCGGCCCCAGAGGCGAGACCATGCTTGACTATGTGCATTCTGTTTCTCAACGTATCCAGGAGCGAGGGGATCCTGGATATCGACCACGGCTTCATTTTGACGTCTATGGGACAATCGGCGATGCCTTCACGGATGCAGAAATACCGGAATTCCTAGAGAAAATTGAGCAGGTAGCTCGTCCATATGATGTGTTGATTGAATCTCCGATCGTTTCTTCCAGCAAAGGATCTCAAATTCGACGCTTGCGCCAGCTCAAAAAGACCCTTGCCTCTCGCAGGATCAAAGTGGGAATTGTCGCAGACGAATGGTGCAACACGCTGGATGATATTCGGGATTTCGCTGACGCGGACGCCGTGGACTATGTGCAGGTGAAAACGCCTGATCTGGGCAGTCTGCATAACTCCATTGATGCCGTCATGTACTGTGTCGAGGAAAACATCGGGTGTTGTCTTGGGGGATCTGCAAATGAAACGGACATTTCGGCGCGGATTACTGCACAGGTGGCTCTGGCAACACAACCGCAGTTTTTGTTATCCAAGCCTGGGATTGGGGCTGACGAGGGGTTGATGATTTTGACGAATGAGATGATTAGGACTTTAGCCTTGGTAGATAATGATTGGTAGTATGTTTTGGTATTGATCTCAATGAAGTTGCATCTTTGACTAGTATGAATTGGGGTCAAGTACCTGCGCCTAAAACGCGGTACTGATGGGTATCAGAGAAACGGTTGTGTACATCCATAAAGGGTCAGACGAACAGTAGAAGAAAGGAGGGAGGTCGTCGATTCCCTAGCCTAGTCCCGTCACACCAACGTGGCCTCGGGCCACCGACATTGGACATCTCGAAAGAACTCAGAGTTCAGGCTCAAATCTCAAGTGTGTGATACCACTTGTCATCCTCAGCTACCAGATTTTCAAGATTAGCACTAAGACAGTTCATCCATGAAGAGATCCATAGAAGGAACCGGTAATTCCGCCGTTATCGCAGCTAACGATCGGTGGCCCGCAGATACCGTCAGAGATGACTTCGTTCAGAACTCCCCAAAGATACTTGGAGATTATGTGTCTGCGACGGTTTTAAAACAAATTTCTGAATACTGGGGTGGACGCATGGGCATCTGAAACAACTTCCCAAATGACATCAAGCTCATTAGGCCTGAACTCATGCCATCGACCTCGGCCCATGACCTTGTTCGAAGATCGTTTCCCTGTAACAACATCCGAGGTGGTTCTGCTTGGAAATAGCAAGTGTTTTTTGGATTTTGCAGAGGCGGCAGGGGTGCATGCGAGACCCAACTGGAATGCTGCGTTACCGATCGCCCACGAAGAGGGCTAACAAAATTTAGTGTAGATATCGAGCCATGGAGAATTTGTTAAACATGCGGAAGGTGAAAGTGACCATGATGAAACAGGTGGGGTGGCTTTAGAAAACGGCTCACAAAGGAGAAGAGTTGGTTTAAGGTTTCAACCCAGATCATACACTGGAGCATATGCACGTGGACGGATTTAGAAACCCTGGAATAGTCAGCCGCTTATGCAGCCTTTTTATAGTCTTTTGAGATGTCTTCTTAGGTATTTATATGGCTTTTCTTTTGAGATATTTGCCTCTTTGTTGATGTTGTAGCTAGAAGGATGAGAAGAATCAGCTGCAAAATATAGAATACTGTTTGCTGCCCGCGCTCTGCGCGGTCTACATCGTTTTGGTACAGGCGATATAGACTCAAATTAAACAGTAATATCCTAATATCAGAGTTAGGTATACGGAGTACAGATAAGACCCATTCTTCAACCCCCAATTTAAACTAATACTAGTCCTAAACAGGGAGATTACGCTAGTCCTTGACGATGTTTCAGGTAGACAAACTACTAGTTTCAATCTCACAAAGATCTCCTCCAGCGTGACTTGCGGCCCATGTACCCTTGGCACGCGAAAAAGCCTTCTCTTGGAATTGTTGCAGAAATTGCAACAAGTGGGCAGAGCTCATGGAAGCACCGCCAGACAGGTTGGTATTTGCGTGGCTGCTGGCACAAGTACCAGAGATCATTCCTTTTCCAGGCACGAATCCAACTGTCAAATGGAGAAAATATGGCATCTGTACTACTGCAGCTGTGAGACCAAGAACTGCAGGGATCTAGAGTCCAGTGGAGAAAGTGGAGATCGAAGGTACTCGGTCCCAGCCCTGGAGGGTACCTTGCCGCTTAAGTAATGATTCTTCCTACCCGTGGACCTACCTAGGTAGGTATTCTGGCCCCCTGAAGCAGCTGACTTATCGCGTAGAGTGATGGCTAGTCTCACCTCAGACACCCCATCGCTGGAATAAGGCGAAGCAAGCATCTAAGGAGCATTGAATGCAAGGAGAGAGAAAAGAAAAGGCGAGGGTAGTTTGCTGGGCCCTCCGGTCACACAATACAACATTCTTTAGCTTTTCAACATCCGAGAAATAGTCCACCATGGCCTCAATGCTATATTTATCAATAACTGAACATTCATTGCGCTGGAACTAGTACTTCGGTTGATAATAGACGGCTGCTATATACAACATGAAAGTAACAGGAAATCAAGAGCTCTACCATGAGAGCATCTTACTGCACCCCAGAGGCATATTGTAAAGTGGAAGGGTGGCCAATATCCATGATTCAAACCCTGCGACTTCGAAAGAAGTCACAAAAGTTGAAGATTTACTCCAAAGAACCATCTCCCAGGCAGCGCTTCAGGGGGTAAGAGTCTCCCAAGCAAGTTGTAACAACACCCTTTACCCAGGACAAGGAATTCGGTCCATAGGAATAAGTGTCCTGGGTATATGAATCCGCCTGATAGTATTCGTACTGTCCACTTCCGGGCTGTCCATTGAATACGTATCCCCGTTTGCGATTGGTCAAGGGATTGCTAATAATCGCACCCCATTTGTTCTTGGGAATTGTCATGGTAACAGTGCCAGTGAGAGTAGCCGTTTCGGTGTACTGGTAGGTGATGGTAGTGGCGACTGATAGGAACTTTTCGACCGTGGCGGTCATCGTGGTGCCAACCGAGATGCTGTTCGCGATGGACTGGCCTTGTGCCATAGAAGCGGTGGCATCGGCTTCGTTTGCATGCACGATGCTAGACATTGCGATGTCCCAGCCGAGGAATTTCTCATCAGCAAGAGGGATGATGAATTGGGCACCAGAGCGCTTGCTGAGACGTTGTGAAGGAGTGGAATCATTAGATCCAGTCTCAATGAATTTCGGCAAAGAATTGGTAGGTGGAGACAGAGAGACTCCAGGTAGATTGGCAGCTAGGTCTCTCTTGTGGATAGTCTGTGTGGTGCCATCGTGTAGAAGAAGAAGAGCCGTATCAGTCGTATCGGCCGGCAGGGCAGAAACGAGTGCACTGTTGGCACAGAGAGAAGCAAGGAAGACAAGGTCGATTTTCATGATGTCCAACAAGAAGAAACTTGGTAAAGGTCCTTGGATCGTGAGAAAAGTGATATCGCAAAATCGGCGACGGAAAGGAGACGCTATTTAGACTCGCTCAGGGAAGGCAACGGTTTTCCCAACCGCCCCAAAAATATGGTGTACTTTGTCGAACTAGACAAATCCATCATCCGGAGCCATATTACCGCAACTGATCTACCATGACAGGAGAAGCTCAGGATATTCACGCAAGAACCCGCCCTGTTTCACTTGTATACTCCCGAAAAATAGCCGGGGATCTACCGATGCTGATGATATCAAGCCATGGTGGGGAGGGATTGCGACAGGCTAATCAATTTAACTTCTCCCGAGACTTCCGAAGGATGATGTAGATCATGGGCTGACTACGAATGAGTCTACTGGTCAAATCCATTGGCCCTGAAGAAAACAACGGGGCAATTGAGACCTGGGGAGTGTAACGGTTGTGGGGCGTATTGTTGATCCTGATAAGGGTGTGCTGTGAGACGCCTTGGGGGCCAAACCCAGCTTATCCGAAGTACACCGTACAGAATAATGGAAACGCGGCTTGGACCTGGCTATCTTTGAATACCTTTATGAAGAAAATATCGGCCATAGCACAAAATTCACCTTGCAAGTATATACCCACTTGAAATGAAGATTGGAATAGTCAATCATCGGAGTATAGCTCAGCACCGGGAACCCTGACGAGATGCAGTTCACACGTGCTAATATCGCGGAACCTAAATATTTAGCTAAACTTTAAAATCTTGCAAATCACCTCTGAAGTAGGCTTGGTTGTGAGACATATTCCACCTTAAGGAACCTTGCAGATGACAGGAATGATCATGAAACATCAGATATGCAATTGGGGAAATGAAGATCAAAGATCATCGTTCCGATGGAGATTGCTCGGAAATTTTGTCTTGGTTTTGTCTCATTTCAAGAAAAGGGATCTGTACATGCCGACGGGCAAACTCGAAATAGAAGTACTATCTACGTCCTTTTTAACGTACCGTTTCTCTTGCTTTTCGAACATCATTTAAATTTACGTCTGCCACCCAATCCTCGAAAGCCAGCTTGATAATTACCTCTGATAACATTATCATAAAGATGAAGTCTATTTCACTTATTGTTGCAGCTCTTGCTGTTGGGTAAGATCTCCTCCAACTTGATGTTTAAAACAGGCACTGATTCTTTGTAGTGCTTTTGCAGAGCTCCATACTCAAGGTGTTTGCATCGATACCCCTGGCAAAGGAGTGGTAAGTACAACCTTAGAGCTTGCTTGTATCACTAGGCGGAAGAAATTCTAACTGCATTAAAGGAGGTCTACAATAAAGCGGCGACCGAAAAGGCATGTGATGCCTATAAGAAGCGGAACACTGGTGACAAGCAATGGGATCAATGCCCCGATTGTACGCTTCTGAACGAGAAGGACCTCCTATACTATTGCGAGTCCAAGGGGAGTCACCTCGGAGGTGATGAGTTACACTATTACTGTACCCAAAATGGTGCAGCTGACAGTGTTGCTTGGTGAAGAAGCTGGGGAGAGCAGCCAGAATTGAGGAGAGATATCACTTGCTGCACTTTGTACTTCAACCGATTCAAGGTGAATTTATTTAAGCTGATGCTGCGCTTCTGGGCTGATGCTATATGTCTGTACTGTCTGGGGTCCCATTGACACTGCTTCAATTGTTGTGTTTAGAGGCTCATAATGTAGCCCCAGCCAATATAGTTCTAAGCCAGATAGATAGCCGTCTTGAGCTCGGAAGGTCTGGCAATGTGACGAAGATACCATTGATGCAGGCTGAGCAGGTGGAAAGTTTGAACTTTTTGTACTATACGTAGGAGAAGCAAAGAGGGAATTAACTTCGATCCGAGTAAATTTGATTGGTAGTTGTATGTATGGCTATACTAGTTTCATGAGACTAGGTCTCAGATTGAAGTAAACTACTCCCACCTCTTAAAAGAAATGTGGTCCGTCTCGATTTTTTGAAGGAAGCCTGCGCTGAATTAGGCGATCCAGGCAATAATAAGTCTCAGAGATGCTCCCATCTGGTGCTGGAGTAGATGCAAGGCTGCCGAACTGGGAGAAAATAACATGTTAGGTAAATGGAGGTTCTATTACTTTTAAATATTGTGAAGCTAACCATTGGTAGTTTGTCCCTACGCAACCACTCCTCAACCATTCTCTTTATCTCCACCGGATAGAACCACTTCAAGTCAAATCGCTTATTCTCTCCCTCTCCATTCACCCCCGGCATTCGCCGCTTGTCAATGTGTCTATTGAGCCCAAGATCCGATCAACCCTTTCCTGTCGACCTCTCTGCCAAGCCACCACCGCGTTCTCTGACTCTACATCACCCGCAAGAAACCTAGCCAACACCAGGGCAAGTGCCGCGGAGCCATGACAAAGGCTCCATGGCTCCGCGGGTTTTGTTCATTATGGTCACAGGGAGGCTGTACTCTGCCGCTGTGGTTTATAGGGAGAGTTGGGTGATGGGTATAGCCGCTATTACGCCCACGGTGTTGGTGAACGATGGGTCGACATCTAAGTAAAGGACCTTGTGCATGAAATGCAGTTTTGATGTTGGGTCAGGGTGAGGAAGATGTCGGACAGACCTGCACCGATGATAACAACGTTGGTGGTGGACATAGTTCATGACTTGATGATATTATTAGTATGGGGGCACCACTGACTATAATGCCTGTAGGATTCGAAGCCATCTCCAATCATCCTCTCTAGTTCGGATTCAGGTCAGATCCGGAATTGAATGTTGCATGTCCGATGTGTGCAAAATCCTGGAGAATGCTACTCGTTGAATGTTCTCAAAGGAGAAAGAATGCATGTGCATTCACTATCAATGGGAGTGGACGGAGAGAGTGTGGAAGTGGGATCTATCTCACTGCATAATTTGCTGACCCTATAGGGGGTATTGGTATTACCCACTGTGGACCCAAACCCCAGATGCGGGAATTCTAAGGTTGCTCCCGGACCGTCCACGGCCCCGGCGCAGTACGTCAAATTGACTCCTACGGCATGCACCCAAATATCAGACTACCTAAGTTAAGCCTTTCGCAATAACCACTTCTCCTTTTCAAGCCTTCGCCGAAGGTAATAGGCGTAGCCCGTCAAGCCAAATATCCCCACCGCAATGACAAATGCCACGTAGTGAAATCTCAGGTCGCAAACCTCCTCAGGGTTCCAATAGCCACACACACCGTGAGAGAGTCAGGGAGAAAAGCCAGGAGTGTCAAGATGGTTCTATTCCAATAAATGTAACAATCATTACCACGGTAGGTATTTAATATTTATTGCTTACTTTAAAAAATGTTTGGCAAAAGGTGCCCCAAGGTATTTGACAACGGGGTTATCGGGATAGGAGTCCACAACCAACATGAGGGGTGAAGTAGGTATCTCATCGTGCGGCTGGCTTGCCGCAGAGGAGGCCAGTGATGGAATAGATCCTTTCGAGGATGTCGTTTTCTCCATATTGATAAAAAGAACGGACGGAAATGCAGGGGTACGTCTGAGAACTGTCGGGAAAATTGGACGTATGAAGATGGAGGCCGAAGAACTTTTGCCAAGAAAAAAAGCAGAAAACCAAGTTTAAAAAGCGGCAAGAGATTAGCACTAAAAGGGAAAAAGAAAGGTTTCGAGTGCCAGGCATTATCCGGTACATGTACTAAATTAAATTAGAATTCCATGAAGATTACTACATATGTACTGCTCCAGCTTTCCAAGACAGCTTCTCAAATCTGATCATCATCGATGGCAAGCCAGTCCTTCTCGCAATACCAAGAAATGCAACTGACATGAACACCGTATTTAAAATTGCCAGTCCGGACACAGTCATAGTCATCCTATCCGCCCCTATGATACCCATTACATGGCCTACACTATTTCTTATCATTCACATTAGAGCATAATGGGTAATTAGCTCGAGTCGGCGGATAGTACATCGGCGGACTCCAGCTCATTTTTGTCGTTGACACAAAATATCCCGGAGGTCACGGTATGTTCCAGCGCGATGTCACTGCTTCTTTTTTTTGGGACACGTAAGTTTCAGTTTAGTATCGCTATATTGACTCATGAAGCATCATCAGACTGTTTCATGCAGGATAACAACTTCAGATTCAAGAATAGGCATTTATTCAAAAAGGGGGAAATGCAAATTCGGTGTTTGTGTCCCACCATGGGGAAGATAATTAATTAACCAGCAGTTATATAAAAGCGCGAAAAGCCGTCGCTCTCTGGCCTTTCAACTTATCGACTTCCATCTTTTGTGGGACAATAAAAACTTAGAAGCCACTTACTACAGCTAGTGACTTTTACAATATCAGCGTTGCAAGACACTACCAGGTACGTGAGAGACCAAGAAAAGGCCCTGGGCCTCTGCCCAGAAAAAACGGTGGCGCTCCTCGACAGCCTCATGTTACATCTCATATAAAACTTCTCACTGGCCTCGCTCGGTGGGTGAGGACAATGACCGGGTTCCCAAAAGCTGGATTCATGGACCGTGGATAACCGACACAATTTGAGCGAAGGAGGAAAATTTTCGTTACTCCCATGTAACAATGAGCCCTTCCGAGGATGCCCGAAATGAAACACGCAGATTCCGTGTTAGGCCCCTCTATTAAACCGCATCTAGGTGCTAAGCCCAATATGGGGTTGGGCCGCATGTGTTCAATGCAAAAACTAGCCCAGTGCAAATTGATGGATATAAGTACCATTTGTATGGAACATCAATACAAAAGGTACTTGTGGCGAATATTTTCTTGCAGCTCATATTTCTTGAGTAGGAGATTGAATATTTGGTAGATAAATTTTGGCATTGAGAATCAAATCTACTCTATGATTTCCCAAAAAGTCAGGCTTTTTTTCAGAAGATCCCTTGTTCTTATATCAAAGTCGAGGATTAAAAAGCTGCACTTTTGGCAACCCCCCAAACTATACTATACACCACGCCTTTTTCTTTTGAAGAATCCCCGAAATAATATAACCCTGATACCACATATTTTCAAACTGCGTTCATTGCCTATCTATATAATATTGTGGTTAAGCAATATGATGTTGAAGAAAATTTTGATACTAGGTACCTTTTGTATGGCGATCCCCCACAACAGGTACTTTTATTAAGAAATTGGCACTAAACTGCCTAGTCTTGGAATTTACTAACGAGACCGCGAAGTTATCCGCTAAAAAGGGGTTCCCACACCCCGCATCCCAACTGAGAAAATGGATCGGATACATGCGGGATGAAATCAACGACCCCAAATCCCCTGAAATAGGAGTCGAGCCCGCCAAGACCCGGGGTTTTCGGGAACACGCATGTTATGGTTTTCCAAGGTTCTATCTCCGAGGTCGGGCCCTGAGGCCTGATAGGTGAGAATTTCGCTTCCAGAATATTCTAGTTCCAATCTTGCAACAAAGTTAAAAGCGCCACAGGCAGATTTTAGTTTTGTGCGCAATTACTTTAAATCTTCCAGCTTCAAATGAGAACTGATTGCTTAGAGGCAAATTGTATGATCTGGGGTTAAAACTTGGGGTAAATCTAATCCATGGACAATACATAAAACGTTGACTAAAATTTTCTCATAACGTTATCGCTGAGACTAAATGTTGGGGCCTCCGGGGGCATTGTTATACGCCGGGCCGGGTACGCCGGGCCGGTACAATCTGTTTTCGGGGTGCCATACCGCGTACGGGGTTGGCTCGCCTCACGCCGAATACCCCACAAATATGGAAGGCGCGCCGGTGAAGATACGCTTATGTAATGATTTCCCGGTGTCACTAGCCAAACCCATGAACGCATTTTTCAACACCGTCTTCGAAGTTGCAAGCTCATTGGCATTTTACCCCGGAGGACACCCCAGAGTGTGCTTTTGAGAGTTCGTGATTAGACAATTGCTCTCCCCACATTCGCCAGAATCCCAGCCAGTACATCATATCTGGTAATAGAATATTTTATTAACCTTTAATAATCTGTCGCGCCAAGCAAAAACTCTGGACCAACCGTTCATTTTTGGGCCTCCACACGCGATTTCCACTACCTTTTCTCTCGCCCCGGACGTTTTATTTTCTTCACCTCTCCATATACCCATATACTACTATTCAACATGAGTGTCCCCGAAGGACCCCGTCCTATTCAGGACCACGAAGTATACAATGACTCAACCGACATGGAGAAGAAGGCGTATCCGGTAGAGCCTACGGATGATCCCTTTGGAAACGAAGAATCTGGGGAAGTGAAATATCGCATCATGCCATGGTGGTTAGTATCTCACTCCATTTACTGTTTTTATTGCATTAAAGAGCACAGTTCTGACTTTTATATAGGCAAGCTGGAACGCGTGAGAGCCCATCATTAACCCCAGTTAACAGGGACCCCTTTCTAACATTGTTTGTCTAGTGATGGTCGCTGAGAACATCTCGCTTGGTATTCTATCTCTTCCGTCCGCGGTAGCAACCCTCGGAATTGTCCCGTAAGAAAATGTCTACCTCCACGATGCAGGAACAAGACTGACCATCTCCCAGGGCATTTATCATTATCATGTTTCTGTCCGGCATCTCGTGGTACACCGGATACACCATGGGCCAGTTCAAGCAGCGTTATCCCCAGGTCCACAGCATGGGCGATGCTGGCGAGCTTCTTCTAGGCCCCATCGGGCGCGAGATTTTCTTCGTCGGCCAGCTGCTGTTCATCATCTTCTTGATGGCCAGTCACATTCTCACCTTCTCGGTGTTGTTCAACACCATCACGAACCACGGTACCTGCACCATTGTCTTCGGAGTTGTCGGCTTGGTCATCAGCTGTATTGCGGCCCTCCCACGAACAGCAGAGAAGGTCTTTTGGATGTCCATTATCTCCGCCATCAGTATCCTGGTAGCCACCATCGTCACGATGGTTTCCATCGGTGTCCAGGCCCCCGATAATGTCCAGAACGATATCGTCGCCACCCCGACCTTCCAGGAAGGTTTCTTGGCGGTTACCAACATCGTCTTTGCCTTCATTGCCCACGTCTCTTTCTTCGGTATCATGTCGGAGATGCAGGATCCCCGCGAATTCCCTAAGGCCCTCGCTATGCTCCAGATTATTGATACCACTATGTACGTTGTGACTGCTATGGTCATCTACTGCTATGCGGGCCCGGATGTCGCATCTCCAGCTCTGTCGTCCGCTGGACCTATGATGAAGAAGGTTGCCTACGGCCTGGCAATCCCAACGGTATGTTACTTGTCTCCTTGCGGTTGTTTAGGGAGTGTGTGCTAATTTTTGATAGGTCATTGTTGCCGGTGTTGTTTTCGGCCACGTTGCTTGCAAGTATATCTATGTTCGCATCTTCCGCGGCGACCGCTCCCACCACATGCACCAGAAGACTTTCCTGGCTACGGGTACATGGGTCGCGATTGGCTTGAGTACCTGGACTGTTGCTTGGATCATCGCCGAGTCCATTCCGGTGTTCAACGAGTTATTGAGTTTGATTGTATGTTCTCTCAGCCTTCCAAGGTTTATTACCGGCTCCTTACTAATCTGTTATGCAGAGTGCCCTCTTTGGAAGTTGGTTTAGCTGTAAGTCGACTTTTGAAACTAAGATCTTGATGCCTGCAAAATGGATTACTGACTGAGAACAGACGGCCTTCCTGCCATTTTCTGGCTCATGATGAACAAGGGAAATTTGTTCTCGTCAAAGAAAAAGACCACCCTGACTATCATCAACGTGATCATTCTTGGAATTGCTTGTACTATTGTATGTTTTGCCTCTCTGTGTGATTTTGAATTCCTTGCTGACAAGACTAGTGTGGATTGGGACTGTATGTCTCGGGCGTGGCTATCAACGAGAGCTCGTCCAAGGCCAGCTGGACCTGTGCCAACAACGCCAAGTAGACTCGGCTATTATCACGGTGAACATATATTATGTCTCGGGTGTTAGAAACGGTTACTCTATAGATTTGCTTTGATAAATGTTGACTGATATATGGCATCAATTGGCTGGGCCATTGTATATAGACTGGTGTTCAATTTTACACGTATACCTTACACACTGCAGGTTTTGTTCGATATTTAAAGGATGTTTATTATTTGAAATTACAAGCTGAGTTCTCACGGACATAATTTCATATTCTTCTCTTGTACAAATTGAGCTGTAAGACATGGCCTCTAATTACATATGTATTTGGCTCAAAAATTCCGTGAAACAGTGATGCCATCACCAGAATAGTACCCAATTATCCTAATTATGCTTGCCATTTCGCTTTGTCTCCGACAACCCCAGACATTCCGCCATGTTGAAAAATATGTCAATCGAGCTATACACACCTCCAAACAGCTCCTGACACGGGCCGCGCGCAAAGACAGGCACATCCGTCAACGAGTGGACACCCTGCCCCGCATCAAGGGGGATGGTTCCATTGACCAGGAAACCAGTCACCGCATCCTTGTAGTTAGCAACGTACTCCTTCTTCTTGTTCTCCACAGCAGGTTTGCGGGGACCTCCGCTGTGAACGCGATAATCCTCGCGGTGGTCAGGGAAGGCACCAACACCGGCGTGCAGTGTGTATCTCGGGTCCCATTGGGCAGGGAAGTGGACGCCTTCATTGTACCGCAAGGCGTTGGACCCGGCGACGGTGTATTGTGACAGGCCAGAGTTTTCATAATATCCGACCGCGTTGCGCTTGCTGCGGTCGTCCGTCTGCGCTTCCATGTACTCCGTGTCGACCGAGCCGGTGACGTCGAAGCCGTGGCCGTGGTCGGCTGTGACGACGATGAGGGTGTCTTCAAGCTGGCCCAGCTTCTCGAGCTTCTCGATAGTAGCGCGCACGGTATCGTCGAGCTCGAGAAGCTCGCCCAGGGATCGGTCGTAGTCCAGAGTGTGCATCTGCTTGTCGATGCTGGCGGCCTCGGACATCAGGAACCAGCCATCCTTGCGGTGGCGCTTGTCGAGCACGTCGATCGCCTTGAGAGTCATATCCTTGAGTCCGGGCAAATCATCTGCGTCGCGGCCTGAGCCATCGGGATAGTTGCTCTGGTTGTAAAGGTTGGACTGGTAGACGTTACGATCAAGCCAAGTAGCGAGGTTGGATTTCTGGAAAACACCAAGCAGCTTCTCGTCGCTTGGGGCGCTGTGTAGCGCGGTGTTGTTCCAGGCCACGTTGTAACCCTTTTCGGCGAAGAGCTTGTAGTAATCACGCTTTTCCTCGCTCTCGAGGAAGTCCTCTGCACCAGCACCAAGGAGCACATCGGGGCCGTCCCAGTTTGTCCACTCGTAGTCGGTCAGACCACCTGCGTAGTATGAGCCGATGACATGGTCATATTCGCCACGGTCGCTAGTGTGAGCAGCCAATCCGGCAGGGGTAGCATCTGCCAAAAACGCAGTTGACACAATGCCAACACCGGCCTTCGGGTGCTGACGGCGGAAGATTTCTGCGATTGTCTCGAATTTCGGGTCATCGAAAGCGTCGCTGGAGGAGTCAACATAGACACCCAAAGCATTGACGGTAGTCTTGTGACCGGTGTAAAGGGCCGTCGCGGAGTTGGCTGAATCGGTAATGAACGAGTCCATGGAGTGTGTCATCTGGTGGCCCAGCACGGGGAACTTGTCCAATGCCATTTTTGTCATGTATTTGCCGTTGATGCTGCGGTGGGCAATGAGACGTGCTGCAGTGATCATGTTGGTTGTCATGCCATCACCGATGAACATGACGACGTTCTTCGCGCGCCGCTTGGTAGGGAGATCACGAACAAACCAGTTGGCAACTGTCTTTTGTTCCCCGTAATAGGTCAGTGTGGCCTCGTATTCGCCGGGCTCGTAAAGGGCGATTCTTCTATAGATCTTCGAGGTCACATTGACCAGGGAAGGTTTATCTGCGTCCTGGGCGAACCGATCTGTTTCTGTTAGCTTATATGTTCTCCAAGGACTGATTGATAAGAGGCCATTACCTTCAAACCATGTGAAGTCCCACTTCTCTAGCTCAGGTTCCTCAATTTTAAAGTATTCCGTTGCAGTGACAGGAGCTTTGCCCTTGCCATTACCCTTCTTGGCGATTGTGAAGGTAAAGTTTTCGTCTGGCTCTCCAATACGCGCTTCAGAACCATTGACGGGGGAGTGTACTTCGAGGCGGATGTCAAAGTATTGACCCGCTAGGAAGTCGACCCTGCAAATAGCCATTAGTAGCTAGAAATTAGGTGCAATTGAAACATCACATACTGATCCGGTGGGAAGATACATCCCAAGTCAGGACAACCACCCAACCGCTGGAAGGTCTGGGCTGCCGTGAAGGCGAGAAAACATGCCAGCGCGGAGATCGAAGAGGCCCGCATCTTGATTAGCCGATTGTGATAAAACCGAGGGATTTACATTTGGAGAGAAAGTATCCCCGTTAAGTACATCGAGCTTCGCAGCTAATTGCAAGCGAGCCTCCTGCCAAGAGCCGCCTGCCAAGATAATCTATAGTGATGTAGAGACACAAATCTCCGAAATATCCAAGTCCCTTGAAAGAGTGTTATTGCTAGATCGTAAATATATGGGAACCAATAGGAAATAAGCACGATTTGCACGTGTGTAATCCTGGGGTTTACCTGGGAAGCTTGAACCTCCTTGCCAAGTCAAGGGAACGGAATGCCAAGCCAGTCCAGCCAACCCCAGTCGTCCGCCAAGCTTGAAGGCCTTGGCGGACCATCGCACGTGGGATGGATGAGAGATGCGGTGGAATAATGTTCTCTTTACCCCGTGAGACCGTTTAGGCACTTGAACCACTTCCCATAGCTACCTAGCATGGCATGATGGGATGGACGAGCTATAAAAAGGCGCTAGCCAATTGTTACATCTCCGACGGTATCCAGAGGTCGAAAAAAGGTACCGGTAAGCGTTCGGTTGAAATGTGCAATGTTAGAAAAAAAACAGATAGAAAACAAAGTTGATAACCAAATAAAGAAAACAAGATATTGCCTGGTAGGGTGCGCCTCTAAGTCGCCAAATGCCTCTGGTTATCGTATCCTTGGCCCTGCTAGTTCACCCGGATTCGAATGATTGGACCTCGGCTCTAGCTTGGGAGAAACAAAACCGCGCCCTTGGATCCTAGCTAAATGGTATTCTCCTTCTCGGGAATCTGTGAAGCCATCCGAGTGCCAAAGCAACCAGAATACCACATATTCTAGCACGTGCCCGTTGATAAGCGAGAACTCCACTGTAGTGGCCTGAGATACTAACATCGTTGTATGTATAGTTGTAGATGCAGGCCTAGGCGTCAGGGAAGCGGAAGTCGGAGCTAAAACAAGTTCCGTTGATTTCCAACGAGCTGGACTCCATATGTGTTCCAGCCATCGCATCCCAGTTTCATCGAGCTTAGTTTTCATTATGTAGAACCGTCGGTGGTATGGGTATAGGTGAAGGAGGTTGATGTTGGAGCGGTCCATTGGCAACCCTCGGTGGTGTGCCAGGCGAAGCCTGACACATCGACGCCCGTACTTCATGTACTCAATGTCCAGCTACCTGATCTGTACGGAGTAGAAATGCGATATTAGCGTTGAAACCAATACTCCATGAATTTGAAGTCGTACCCATAAACAGGACAACACGTCCCTGTCGTTTGCTCAGCTCAGCGCTTGAGCTTGGCGGCCATGACCCACCCGCTAGGGAAGACAATCCTCGGCGAACAGTAAGACAATGGTGCCCATCCCGGTGGTAGACACTGTGTGGTGTGAATGGGACCTAGATTAAATCCGCCTCGACCTGAGGACTTGGCCATCTAGAGATTATTCAGATATGCATTGGGCGGCGTGAGGGTTGTTGTTAGTGGGAGGCGCTTCTGTTGTGGTGATTATGGTAGCGTATAAAGATCGGAGAGGCAGAGGGGATATGGAGGAAGACAAGTTTGAAGAACTGGTTCCAACCCCCAGTTCTAACCAGCTTGACCTGGGGATCTTGCTTCATCCAATTTATCAACCGAAGTTGTTGACAACTGTTTGTGGGAGGCAAAAATGGCCCAAAGACGTGTTTACACAGCATGAGCAGGGAGGCTGAAAACGGCGCTCAGCCACACAACATCTGCGCAGAAGTACTTCTTTTTCGTCTTGCTTTCTATGATGTTATCCATAGTGCTTTCAGATAAACAAGAAATGTACTATAGTGGTCGAATACAACACCAAAATGAACAAAGAATCGACTACTAGCATCAGACCCTCAAGACGACTGCCAGTATTGGACAAAGAAACGCTTTTTTGAGGCTTATCATGCTAACCATAAACTCTTCAGTTGCAAGCTGTGCTATTGACTACCATACAATGTGAGTATGTTCTGGTAATATCGATACTCAAGAATGTTGTTCTCATAGCTGATTATGGAATTTGTGTCTTCATTGAAAATCTATTCTCATAATAGCAGTCAATGATGTGGCTTTAACCGGTCATCGGCCTTGGCTTTCATTGTACTTATTTCTCATCTTGGGGCGCTGATATTGCTTACCATTTCGTCTCTTTATTGTCGAGTATAGAAACCATGGTGTCCATGACTAACAAAATGTCAAAGACAACCTTGGAATGGAATGTTCATTATCTCAGCTTTTGAAAGCATATGTTACTATTTATGATCGAAGGTCTATACTTGAGTCTAATTAGACAGATAGTATATCTCCTCAAAGACTGCTTAGTTTAAATTTAGCCCTTTGATTTTGACGATTCTTTCGAGTCCATGTCTTTGTCTATTGTCTATTGATGGCAATCAGTGGAAATGTCAAATGTCAAACACTAGTTCGAAGAGCAGAATCTATAAGTTCCTAATGTCCATCAAGTTTGCCTTGATCAACGAGATTTGACACAGAGAAAGCACCAATGCTCCTTCAAGGCCTTGGATTTATATCACCTTCTTTACAGCAATCTTCTTACCAATCCAACTTCTCTCCAATGCTACCTCCCACTCTCAGATACGGCAGGCGACAAGCTGTTGGACGATTACTACAGCAATGGATCGAATGCCCAGAATCTGACCCATCTGTGGGAATATGTCCAATTCTGCCTTCTACGCTGAAATTTAAAGATCTCAAGAAGGCCAAGCAACTTGAAATAGATACGGACATGAATCCTTATGTTCCACTCCAGATCGAACCCGAATTTGCAGATCTCGAAATAATGGGACCAACCGGCGGGGCGTGGGAGAAGATCGCCATTGATGAACCTAATGCTCCACCAGACCCTAAATACTCGGACATTCATGTCTGGGAAGGGCAAGTTGCACCTGGGGTTTTAATTGTGGAAGAAATAAAGAAAACACCCGGTTTCTTCATGTCCGAAGTCTGCCAGGCTATTTACCAGAACAACTTCCCGATTGATACATTGAAGTATGTCTATATGATCGATGTTTGCAATACGGATACCCGTTCGTTTGTGAGGAACGAGCTTTATACCGAATTCAACGGCCTCACTTTGTCAGATGACCAGATACATGACTGGGTATCTGGAACCCCGGAATTCGAGGCGCTGCTAGGGACAAAGCTCGGACAGACTGTGGCACATTTAATTTTGGGGGCCTTTAAACGTGGAACTCGCCGGATTTCACGAATCAGAATCTATGAGACGTTTGAGGCATTGCAGTTGCAGTTTGCCATTGAGGAGATTGAGCAGATTGTTCTGACTTACGACCCTATTCAGAGCCCTTCGGCTCGTAGTACAAGGTCGACATCGCGCCGCCAGCGAAACGTCGAATCAAGGAAGCGCAAGGTGGACTGGGATGAAGAGACTGAAGTGAAGAAAGTTTGGAGGCAATGGTAACCATGAGTTGGGCGTTTATGATTCGGCCAAACTCACTCTTCTTGTTATTTGTATTTTATTCTTATCTGTCTTTGTTCACTGGGTCATTTTGTATATCTACTATGTATTTTTCTGCTTTTCTTACTTCGCGGAAATTTTGTATGTTCTTCTTCGTCTTGTAATGCAACTATCAGCGTATATGTTAGTTATGTTAGTTCTACTGCTTCTACCCTCTTCAAATTAGATACCTCGGTAATCCCTATTAGGATGGCTATAATCATAACTTACTCCTTTCTATTCTAAGGTTAAAATGACCCTATATTGACTTTTCCTATAAGATAAACCTCAAAAAACACATATATCTTCAAAAATGACCAGACCAATAAAAAGCCAGTAGATGTTCTAACTCAAATTCATAGACCAGGATGATTGAATTTGGCCCCAGGGGGCTAACTCGTTACACAGCCTTGGACAGCTTTAGACAGCCCCGTGGCCCCTTCCACTTTCAGATCCTGGGCAACTTCCCACTTTCAATCAATTTACACAGTCTACCTAGGTAACCCCCGTCTCTCTCTTTCATTCTCCTTCTGTCTCCCCTTTTCTTTGCCTGCAGATCAAAAAGTGGCTGATTGGTCCAAAGTTGAGGCTTTGTTCCGCCGAGTCGGCGGGTCTGCCACACTATACTGAAAGCAGCCTGCACCGAGACCCAACAGACCCTTCTTTTGAAATAGTAGGCTCTTAGATCACATTATCTTGTGAGCCCAATCGTTTCCGGTTTGAGACTATACATCCTCGCCCCCCATGGTTCCCTTGGCATTGGGCCTAGGGATTGCAGTGGCCAAATCCCGTAAGTAGCCAATGAGAGATCCCTGCATTTGACAAACACAACATCTGATGCAACTTACATTTAGTTGCCATTGCTATATGGACTGCCATCATTGCTCCATTCCGTGGTCAAAATGGGGCCGCCATAGCCTACAAGCATATTGCATTGTCTTTTACGCGCACCCTCTTTCAAAATGCATCCATGGAGCAGCTTCAGTGAGTTGAAATATTGTACCAGGATAGAAACACCCCAGCAAAAATACTCAGATATATCCAGACTCCCTGGCCTGACAAAGAAGCAATTCTAACAACACCTCGCAGACTTGTTCTTCCCCCCGCTTCCGCTCAGAAAAGTTACGAAGCCCACATGAGACAACAAAAAGCCTCGCCCTACATACTCGTTCTTCCTGAAGATACAACGGCATTCTGGCTGGGTAATCCTGCTGCTGAAAAGTTGATCATCTACTTTCCCGGTGGCGGCTACTGCCTCCCTGCGCTACCGGGCCACTTCAGCTTTCTCGAAGCTCTCTCCACGGATCTAGAACAACATGGCAAAAGCGTCGGTGTGCTATTACTTGCCTATGAACTTGCCCCCCAAGCCCGATGGCCTCGTCAGTTGCAACAGGCCGTTATCATCCTACGATATGCCATCCAGACACTGGGGAAACGACCGTCAGACATTATTCTTCAAGGTGACTCTGCGGGCGCTCATCTTGCACTTGCGCTACTATCACATCTCGCTCACCCGCATCCTCAAGAGATCGTACCGAGATTTTCGGTTGATGAACCCCTCAGGGGAACGGTGTTGTTGTCCCCTTGGGTTGATTTTAGAACTGATCACCCGAGCTCCAGTGAAAACGCGGGTAGAGACGTTATATCGGCTCGGGCTTTGAATAGCTGGGCACGGATATTTCTGGGTCAGACCGTGGAAGATGAGTACAACTGCCCCGCCAAAGCCCCAGCGGGCTGGTGGAGAGACCTTCCTGTTTCAAGAATTTTTGTTGGCGCGGGAGGAGACGAAGTCCTGTTGGATCCGATTAGACGGACGGCCGAGAAGATGAAGGTGAGGTGGTTTCAACAAGCTTCGTGTCTCATCTAACAACTTGTCATTCTCAGGCTGAACTTCCCGGCGTGAGCATTAGTATTGTGCCACGAGAATTCCACGTCGAGCCGATCACGGACTTCGCTTTGAAGATACACCCTGGATCGCAGTTCAAGGCGATCGTGTCATGGTTAAACCAGACGTTTTTACAATGAAACGCAAAAAGGTATGAAGATGAAGACAGTAAGATACATTTGCATTTATTATTATAACTCACGATTGTACCCTAGTAGGCGGTCAGACGGCGCCAACTCGATCAGGGTTGGGGGCTTTGTTCGCCGTGTCCGTGTCGCCACCTGCGCACCTGGTTTCCCTGACCTGGACTACATAACTCATGTGAGATAATTTCAATTCATATTCTTACTCGTGTTTTATGTGAATAGTGAGACCTTTTCCCCGAGATGGACTCGATCCACAAACCCCAGCGGCCCGGGGATCAGCCTCGGAAGAAGATCCGAAAAGGGACCCGCAGTTGCTGGCAATGTACAAGAGCCCCTTGATATAAATGATCTATCTCTAACGGTTATTTTCTCACACAGGCAAACACCGCAAAGTCCGCTGCAATTTTGCGTCTGATAGCGACCAGAGCTGCAAAGAATGTCTCGCTCGGGGACTTCCGTGTCGCAGCCAAGAATTGCCGGAGCCCGAAAAACCCCGCGAGTCGGACCGCACATATCTGAACGAGCGAATGGCTCGGGTAGAGGACCTGTTGGAGAAACTTCTGATACGAGTCGACCGTGGGAATCGGAAGCGGGACTCGAAATCACCCATAGATTCAGCGGAAACCAGTCCCGTATCGAGTTCGGGTCCCCCGACCGTGACACCAGCTCCGGACAGTGCTCTAGTTTTGTCTCTCTTTGACAACAACGCGGTTCGTGTGATAAATCCCATCAGGATCTGCAATTCCCGCTAGCTCGCACTTACTAGTGAATTATCTAGATAGGTTTCAAACGATCAGACACCGCTGACAACGTTGCGCCCGATTTTACACCATATGGCACGATCAATCGGGACTGGGGGAGACTGCGCCGCGATCTGATAGCCTTGATACCCTCCCAGAAGACATTGAAAATCATATCGGAGGCTAGCAGTAGTTGGTGGCTTATGCGCATTCAGATATTCGAAGACTACGACAAATCATTGCTTTCGTCCTCGATGGATGAGCTTCGAACCGGCCACCCGTCTATAATTGGCAAGGCCATCTTGTGGATTACACTGTGTCTCCAACAACTCCCTTCAGGGTTTGATTTGTCCTCTCTTGATCTTCCCTCCCTCCCATGGGTCCTAGTTCAAGAATGCATCACCCGTGTTTCCACGCTCGTCTGCTCTGATGACTCTATTGTCAGTTGTATCGACGGGCTCGAGTGTTTGGTTCTTCTAGGGTTGATCTATAGCAATGACGGGAAGCTACGAAGTGCATGGCTTTCTTATCGTCGGGCCGCAAACATCGCTCAGTTAATCGGGTTCCACCGTGCTGAACCAGCTCCCAATGAAAGCGCCGAGTTTCAACATCGGGCTACCTTCATCTGGAGACACATCCTCATCGTTGACAGGCATTTTTCACTGATCCTTGGGGTACATGGAGCTGTATCCAATACGGCAATAGATCTATATCAATCCAACCCAAGCGACTCCAAAGCTTTGCCCGTTCACAATGAATCCGTTCTGAACCACCTTACTCGGATAGCCGGATTAATCATTGAGCGCAATCAGACCTTCACAGAAGTCACTCCGGCCATGCTGCAGATGACAAAGAGCATCGATGTGAAACTTCAAGCGTCTGCTCCCCCTCCTTTGCGGTCACCCGACAATGTTCCGCCAGGCAAGTGTGCCGAGCGGTCCTCTTGTTTCCTCGCGCTTCACTCTCGGTTTTGGTACTACCAGCTCCTGGCTTGGCTACACCTACCTCTCCTACTGTCGTCGGGCACTGACAACTTCTATAATTATAATCGGCAAACCTGTCTCCACGCCTGCCGCAACACCCTCGCTTGCTATATCAATATCCGACGCATCCTTGAAAACGGGTTTGACTCGAAGATTTTTGATTTCCAAGCCTTCACTACGGCAATGACAATCATTGTCAATGCACTCGGGCCATTTGGCCCGCAGGACTTTACCAAAGAAGATTACCTCGCTCTTGACCAGGTTGAGGCTATTCTAGAGCAACTATCGAAGAGCGTTCCTCCGGACAAGATTGCAACTCGAGCGTTGCATGTTTTGAAGCTTATCAAGGCAACAGGAATGGGAACCGAACCCCCGCCACTTGACGAATCAGAAGGACACCAATACGAGAATGGAAGGCCTACCCGCATCAAGCTTGATATTCCCTATTTCGGCACGATATACCTCGAACGTCGTACCACCCTCGATCAATCATCTAAACATATTCCTGCTGTTACTGTACCGCCGCCAACTTTGCCCACCACCGCTCCTGGGCAATACTACCCAGCGTCTTCATCATCATCTTCTTCATGGATGGGCATGATCCCAGATCGCAGTTATGCAAGTGGGCAGGTTGGCCAAACAGCCCAATGGGCGGATCCCAACGTGGGCTTTGATCCGCCCACCGAGTTTTGGGCTCTTAACTCTCAGTTCACGTTTCAGGCTCCGTTTTTGGCTGATTATGATGTCAATTGGGATTATTGGGATATGGGGTTATGACGAACGCATGCAAGTAGAGCGGGTTTGTGCTGGATACAAGCCTTGTGGTGGTTTTTGTCTTCGTTTTGGTGTTTTAACGTGTCACGCTTTATGTTGTTTCTGTACGAAGTATTGTTGGAGTTATATGACGTGCATTGGGCGGTCCTGTTTTTTTGATAAATATTTTGGTCGGATCAGCAACAAGGTCACTTCGATCGGCCTTTTGTCAATGCTATCATTTTCTTTGATCGTTTACTTTCCCTTACTCGGAAATTTTTTAGCCAAGGCTAAGAAATTTGAAGTTCAAGTTCACACCTATGAATTGCACCTGGGACCCTGATTAACCTGAAGAACCTCATTCAGAACGTGGGTAGAATGACACTGTCGAATAAGCTCGCGGCCCACTTTAACATCTCACCCCCACAGTTTCCCACGCTTACGGTTCGAATTCCCTGGGAACACTGGAATATTTGCCGAGAACTAAACACAGCCTTGAAAAATGCTCGCCCCTAATACAATTGTTTGATTACGAATAGGACTGTCTTCGCTTGCTATCATTGGTCATCTATCCTTAATTTCGATTATCCTAACTGCATGGGGTCGGGTGCAGCTTAGCTAATAGGTCAATAGAACCTGGAATGTCATAGTTATTCTCTTCACTCTTTGGTCATACTATATTCAATGTTCAAACACATTCGATGTGCGTTATTCAAGGTACCAAGTAAGTAGCCGTAGTGTTCAGTTGGCCATAAGTCATGTCATTAGGAGCGTAAGATACAGGAGTGAGAAAGGAAAGAAGCTAAGCTATACAGGTATCGCAGAGAAGATGAATGAGGACCACTTTAAGAAGTATCGGGCGTTATATGATCAATACTAGAGTCCGATTCCAGCCTATGAAGGACTGCATCTGTAATATATGCTCTAGAACATAGATCAGCAAGCTATCCCGTTAAATATCCGTGGAAAAGGCACGTACGAAAAGCCCCTAGCAATCATATCCGGAAATCTGTTCGTGACAGAGCCCCCGTCCTTGTGGATCTGCTGTATGTAGAAATTGATCTCCTCAGTCGCAGCTGAGTCTTGAAAGGTTACCTTCTTTGTTAGTAGGGTTCATGCGAGACAAGGAGGAAGGGGATTTACAATATATTTCGGGGCCATTTTATCGGACATGTATGATCTGTATAGGCTTTTCGTTTGAGTAAGAGAGTGAATCAAAGACTTAGGTACTGAGGTCTCAATATCCTGTCTATGAATCAGCCTGGGACTATATATGCCTTTATGGGCCAAGAATCCTGACGTCATTGTATGGGAACCCGGGGCCCGGGAGCCTGAAATTCCAACTTCCAGGTGGCAACTGCCAATACATCTACCTGGGTATACTCTTGAACCGGGCAAATATATTTTGAGGCTGTGTATTCCCCACCTTTTAACCGGATATACAAAGCAATTTTAGTGGATGATATTTGACTATGTAGTTGCCTGTTGATCATTAACATTGCCGTGACGCGCACCCTCGAATACATCAATCGGCGACGTTCCATTCACAACGTGGCTGGTTTACATCTGCTCTAAGGTGTTATATTGCGCAAAATGTCCAATAAATAGGACGTCGCACTCTACCTTGCGGGTTGGACTCCCATCTATATAGATCTATTTGAAGGGGAATGAGACGCTGGATCGCAACAGAAATCAGTAATGCTTGCTGTATACGTGAGGTAAACAAAGGAAAAAGAACCCACGGGGATCCGGGGTGTGACAGGGGGCCGAGGGATCTTATTGTGGAACTTTCGATCCTTGGAATGACAAGAGCTCCGTAAAGTTACCCCAAGCCCGCTCGAAAGAGGGATCCTTGGTGGAACACTCGCTCAACCATCGCAGAGCCTTTTGGACTCTTTCCAATGACTCGTTTCCCTCGCTAGCCCTCGTCGGATTCTGGGTGAGCAAATGCGTTATGAGCACTACGATGCTCTGCGCGAGGTAGTGCAAAGCACACCACCAAGGTGAGCAACTCAAGAGCCAGGAGATGTTTGGCTCATTGGGTAGGAGATCAAGCATTTGGCCTGCTGCATTGAAGCAAACCATTGCCATTGGGGTGTCAAGACCGGTGGGGAAGACTTCACCGCAAACATGAGAATGAAGGGCGGGATGCGAAATGACAAGTTTGGTCGAATAATATTGAAAAGCCAAACTCGTCCGCTGACGAACAAAGGCTCGGTCATCCCTGCTTTCCGTGAAACGATAAGTCGCAGGGAGCCGAGCAAACCAGTTGTCAGCGGCGCTGTTAAGCAATGTCATGGCCAGTTCGGTGTCATTCCGAGATTTTCGTCCCGCTTCGGGGGAATACAAGATCTCGATCGCTTCTTTCATCACAGCTGCCAAGTCAATGGAATAAAGTAAGTACAACGAGACGTTAGCCTGGAGCTGCTGGCTGGATGATGTCCCTTGAGACATGGAGTGTGGCGAAAGCGAATGGGATGAACGGTCGTTCGTTTCAGTCGAGGGCTCGAAGGAGAGTAGAGAAGCCATGAGACGGCCTCTGGATTGAATGTCCGATATAAGCCTCATTACATGCTCATCCCGGAAGTCTTCCTCCTTGTACGGCACCGGCAAAGGGGTCGTGCAGTGTTCCTGCTGCATTCTGGGCATGCGTCCAGTCATGACACAGAGCAGGATGTCTAACAGGTACAGCGCCCACCATAGCCGATATCTGGTTTCTTTGGACACGTGCGTGATGCTGGGGCTTTCGCTACGAAGGTGGATTCCCATCGCGACCGCCGACTGGATTGCAATGCCACACTTTCTCCATGCCCTAAACCAAAATTAGTGGCTAAGTAAAGGCTCGGGGTATTCGACCTACCTATTGGCCTGTCCGATGGAAAGCAAGTAAAGTGATATTAGCCCCTCTACCTGTGTCTGCTGCAGGTTGGGATTGTCCAATAGCACATTCTCGCTATTGTGTAATCGCCAGGCACGGGAAAAGTACACGGTGTGGGTATTGTGATCTAGCTGAGATTGGTCTCCGGAAAGCTCGGAATGTCTTGCAGCGATTGCAAACACCATGTTCAATAATGCCATCCACTTGCTTCCAGGGTGTGTTGTGGAGTTCGAATAGAATGACCGACACTGGCTTAGAAATATTTCTTTGCCAACGACAGGGAAGGAGGCGTGCGCGACTTGGAAGTATCTGTCCACAAGTTCATCGGCGACCGCTTGTGGGGGATATGCGAAGACATCTAGATCGTTTATCGGCGGGATTCTGGTATCATCCATAAAGAATGCACAGGAAGAAATCGATGGACGGGCTGATTCCTCCAGTTGGCCGTCCGGATTGGAACTTGTCTGACCGGTCAAGTACTTCAGCCTGTATAACCATGCCGTTGCCGAATGTTCTCCTACAAAGCCAATCGCTTGGAGTGAAATGTCTCCATTAGAGTCTTCGAGAGTGTGATCCACGTAGGAAATCGTTCTGGTTGGCGAGTCTGTCTCTGTCTCATCTGGTACTTTGGCGACGGTCGGCGATGACAGGGAAAGGCTAGATATCTGTGGGTTGTTAGGTTGATCAAGGGGGGCTGATTTCGGTTGACCGGATCATGGGGTCTGCACTCACTTTTCCGAGAGCTTGATCGACGAGTTTGGCCAGCTCGGTGTCGAATTTGGGATTCGCATAAATATCGCGCACGAGAGATTCGTAGTGCTGGAGTTGGCTCGTTATAACTGTAAGTTGTCTAAGTCCTTGGGTGAATATTTTGGGCCACCATATCTAGAAGAATCACAGACCTAGCGTTTCTCTCTCGCTTCCCATCGACATAGACGCAAAGAACGTTGGCCTCCTGGCATCGAAGGCAAGAAGGGCGATGACCAGAGCACTTGTTCTTCTGCTTGCGACAATTGTGGCATGCTCGACTAACTCGACCATTATTGCTTGCAAGTGGAAGGTCGAGCCGGGGAATGGCTACTTTGGCGTTCATTGGCTGTTCCCCGGTGACTCGAGGTGTGCTCCAGGGACGGTATGCACCGAAGACTGTCGACTCGCGTGGTGTCAAAGGCGAAGGCGACGCTTCTCTACTCTCGAGCTCAGCTGTGTCGTAGGTGAAAGGATCCCTGTCATTTTGAGGGACCGATGGAAGGGGTTCAGATTGCAAAGAGTGCCGAAGAGACGGCCTTCCGCTCATTGCGACTTGGCCCGCTATTCATTGTCAGTGCTGAATACTAAGCGAAAATGGGGAATGTGAGACGCACAAACCAGCACGCTTGTTAGAAAGGGAACGGGAAAAAAAGCCCCCTTTAACAGTGAAATATCCCCGATGGTGGGATTATCGATGGCCGGAGTATAGCTTGTAACAGGACTGTTTTGGCAGAAGAAATAGCACCTGTGATTGGCAGGCTCACGTTCCCGGCTGAATATCGTTCGGTACTATTGGTTAGTGTACCGAGATCAACAACGGCCCACTGTTGGCTTAATTTAGTAAAGGCATGGGCATCATATGTAACTGGGATCATTTGATGCCACAAATTTTACATGTTGGCTATATCTCAAGGATGAAATTTAAGATGTTGATCAGAATAAGATAAATAGAATCAATTCAATTCAATGAAGAATCTTCAACAAGTCTTAGTCGGTAATATTGTGACCTCCCGAGGTCAAAGCCCGAAATGGGATGTACCTAGGGATGCTTGAAAGGGTCAACGCTGAATGGTCGCCTAAAGTTCCCAGCCAATTAGAGGTCTTAACGCACCAATGAAAATAGATCTTGATCTCTATATCGTCGGTTCTATATGGATTGCTTCATATCTTGAAAATAAGCAATTCACTTGTACTCCGTATAATATACATGTAGTTGAGACTAAGGGACATCTGGCAACCCCTTCTCTTTTTGGTTTCACCTTTTTTATATTATTGTACGCTCTCGACCACTATAATATGTCTAACCTCCCCTTCTCCTTCGATCTGACCCAACGTTGTGTTCATGTTACTGTAATTGTCCTTGATTTATCATGATTCCAGGTACATACGCCGTGGATAATATACTAATAAATATGTTATAAACAGAATACCAGGTGCGATTTTAGTCTGATTAACATGACCACGTGACGAATACTTAGATTAAGTGAGTCCTTAAATATGATCACTGCGAACTATATGTAAATAGATTGCTCTTAAGGCAACAATTATGTAGACATTTAACCGAATTCACTCGGCTGAAGAGACATATATGATTCATGTCTTTAGGTTGATTACATCGTTCATCTGGGAAATTAACGCCAAGATACAGATAGCTCTTAGCCCAACTCTCAAGGGTATGGCTATTGTTGAAGATACTACTGGTTAATAGACGAGATCATATATTAATATTGTAGGCTATTGAACTATGAAAGAGGGAATGAAAGGAACACTGTAGGAGTCCTATTACTACAAACAGGATCATGTGACCTAAGAGAGCCAAACAGCTATCAGCCTTATAATTCGCTCTAACAGGCTACCCCTGTGCTCATCATTACTACGATCTATATACGCATCTTTGCCTAGCTTCATTCCATGTCATCATATCCAATACTTTGTGCAGCAATAAAGCGAGCTTCTTTTTTGGTCAGCCCACTTCTCTATCCACCTCATCGCAATATCCGGCATCTCTCGATGCTTTTACCAAGGGCCCCTCCATGCATTTGCGTACCTCATTCGCCTACCTGGTTCCTGCTCAATCCGACATTGCAGGTATAATCAAAATAACGAACTGTGTTGTACATTGTATGTCGGTAAAAAAAAATAACAAGGATAGATATATCAACGTCGATTGGTGATTCACGATCGATGACATCATATGTTATATCACATCGATTCAGCTGGAATTCATCCCTGTATGCATGGCAAATAAGTGCAAATCTGGCAGAAACAAAGAATCGAGTCTCAAATTTCAGACTCAGTGCGTTTGCTTTGTATTGTCAATATACAGCTTTTGGCACGTGCTAACTCACTTGGATAAGCGCTGTCAACGCCAAGACCGGGATTCCGCTGAGATAGGACAAACAGCAACCCCTGGCCAGGCCTATTCTAATATTGGCTGAAAATGTGGGGAAAAAATAGCAGTATTGGTGCGTGCGCCTGGGCAATCTATATCGCACAGATAAATGATAGGTCGAGCTCTTGTAACATCGTCATAACCCCATTTCCCATGTCGATGACGTAGCTCTGGGGAAAGCTTCCATCATCACGCCGATCTTGAAATTTCCTGTTCTCTACAATTCTTAAATTCTCTTCGTTCAATTCCTCTATTCTCAGGGTGTCGCCGAGAAGGTGTCCTCGTATTCTACAACATTGTACAGTCAAAACAAATTAACCCTATAGCTACGATAAGAGAAGACCGAAGCTCGATTCATTTCTTTCCTCCACCGACCTCCAAAAATGGCTACAGGCCAGCAATCTAATGCTCCGCAGAACCGTCGGGTTGGGGAGAATTGGAGTGGTGCCAATCCCATTCCAACCATTAGTCACTTTATGCAACATGTCGACGCCGAGAAGAAGGAACGCGACGGCAGGATAGACGAAGAAAATAGAGCCAAGAAAGAAAGGGCTGCACATGCAAAAGCGCAAGAGGCTGGTGGAGAGCAAGCAGATCAAAAAGATCAAAAAGACGGAGATGTTGTCGCTCATAAGCCACGCGAAGTCTCCGAGGCCAAGATGCGTACCGTGACAGACCCAACCACGGGCAAGGACATCGGTGTTGAAGACCAAGACGAGGCATCTATGGAAACTGTTAAGAATCCGATGGTACGTGGAATGGTCTCGAACAAATTATGAAAGGAGTCTAATCCATAAGCAGTTGACGGTTCCGAACGCAAATATTGGGAAACCCACGGTGAGTGGTCTCTATAGAATATCGTTCGTGGGGCATACCACTAACATGTATCCCAGGACGTCCAAACAAGTGCCGACCAAGATCTTGCAGAGTATAAAGAAAAACAAGACATTACCGCACCCCCTGATCCCATCGCCGAAGGTACAACCTCCGATGTTCCCATTCGAGGAGAGAAGACGAATGTTCTGTTCCATCCCACGCCAACTGTCTCATATCAGCCCATGTTTGATTCATTGCAAAAGCGTGCAACGGGCCTTTGCATTGGGATACCTGTTGCCATAATCATACTGGGGCGGATGTGCGGAGGATCTCTTTGGGGCCTTATTCCCTTAGCCGCATGTGTCACGAGTGGAGTATGGTTATGGATGCAGGAAGTCATTCGTAGTGGTCGAGCAATGGAGTGGAGCAGTGAGCAACTTCGTGGCCAGATGGTAAGTTTTTCTATTGTATGATCTTGTTGATGGATAGAAATACTGACAGCTCAAAAGGCTACTGCAAATCTGCTTCCTGAATCCGTCGAGTGGCTGAACAGTCTCCTCGGCGTTGTGTGGGGACTCGTTAACCCAGAGATGCTGACACCTATGGCCGACACAATCGAAGATATTATGCAAGTCTCTGCACCCAAGGTTGTAGAGAATGTTCGCATCGCAGAAATCGATCAGGGTAGCAACCCACTCCGAATTCTGAGTATGCGGGCTCTGCCCGACGATCATGTGCAGGGTTTGAAGGAGAACATTCGTGAGGAAAACAAAAAGAACAAGGACCCACAGGAAGCTGCTGCTGCCGAAGAAGGAGGGAGTTATTACAACATGGAAGCCTCTTTTGCCTATCACGCAAGCCCGACTGGTCAAAGTGCTTCGTCCAAGGCACGCAATATGCACATGCAACTGGTCTTCTATCTGGGCATTCGAGGCTTGTTCGGTGTTCCATTCCCCGTGTTCGTGGAGCTGATTGAACTTGTCGGGACTGTCCGCATGCGCTTCCAAATGATGCCCGAAGCACCGTTCATGAAGGATGTGACTTTCACCTTAGTCGGCATTCCCCACGTTAGGGCTGGCTGCATGCCAATGTTCCGAACGGGAGTGAATGTCCTGAACTTGCCATTGCTCTCCAACTTTGTCAACTCCGCCATTAGTACCGCGTGCGGCATGTTCGCAGCCCCCAAGTCAATGACCATGGATCTTGGCATGATGTTGACAGGAGATGACATCCACAAAGATACTTTGGCTCTGGGTGTGATGTGGATTCGCATTCACCGCGCTGTCGGCCTGAGTAAACAGGATGCTCGCGGTAGTGAGGGTGGAGGCAGTGATCCATACATCAACCTGTCCTTCTCGAAGTATGGCAAGCCGATGTATTGTACACGTGTGATTACCGATGACCTCAACCCAGTTTGGGAAGAGACTGCCGCCCTCCTTGTGACACCGGAACTGATCAAGGCTGATGAAAACTTGAGCATCGAGCTCTGGGACTCTGACCGCAACACTGCGGATGACATTGTCGGCAAGGTCGAGCTACCTATCCGTGAGATGCTTCAGCATCCCAGTCAGATGTATCCCCAGGTGTCGAAGCTTCAGGGTATGGATGAGGGCAGTGAAATGCCCGGTCAGCTGCATTGGGAAGTTGGATACTTCGGGAAACCAAAACTTCGCCCTGAGCTGCGTACTGATGGCAAGAAGAAAGACCTTCCTAAAAACCTAAGAGGCGATCCGACTTTCGAAGACGAAAAGGGAGCTATCAACAACGAAGAAGAGGATGCCGTTATGCATACACCACCCGATCCAATCTGGCCAAGCGGTATTGCGCACATTGTTGTACACCAGATCGTCAACCTTCAACTTGCCAATATCAAGGGCAGCGATGGGAACCGCAAGGGTAAGGAGTATGAGCCGGCGAAGCCATATGGTGAGAACACAGAGGAGGAGGGTGAAGAACTCCCAACGAGTTACTGCAAGGTTCTGTTAAACGATCAACTGGTACGTATTTGTAGATACATACCCTTCAAGTCCAAATGCCAGATACTAACAGCATGTTTTAGATCTATCGCACTCGTGCAAAGGCTGTGAGCTCCAAGCCTATCTTCAACGCAGGAACTGAACGATTTGTTCGCGACTGGCGTTCAGCCGTCGTGACCATCACCGTCCGAGACCAACGCTATCGCGAGCACGACCCCATCCTTGGCGTTGTTCCCCTCAAGCTATCCGATATTCTTCAAAACAGCTCACAAGTCACCCGCTGGTATCCCCTCGATGGTGGTATTGGGTTTGGACGCATCCGTATTTCTCTTTTGTTCCGCCATGTGGAGACCAAATTGCCACCTCAAATGCTTGGCTGGGATGTTGGCACCTTTGAATTTGCCGGACAAAATATCACCGCAAAGGACTATGGTCGACACACTAAGATCAAGCTGCGCACCGGTGGCAGCGTTGGCAAGGTCACCCGGCACCAGTGTCACATGCAAGGCAATGATGCGGTATTCGACACCTCCGATGAGACATTCCGCGACTCACTGCGCATGCCCGTGAAGCACCGATACCGCTCCCCGATTGTGTTCGAGTTCCATAACCAGGGCAAGCGAGGCGCCGCAGCATACGCTGTTCTGTGGCTCCAACATCTTGTCGATAACGAGGAAACAGACATCGACCTTCCCATCTGGACGACAAAGATGGGTGCTCGCTTGACACAAAATTACGTCACGGAGGAGAACTATAAAGCCAAGCAAGTACCTGGACTCGAAGACTTGACAGAGGTGGGACGTCTTCAATTACGATGCAAGTTCTCACCGGGCATTGACGAATCGCACGAGCGTTTCGTGGTTGACAACGACTCCCGCGAGACCTTCGAGACCTGGGAAGCGTGTCTGTCTCAGGGTGTCCGTTCCCGCACCGTGGACGTCGAAGTTCCTGCGGAAGTGCAGGAAAAGCACGAGCAGTCTTTGATCGACGGACGGGACATCTTGAAGCAAGCATCACCCTCTGAGCGCCAGCGGTGGGTTGACCACGACGGCCAAGACTGGAGTGGTGCATTTGGTCAAGACCCGCGTGCCTACACCGATTCCATCGGCCGCAAGGTCGCTGAGCCTGGCCGGGACCAACCTCGCCATGACCCATACACCCCTCCCCCACTCAAGGATAAAGCTTCTCAGCGAAGCAGTTCCCAAGATGGAGAGGACCACGACGAGGACACCTCGGAATCAGATGACGAGCTCGAGTCCTTGTCTAATGGGCCCTCGACAATCAGTGGCAGTGGTGGAGCTGGGTCGTCTTTGGCACAAAGCAATATGAGTACCAGCCAGGTAAACAGGGCGAATAAACACAGTGAGCAGCGACAGCAGCGTGGTCTCATGCAGTGGCGGCCTGCGCGGAATGCTGCTTTTGCCAAAGATGAGGCCAAGTATGCGCTTCGTAAGATGAAAAAGAAGATCGGAGCGGGGGGTCTCACTGGTCGCGAGCCAGATGTCGAGACGGAGACTTGACGAAGTATGACTGTTTTCTATTTGTTTTCGGCGTTTTGTGTGTAATTTGCATTTGCATGAATCGAGTGTATAAAATTTGAATATCCGTTATTTACTGTTTAACTCCAACAAGTTATTGAACGCTCATGGCCGTCATTCACTACCACCAATGGATATTAGATGCGTTGATATATATCCGAGGCGGAGAGGAAGACGCTGGATTTTTATAAGCCAATAGCGCCAGCCTAGAAGCAGACCACAGTGGCCTATACTACGGGAAGAACAGTTGTTCCACGATCGAATAGCCTCCTTTCTCTGGAAGCAATTCGATGAACAGGCCCACAATGAGAGAGGGCGTATACTTCGGGACAGCATGGCCAGAACATCATCTGACCCTATAGATGGAGTTTTATGAGCTTTCCTGTGGAAAATTGAAGTAGAAATGGATAAAAGAAGGGTGTCTGGTATCCCAGAGTAGTAGCGGCCTTGATGGCTTGTGCCACACGAACAAGAAAGAGGTATAAGAAAGCAAACAAAAGGTGGCGCCGGAATCGCAGGAAGCGAGATAACTGAGAATGAATGATGGTAGAATGCGAACAGGCAGAGTATGCTATTATTTTTTATTTCCTCTTATAAGAGTTTAATTCCAGATTTTGATCAAGAATTGGATGAACTTTGCCTTCCGCCGGTCACTCGCTGTTTTGTTGTGCGGTGCTTTATGAGATTGGAAAAAGTGCATACATATACATCGAAAGGATATAATGCATAGAAGATAAGATGCTAAAACCACAGCCAATGAAAAAAAAAAGAGGGCAGATGCGCCCAGAGCCACCGGATAATCCCAAACAGCGCCTCTATACAACATGATTCGTGAGTAAATAATATATGCGTCCGCCATTATTATGCAGAAAAAAAGAGACGGCGGAGAAAAAGAAACAAAAAAAGACATCAGGCATAAAACCATGAGCATCGCATAATTAAGGACCGGAGGCAAAGTCGGTGGATACTCGGAGTGACTCTGACCCGGAGGCAACCTGTGCCGCGTGCAATAATGAGACATTCTCGGGGCCATTGTTCGAGGCCCTGTCGACGGGGCCAACAGGGCCGAGAGTCCATTTCCATTCCCTGCGGCGCTTGGCCCGACCCTGCCGTGGAGTCTGCGGCGTCGAGGAGCCATCAGCCTCAAAGCCATCTAGCAGAGCCACCGCGCGAACTTGGCGCTCTATCTGCATCGTGCGGCGCTTTTTTCGCTCCGTCTTTGAGAGCGAAGACCCGCGCACGCCTTCATCAGCACTGGTATCATCGCCCGAGGCACTTGTCTCTGATGATAGTGACGGGCTGTTATCGGAGTCCTCTTTTTCGCCTTCGGGGGTCGGGAAGGGGGCGGGGCGTGTCTCAGGTGGGGTCTTTGTGTCTGCCTCGGCTTGCACTGCCTCCTCCGTCACGAGATCGAGATGTTGCGCGGTGTAGCGTTCTGTCCGGATCTCTTCTTCTAGTGGGTACCGGTAACTGACTTGTTTCTTCGCTGGGAAGAAGACGCGGCGGGAGCCTGCGCCGTTGGGTCTATTGCCGCCTGCTGATATGGAGCCTGATCGTCGGCGGGTTGAGGGTTCTAGTGGGGAGTTGCGTAGGATGCTGCGCACTCCGATAGGGATTTGGTAGGGGCGGTGGTTGAAGATATTATTGTTCGGGTGTAGAATGTAGGGGGAGGCCGGTTTGTCATAGCGGGTAGATTTGGTGGGGGAGGTTGCGGAAGATGGGGAGGGGACTTCGTAGGCGTTCTTGAAGGTATTTCGAATGGTGGGGGATGAAGCTGGTGCTGCTGCGAAGGAGAAGGATAGGCCGGTGGTTGAAGTGCCGAATGTGCGAGGAAGAGCGGTGGTTTGGAGGGTGAGTTTTGGTCGGGAAGTTATTGTGGTTGTAGCATCTGGCGACAGACACGACATGATGAAATGTAGAGAAGAATCAGAAGAATCAGAAGAATCAAGTGTGTATCATTTGAAGATCAAGAAGAAAGAAAAAAAGAAGAGGAAATGCGTTTAGCGGGGTTGAACTAAGAATAGAGGAGGTTGGCGCTTGGATGTGATGAAAGATGCATGTCACTCCAGGGACATTAAGAAAGATTTAAAGATTTAAAGTATTGAACACATATCCATAGGTAATAATACCCCCATATATACTCCGAAGGACTCCGTTAAAGAGAGCAGAGATTTCCATCACAATTCCAGGCTCAGGTGGATGCGTAACTATTGACGCCACCATCCACACTATTTTCTCTTTTTCTATTTTAATAGTATAATATATATACATATTTTTGTTTTCTACGTACTTTATAGAGTATTTTAATATATTTGTCTAATAAAACCAACAGGATCAGGATCAGAAGAGAGGAAAAGCTCTCATCTATAAAAAGAACAGGGCCCGTGGGTCTCTGATCTACATCTATACGGGTACGTACGTTGGTGGCAAAGACCTAAAAATGGTGGGTTTACAGAAACATTTCGATCTACATACTTTGTAGGTCGAAATTTTATTTTGAAATATGTCTTATCTTTCCTTTGTCTACATCTACTTTATCTATATATGTTTGATACCTAAGATCAAAGGTCTCAAAGTTTGTCATTCTGGTGTATCACACGTGACGCTAGCCGCAAGCGTCAGAGGTGTTTTCCAGGGTATGATTGGTAGGAAAAAAGATCGAACTGCGCCGGATTGACTAGTTATATCTTATTGTTGGGGGTGGCAGTGTGATGTCGGCTCCACAGATAGCCGTCAACGACCTTGCTACCTGGCAGACGGCCATGCCGGAGGAAAGCTTAAAGGACTGACCAGGATGAAGCAGCACGGGGTCTCTTTGGGCGTGGAGATGTGTAAAAGAGAGGGAAAACAGTCTTGAAAGATATACTGCCTTACATTGAAAGCAATATTTTAGAATTGATCACTTTTGACGCCTAGAATTATACTCTTCAGTGCCTATAACCCTCGCCGTTGTTAACTTTATTAACTTTACTGCCTATTAACTTCTCTTTACCCCTAGCTCCCGGCTTCTTAAGCCCCGTATAGGCTTCGTCCCCTATATCACTCCCTATTTCGTGCACTATACTAGATATTTACTAGGACGGGGCGAGAGGATAGGGTGCCAAAGGCGGGGTCCCCTCCGAATCCGCTACCTAGTATATCTAGATATCTTTGCTTTCCTTTATAATGCTAATTTAGTTCGAAATTAGCATCCGAAATTCTGGCAGTTTGGCCGAGTGGTCTAAGGCGATTGATTAAGAATCAATTCCGTTCGCGGGCGCATCGTCTATCTTTTTGCTAAAATCTGGTGATAACCAGAACTGGCAGTTTCGCCGGACTTGCTATAAAGTAGAAAGAAACTCTGGTATAATAACCTGTTTTTCTTTTTGGTAGAACGCCTGCCTTTGAAAGAGTAACCCTGTACAATAACATATGCACATGGATACTTCATGAAACTGCCAGGCAGCATGGCTAAAAACTAAGCCACTGACGCCACACCAGCCACAAATACGGGTTCCTCTGGAAAGAAAGTTGCCTTCGGTTCCTGTTTTCAGCTTTGGATCTTTGCCAGACACCCGCAAATCAACCTTGGAAGTGAGGTCGCATGGACACAGAATCAGCTCAAGGCTCATGACTCCACCAGTGCGGAACGACAGTCGAATCATCCTCCACTTGGTGACTCTCCCCACTCTTACCTATGCACTGCCATCCTTGGTCTAACCCATACCCAGGATTATGACTGTTTCTATGCCTCGGTCTTCGAGGTTGAGCGACCGGAATTGAGGTCACTTCCCTTGGCAGTTCAGCAAAAGCAGATTGTGGTAACCTGCAACTACGAAGCCCGACGGCGAGGTCTGCATAAGTTGCAGCTCATCAAAGATGCCAAACGTATATGTCCCGATGTGGTAATAGTTCTGGGTGAAGACCTAACCAAGTTCCGAAATGCCTCCAAGGAGCTTTATCTGCTGGCTCGCTCCTTTGTGTGGGGAGGCCGTGTTGAAAAGCTAGGATTTGACGAGCTCTTTCTCGACGTCACGGAAATGATTGACTACAACACTGGCGTGCTAAATCAAAATGACTTGGCAAATTCGTATTTCCATCTTGATCGGAAGGACCCGACCGTCGGGTTTTCCTACGATGCCACTCGCTTCCAGGGATCGACGTTCCCCGCAATGGAGGCAGCCTTCGTCGCTCAGAAAGATCCGTCTTCGTTGGAAATGAGGTTGGTTGTTGCCTCTCATTTACAGGGTCATATACGGAGTAAGATGGAGCATCAAATAGGCTTCACGGCTACGGGCGGCATCTCAACCTCCAAATTGCTGGCAAAATTGGTCGGTAATGTTCACAAGCCCAACGGCCAAACGACTCTTCTGCCGCCATATACGGCAACGGAACATAATACTAGCAACGTGTTCCAGTTCCTGGATGATCATGAGATCCGGAAGATTCCTGGAATTGGTTCTCGGATTGCCCAGAAACTAAAATCCCATATCACAGGGCAAGAGAGTGTCGACGAGAAGATCACAGTCAAGGATGTCCGACATTTCCCTGGAATGGGCCCACCTTTACTGGACAGGATCCTTGGCGGGCCAGGCTCAGTGAAAGGGATCGGGATGCGCATGTGGAGCATTCTTCATGGAGTAGACAATTCCGAGGTGCTCGAGGGTCGCGATGTGCCCACCCAGATCAGCATCGAGGATTCTTATGGCCGGTTAGATACCCTCGAGAGTGTACGACGAGAGCTAGTAGTGTTGTCGCGAAGTCTGATCCGCCGCGTAAGAACGGACCTGCTTGATATGAGTGATGACACTGCTCCCCAAGGGAGATGGCGTGCTCATCCTCGCACTCTGCGGTTATCGACCCGGCCAAGACCTCCGCCAGACTTGGGTACCGGGCGTGCATACAATTCCAATCGCATCTCTCGCTCAGCGCCCCTGCCACCCTTTATTTTCAACTTGGATGAGAATATCGATGCATTGGCCGAGCGGCTGGTCCGGGAAAGTGTTTTCTCTATGTTCCGCAAATTACATCCCGAAAAGGCTGGCTGGAACCTCAGTTTGTTGAACGTTGCGGTTACCAATATGGTGGAGAGCGCGGGGGATCAGAAGCAACACAGTGGACGAGATATCGGGAAGATGTTTCGGCAACAGGAGACGGTCCTTAAGGATTGGACTGTGCAGGAACCCGAGTCCTCATCTGCTGATCTGCCGCGGTTGCCCGGAGGTTCCCCTGAGATACAGTCACAGTCTGACGATGGTTGGGACGACGATGAACCCTTGGGGAGTATGGATTGCTCTATATGTGGGGTGTCAATCCCCTACTTTGCCCAGTTGGCACATCAGACATATCACGACGAAAAATAGACATGGATCCTTTATTCGGCAGCCTTAAATGCCAAGCGTCGGAAGGCTTTGATAGGTTCGAAGCGCCTTGGTCCTGAGTCACTTACGCGTTCGATGTACACAAATACTATGAATAAATGAAAGATAAAGACCCTGATTTAGACCCTTATTGATTGATTTCCCTTATTGTACGGAGTAGAGACTTGCACAATTTCAACGTTGTTTGGATATATATGCCAACGGCGTATCGTCCATGGATCTTGTTATGTGCCAAGCATGTAATATGCAACATCATTGGATGTTGCACGAATAAAAATAGCTCTCTTCTCTCCACCGAAGAACCAAAGGAACCAGTGTCAGCCAATTCTCTATATTAAATTGGGTTAAACTGGTTGTTTCAGTCCACTTTTGCCAAGCCATCTGGTTTGGGGGGATTCCTAAGCCCTTGGCAGCCCTGGAGGGCTGTACGGCCCCGAGGATGATCTGATCCCTCTTTCTTACTCTTCTTCACTTTCTGCTTTCCTGAATTTCTTGAATTACTTATTCTTTTTCTTAGTCCTTCGTTAATTCGCTTTAAATATCCTCCTTCTACTTGACCCCTGAACCCCAGTTGGACCCCTTGAAATTTCCCTTGCCACTCAGGGCCCTGGAAACTCTATTCCCATAAGACCGGGGAAAGGACCCTGAAATTCGGATATTGCGATGAGGTTTTCTACCATCTTGCCCTTGATCGGTGCATTTTCATCGCTCTTTCAACAAACACAAGGTAAATATGCCCACTTGCAACCTAGCACCCCATTACCCAGCCTTCCGTTGCCTAGCCCCGTTGTCTAGCCGCTGACAATCACCAGCACGATCACAGGCCTCAGAGGCCATTCGACAGGTGACGCCCGTCGACAATGCCATCATTCGTACTCCTTCACACCAAATAGACCACTTGTCGGAATTTGATATCACCTTCGCTTTACACCAAGACGGCAAGCGCATAAAGCTAGAACTCAAGCCCAATCATGATATCTTGGCCGACGACGCTTACGTGCAATACGTCGGTGCCGACGGCACAATAACACACGCGGAACCAATAAAGAGACACGAACACAAAGTCTATCAAGGCCGCGCCTTGGTAGGATCCGGAAAGGGGAGATGGACGCCCGTGGGCTGGGCAAGAATCACCGTCAAAAGGGATGGCCTAGAGCCTCTTTTTGAAGGTGCTTTCAGTGTCAATAATGACAAGCACCACATTGAGTTGCAGTCGACCTACCTCGACAAGAAGCGCCCGATTGATGCCGACGTCGAACCCAGAGATGGGGGATCGATGATTGTCTACCGTGACTCCGACATGTTTCACTATACGCACTCTGAGCTCAAGCGGTCGCTTCCCGGGTCCGAAGGCTGCGGCGCAGATCAACTTGAGTACAATGCTGATCCGTCCAATTCGATCTTTGGGTATGACACGGACGAAACAGATGGTCAGTGGGGTGTTGCTTCATTGAACTCGATGTTTGGATTGGGCAAGCGACAGTCATCGTCAGATATTGGCGGTGTCTCGGGCAACACTGGCGGCGTGAATCTGAAAACGACCATCGGTGATTCCAGTGGATGTCCTAAAACGAAGAAAGTGGCCTTGATCGGAATTGCAACGGATTGTGAATTCACCGAATCGTTCATGGCTACCAACTCTACCCCCAAAGAAGCGGCCAGGGACTGGATCATCAACGTGGTAAACACGGCTTCAAGTCTCTATGAGGAATCGTTCAATGTGTCCATTGGTTTGCGCAATCTTACAATCTCTGAGACAGGCTGCCCCAGCTCGGGCTCCGCTGCTACGCCATGGAACGTGGATTGCAATGGTGGAAATGTCACCTGGCGCCTGAATGAATTCTCCAAGTGGCGCTCAAAGAGTGCAGATGACAATGCCTACTGGACTTTGATGACAAACTGCCCAACAGGCAGTGAGGTTGGAGTTTCATGGATGGGCCGTCTTTGCTCCTCCGACCTGGTTACCTCCGGACTGAACTCTGTGACCGGTGCCAACGTCGTAGTTCGCAATTCCGGTTCTTCCTGGCAGGTGTTTGCCCACGAGACTGGCCACACCTTTGGAGCAGTGCACGACTGCGACGAAGACGGCTGCACGAATAAGTTAGACGCCTCATCTCAATGCTGCCCGATGAGTTCATCGACCTGCAATGCCAATGCGGAATACATCATGAACCCATATGCCAAGAACTCGATGACCAAGTTTTCGGAGTGTACCATCGGTAACATCTGCTCTGCCATTGGCAAAAACAGCATCAAGTCCTCTTGTCTGTCGGACAACCGCGGCGTCGTGACCATCAGCGGCAGCCAATGCGGCAACGGCATCGTCGAAGCCGGCGAGGAGTGCGACTGCGGCGGCGAACAAAGCTGCGCCGATAACTCCTGCTGTGACGCCAAGACTTGCAAATTCAAGGACAGTGCCGTCTGCGACGACTCCAACGACAGCTGCTGCATCAAATGCCAGTTCGCCTCCGCCAACACCGTCTGCCGCGCCAGCACCGGCGAATGCGACATCGCCGAGACCTGCAGCGGAACCTCGAGCTCCTGTCCCGATAACAAATACAAAGACGACGGTTCCAGCTGCGGCGCCAAGGACCAGAAACTCAGCTGCGCCAGCGGCCAATGCACAAGCCGCGACTACCAGTGCCGCACAGTGATAGGCTCACTGCTGAACACCAACGACACCTGGGCCTGCGAAAACACAAATAGTCCATCCTGCAGTCTTGTGTGTGGCGCTCCCTCACTCCAACACTCCATCGGTGTCCAAGAGTGCATCCTCATGAACCAGAACTACCTCGACGGTACACCCTGCGACGCCGGCGGTCGCTGCACCGCTGGCCAGTGCAAGGGCTCATCAGCCCTGGGCTGGATCCGTCAGCACGAGAAGCTGGTAATCGGAATCTGTGTCGGCGTCGGCGCGTTTATCCTGCTCGCTATCTTCTTCTGTATCTACAGTCGCTGCAAGCGCAGCGCACAGCTGCGTAAGGCCCGCAAGGCTATTCCCCCTGGTACATATCGTCGCTATAATGGGCCCCAACCTACTGCTCGCCAGCCTATGGACCAGTGGCATGGATACCGCAATGCCGGGTATCAGAATGTGCCTCCCCCTGGCGCTCCGCCACGATACTCATGATCACCCCCATGCTTCTGATTTTATTCTAGTTTGTTGGTTCTTTTGAACCTTTTCTTGTTTGCATTCGTGCCTCTGGGTTTTGCGGTCTGGGGAATTTGGGTTATCGGCGTCATCGCGCGATGGTTGCACATGTGGTTATTATCGGTCCTTATAGTATGCTATCATCCGTGATCTGGGGGTTTGGGCTTCCCTTTCTTGTGGCCACTCGTCTTCTTGAATTCGTTTGCATCTTTCGTGAATAGATTACGTTGAAGCCCCTTCGGCTATGAATGATACTGCATTTTCACATTGCAAGTATGGTACCCTCAGCATGTAGATAGCGTATAGAGGAATGAATATCCATTTGAAGTGCGATTTTAACCCAAAATAAACACAAAGAGGCACTTACTCCCAAAACAAACACATGAGTAGAACAACAAGAGAACAAGAAAAGTACTCAAATCCCAACACCAAGGAAAAACCCCCATGCACAACAAACAATCAACAACCCTCAGTCAAGTCTCCTCCCAGTCTTCGAGAGAGACCGAACCCATCCAACCGTATCCAAGCTCCAACAAGACGACCAAGAATCCCATCCTGATCATCCAACAACTCATTGCCAACAAATCCCAACAAAAGCCTCCCTCGTAACACCACCAACACCCTCAAGATCAAACTCCTCGATCATAGCCCTAAGCTCCTCCTCTTCAAGCCCAGTCTCCCCCAACTCTCGGGCAACACGTCTCAAATCCTCAAGGTCAATGAACCCCTTGGCGCCCTCATCGAACAGCTCGAACGCGCGCAGGATCTCGTCGCGCGGGTCCCGCTCCAGGATCTTCAGCGCCGTCACGGCCTGGAACGACGAGAGCGGCATGAGCAGGTTGGACGGGTGTTGCGGGTTCGAGACGGGGCCTTTGTTTGAGGCTAGCGGTTGCGGTTGGCCGTGTTGGTTGCCGACGGCTTGTTGTTGTTGCTGCACTTGTGGACGTGGAACGCCGTAGGTTGTTAGAAGTGAGATTAGTTCTTGTTTGCCGAGGGTGAAGCCGAGGGCGCGGAAGGCGACGCGGAGTTCGTGGTAGTCCAGGTGGCGGTCGCGGTCCAGGTCGAAGAGGGTGAACTTAAGGAGGGGGATTGGTTAGCTGGGGGTTTTGGATGGGGTTTTGGGGGTTGGTTTTAGTGTTGCGTTTTTTGCAATTTCCCTCTTGGAGGGACGTGGAAGAGAGAGGGGATTGATTGCATTGTAGGAGGTTACAATAATTGGGGTAGTGTCATAGATGGATGGATTGGGGTATCCCTTACAGCTTCATTAATCTCTTCCCTCTGCTCTTCAGTGAGTCTGTTCAGCGGATTCGCGTCCTGCGCTGGGCCATGGGACTGGGCGTTTGTTGCTGGCGCGGGCGCGGACTGTTGCATCTGCTTTTGGCCTTCGGGGCCGTTGAATTCACCTTGGTTGGCATTTCCCAGACCGCGATGCCGTGAGAATGATGAGGCGCTGAAGGGCATGGCATTCGTGTTGATGGAGCGTTCTGGGAGTTTCGTGCCGGCGTAGGAGCGCGACGCGAAGGGTTGGCCAGAGGCCATGGTGAATGGCGTGTTCAAGTTTAATTAGATGGCTGGATCAAGAGTTCTTCAGCATTAATTTAGGTGGAGGGGCTCGCAGCCCATGAGAATGCGTGTGGAGATGAGGTGTTTGGCGGTGGGAGGATTTCGGAGACGCGCCAGACACGGGCGGAATGACAACTCGCTGTTTTGCTTTTGTTACAGATATAGAGATCAACGAAAATATTATTATTTCTGGGAAATTCAGGATTCAATTTATTATTTCTAGAAGGATGAGCGAGTGAGCGAACTTCTAGACACAGCACAATCTGGTGCTAATCACAAGCAATTGGACATCTATCCCAAGCCATAAAAAACTTCACTTCCTATCCAGCAGCTAACGTTGTTCCTCAAACGAGTGTCGTATGTTCCTCCCATGGACAGATAACTTATTTTTTAAAAAAAGCAATAGTGGTGAGCGAATGTTGATGTTGCAGAACGCTTCAACAATGGTACAGGGATTGCGGGAAATTGCCTTGGAGTGGCATTGTATCGAGTGGCATTGTATCAACAAAGGTCGCAGCCATTGGATCGAATGCATTGTTATAATCGTTGTTGAGGAAGATCAACAAACCATTCGAGTCAGAGCATTCAATCTGATCGGTATAGGCCATGTTATCAAAGGCATTCTGTTCTTGGGTAATCACCGTATTCTGAGAAGTCCCTGATGATTGCAAGTGCCCATCATGCTGCTCAACAGGATTCGCCAAACGCCAAGGCCGAGGGAAACGATCAGCCAAGAATGCTCGCATTTCGCAGGCTGGCGGCGAAAAGGGACTGTCGTGCCGCCTCAAAACAGACGACGACATTTCCTCGGTGTCTCCCAGCCAGAAAGCCATATCCACGTCTGGAGATGACGGGATTTTAGGAACTACGTCCTCAAGAATCGCCATACTGGAGGATTTGCCCGTAGCCCCGTGTTTGGGGGACACATTGCGCAGGATATCTTCGAGTTTTTCGCGAACACCACTCAGATAACAGCTGGAGGCGCCAAACATTCTCGCAACGACATGGTTCTTTTGAAGATCTTGCAAGCCGCATACAACTCGGTAATATAATGCTGCGGCGACCCAAGCGGGATCGATCTCATTTCGTTTCCGTGACTGGCTTTTCTTCTTGTTGTTCTGCTTGTCCTTTCCACACAGAGCGACGTACAAACCAGGGCAAAAGTCCTGAGACATTTCTGCGAGCTTCCGAAAAGAGAGAATCAAAATATAAAACGAGACTAGTCGCCCAGTGGTAATTTCAAACCAGGACGTACGGATTCGAGCTTGCGCCAAGCCTTGAATGGCCATAAACAGCTTTGCCATTCTGAGTGCAGTCCAAACGAGTGGGTTGTGTTTGTATTGATCTTCAAATTTGACCAGATCCACGAGGGGGAGGGCACTGCTAACTCCAATAAGAAAATCATCGACGGGGCACTCTGTTTTACTCGATAGTGTGATACTGGACGGCGTTGCTGTCCAATGCCATGCAGTGCAGTTTCCGCCATATGTTACGCGGATATTGACAACCGCTTTGAATGCATTCATGCGTTCGAAAACCTCGGCACTCATGCGTTGCAAATTGTCTCTCGCTTCTTGGGACGGGAAGTTAAAGATCGTAGGAGAGCCACCGGCAGGCGGCCCAAGCAGGCACAGATCTCCCCAACTTCGGAAGCAGATTCGATTACCCTTAGAAGAGCATGGAGGACATGGTGTAGCTGTTCCACACTTCTTCTTAGCCCGATAGCACGCCATACACGACCCGCCAGCTTTCTTAAGTGCAGCCGTATCTTCTTTTTGTTGCTGAATTTCGGTCCCGCTACGAGGGATTTTTTCGTGGATGTTGTCAGATTTCCCAGGGTCCGCTGGATCCCATAGGATGAAGTCGGCATACATCTCCTTGAGAGGGGGAGACGGCGGGCGTACTGGCGCAGTAAATGGCTGGGTTTCACCGCTGCTGTGTTCACTTCGAGCACGCTCATGTTCAGGCAAGATGCATGACCAGGAATCATTGGCACTGGGAGGCAATGTCGAGGGTCGAGACCTCGAGCTTGTTCGGGATACGGAGCTTTGTAGTTGGTCTTCAATTGTGGGAGGTGTCATTATTGAATCGAAACAAACTGGACCTCCAAGCACATCCAGCTCCTGAGGTTGACTACTAAGCTCCTGAGGCTGACTGTCTGTCTGATCATTGTCGAGTTCGTTGACCATTTCGAGTATGTCTGGATTTGTGGGCTGGGTCTCATATGCCAGGGGCGTCAACGGCAGTTGCCACGTCAGTGGCATTGGTTGCTCGATACTGGGATCGGAAAAGTAAGGCATGATTGATGCGAGTTGAGACATGTCAGACTGGAAGGTCAGTAGTCAGTATCCAGAATTCACAAGACGTGCAAGCTTAGAAGCAAGCCAATAGGGACGTAGGAGGGCGAGATGAGAGATGGATCGAACTTACAGGATAGATGGAGTCCGGTGTATGCGGTGTACATGGTGCGTATTTACGCCCGCGGTTCGAATGGGGAGAGAATGGAGACGGCTGATGCCGTGTAGCAGCTTGCGCTATCATGGTTTCGAGGATAAACGAGGGGAATGGCAGTGATCGAGACTCTGAAAGATCGTCGAGCAAGGAGCGAGAGCAAAAGGATGGGCTTAGGGCAGAGCCTAATGACAAACCGATGTTTGTACTTGAACAAGTTGTCGATCCTTTGCGAGGGTAGAGGGTAGAGGGCAGAGAATGAGTGGTGTGAAGTAAAGATGGAAGTAGAAGATACACCTGGGCACCTCTAAAGTTACTCAAAACGGACTAGTACCGTCGATAACCAGGCCAAACTTTGGCTGAGGCTTAGCGGAACCTTCGCTGGGCCTTCAACATCATAGCGAGGCAGAACGGCGTCACTCGAGGTGAAGCAGGCACGACCAGGCCCATGAGGCCGATTCCAGATCCGGTATAGCGCACCGCTAGGTATAAAGAAGGTTTACCAAAGGTTCAGGGGCGGTGGAAGTGTGAAGTTTGGAAACCTGCTATGTCATAGTTCCACCATAAAATGGGCCTGGACGTAGTGTATAGGAAGAAAGACATGATCAAACAGTGAAGACAGTGAAGACAATCAATCTCGTTGATATGACGTACTGTTCAAATCGCGGTCTCTCTTCGTGCCCAGGTCCAAGTCCTCCAGGAAGGTACGACCGAGGAGTTGCTCTGGCAGGTAATTCTGTTGAACCTTGCCGTCGACATAGTTTGGATTGTACTTGTACTCCGCACCATATCCCAGTTCCTTCATGAGCTTTGTTGGCGCATTCCTCAAATGAACAGGAATGGGCAAGCCCGCGATTCCTGGCTCGTTCAAGGCGGCAAATACATTATTCAAGCCACGGTACGCGCGAGTGCTCTTTTTGGATAGTGCCATCGCCACAGTAGCGTGTGCCAGATTGATTCGTGCTTCTGGGAGTCCAATCTTCTCAACGGCGGAATGTGTGGATATAGCAAGTGACAACATGGTGTTGTCCGCCAGGCCGATGTCTTCGGAAGCGACAACGATCAGCCGTCGAGAGATATACAGTGGGTCTTCACCCGACTGAATCATGCGAGCAAGGTAGTAAAGCGCTGCATCTGGATCGCTTCCTCGAATGGACTTATGAAAGGCGGAGATCGTATCATAATGCTGATCTCCAGCACGGTCATACACGAGCGTCTTGGTCAGGGATCTTTTCAGGTCCTCCTTGTCCATTCCAGGTCGTTTTGACAGATCCATGGCTAACTCCAACAAATTCAGAGAAGTGCGAGCATCCCCATCGGCGAATCTGGCAAGATACTGAACCAGCTCTTCGTCCACCAGTTCGGAGGGCGAATAACTCGGGCCTTCAACCCGGAGAGCACGATGAAGGATTGAAATGATGTCCTCGTCGGTGAGCTTTGCAAGAGTGAATGTCCGGCAACGTGAAAGCAGCGCATTTTGGACTTTGAACGATGGGTTTTCCGTTGTGGCCCCGATAAGTGTGACCTGGCCGCTCTCCACCGGGCCCAAGAAGACATCCTGCTGTGACTTGGAAAATCGGTGAATCTCGTCACAGAAGATAATTGTTTTTCTCCCAGTGAGTCCCAGCTCACTACGAGCTTCGGCAAAGATCTTCTTGCACTCTGCCACGCCGCTGCTGGTGCTGTTGATTTCCACGAATCTGCTGCCCACCAGCGACGAAATGACTCGAGCGATTGTTGTTTTCCCTGTCCCTGCGCTGCCCCACAAAATCATACTCGGTACTCTATCCTGTTCGATGAGTCCACGCAGGATGCCGTTCGGTCCAACAAGTTCTTGGCCGCAAACCTCCTCCAGGGTTTTAGGTCGCATGCGCTCCGCTAGAGGTGCTGCTTTGTGGAATGCGTTGATCTTCGGACGTTTTGCTTGTGGCTCTTTTGAGTCGCCCTTTGGTTGTTTCGGCCCATCTCGCTCTCGCGTAGATTCCGCTTCCTCAATAAATGATCGTTTGCCGTTGAGAGCGCGTGGGGTCGTTGTGGGACGCGACGGGGACTCCTTCGGGATATTCGATTGGGCAGAAGCTTTGCGCGCGGACGGAGTCTGGAACATGCTGGGGACTGGTCCCTTCTGGGAGGATGCCAGTTCTCCTGGAGAGGAGGACGGTTCTTCGACGAAGCTCTGGCAGCCTGAGTCGATGTGGTCGTTGATCTTCAACTGGGAGACAGATTGCTCACATATTGGGCAGGCAACCATGATGACCGGAGAATGATCTGGTCATTCACTAGGTTACTTAAATCTTCAAGCTGAGGTAAACGTAGAAATGATAACGTCCACCCGCGGGTGCGACGCGTTCAACGCGTTAATTAGTAAGTACCAGGCCTTGGTGCCTGAAAATGGGCAAACAACAAAATCTATAACCTATATATACATTTAATATGTAGAAAAGTACATATAAGTACATATAAGGACATATAAGTACGGTATAATCTCCGAATGACCCGAAGAAAATAAAAAACAGGAACCGGTCCATGTCCCGATGGCCGTGGCCGAGCCGAATGCGGAGCACGCCATGGAGGGGAAATCCAACCTCTCCTTATCTTGTCCTCTCCAATCTTATTCTCTTCAATACTCATGATTTCCCGCTCTTTTCGGAATATCCTTGCTCAGTCACAGAATTGCAGGTCTAGAAACCTCTACTCCGCCCTTTCGATATTGCCCCGACCTAGTTACAGCGCAAGAGCGATGTCGGCTACAGCTTCACGACCCGATCCATTTCGCCCCGCCAAGCGGGTGGCAGGACAGCGCCAGGATGTTTGGTATGCAGTTTCAGGAAACAAGTTGGGAAAGACATACTAAGTGGGGATTCAAGGTCAATCGTCAACGAAGCCGCCGCAGCTTCCCCAGTTCAGCCGATTGTGAACATGGGCCAAGGGTTCTTGTGAGTCAGGCCATTTCGAGGACCCCCGATTACTTCAAGGGATTGGAGTTGACATATAATCTTTCTGCGCAGTGGTTATAACCCCCCGAAGTTCGCTCTTGACGCTGCAAAGGATGCGTTAGACCGAGTGGAATGCAACCAATACTCTCCGACAAAGGTATTGAAGGCCAACGAATCTGCGCATGGTTACACAAATGCTCACACAATATAGGGCCGCCCCCGCCTCAGACAAGCTATCGCGGATGCTTACTCGCCTTTCTTTGGCAAGAAGCTAAACCCCGAGACCGAGGTCTCGATCACAACCGGCGCAAATGAAGGTGAGGGATTGGTATAATTTACCTACAAATGGACATTTGGCGCTGACAATATGAACAAAAGGCATGCTCAGTGCCTTCATGGGTTTCATCGAGGATGGCGATGAGGTCATTATCTTCGAGCCCTTCTTTGACCAGTAAGGAAGCTCCGATATTGCGAGAAAATCGAGGGATACTAATTCACTCGAAATAGATATATTAGCAACATTGAGATGCCCGGCGGTACTATCCGCTATGTTCCCCTCCACCCGCCCAAGGATGGTGCCACCAGGACCTCCCCTGCATCGGAATGGACTATTGACTTTGAGGAGCTCGAGAGAGCCATGAACCCCAAGACAAAGATGATTGTAAGCAAACGACACCAAAGTTTTTATGAATATCCAAGCTAATTGTAGCAGGTCTTGAACTCACCGTAAGCGGTCTTGATTTACAGAGACGAATAAGGTCTCAACTAACTGTGTGTTCATAGGCATAACCCCGTCGGCAAAGTCTTCTCGCGCGAGGAGCTCGAGCGCATTGGTGAACTGTGTGTGAAGTATAACCTTATCATCCTGTCTGATGAAGTCTACGACCGCCTCTTCTACGTTCCCTACACTAGAATCGCTACTCTGTCCCCAGAGCTATACGAGCGCACTTTGGCCGTGGGCTCTGCCGGCAAGGCCTTCTACGCCACTGGTTGGCGTGTTGGGTACCTCATCGGCCCTGAGCACCTGATCAAGTACGTGGCCGGTGCACACACCCGTATCTGTTACAGCAGTGTGTCCCCTCTCCAGGAAGCTGCTGCTGTTGCTTTCGAGCAGGCAGAGAAAGAGGGCTTCTGGGACGAGAGCCGAACAGACATGAAGGGTAAAATTGAGCGGTTCTGCGAGGTCTTTGATGAGCTTGGTATCCCGGTATGTGATCACTCTACCCCTAAGTATTAGGTCTACTCTGCCATAGATTGATTCGGCTGACATCAATCTCTACAGTACTCTGATCCTGAGGGTGGATACTTTGTGCTTGTCAACATGGCCTCTGTAAAGCTCCCGGCTGACTATCCGTTCCCGCCCCATGTTGCTAGCCGTCCTCGTGATTTCAAGCTCTGCTGGTTCCTCATTCAGGAGGTCGGCGTGGCTGCTATCCCTCCCACGGAATTCTACACTGATTCCAACGCCCATATTGCTGAGGATTATCTCCGCTTTGCAGTGTGCAAGAATGATGATGTTCTTGAGACTGCCAAAGAGCGCTTGAGAGGGCTGAAGAAGTATATCGCCCAGTAAACAAAGACATGCAAGGCTTTGATATGTGAGAAGTGATGAGATATGCATAGAAGTGTTATGGTGCCAACAGAAAGTTGGATATAAAGATGCAAGATACGTGCCACAGAAACCAATTCTCCTTATATCCATCTTGCCTTACATGATTAATCTACCAGTACATATCTACTCATGTACAGCATCTCCTACATAGTTTACAGCACCTTAGAACAATGAACCAGGCACAGTATGACGAAAATACCCGCACACGACGGTCTTTGTTTCTATCTAGAAACAAAGGAGGGGGCGATCAACTCCCCCCTCCAACCCGCCGCCACCACCGAAAGCGTAATACATAAATGGGCATCCTGGACCTGGGGGGCATCCACCGACTGTACACTGATGATATCTCTCTCCAAACCAGCCACCCCAGGTCCAGGACCCCGGTACAAAGAAAAAGGGCTAGGGAGGGGACGGCTCCCTACCCTGACCACGGCATCTCCCACTCCATGGGGCCCGTTCCCGCCCCGTCCCAGCCGACGCCACGGCGGAATGTCCGCCGGTCCATTGGAAGGACCTCCGAGTATCCTCCCCCACACGTGCGAGCCACCACGTCGCTCACCGAAGGATGGGTGGCCCGGTGCGCCCTCAGAATCCAATAGTTGGATTCGAGGGAATCGCACACTCTCCCAAGGCCCAACCCCATACGGTGGTTACCGAGCAACGTGGGGCGACGCTCGCTCGCGCAGGTCAGATCCTCGCAGTGGCGCCGGTCAGCACCGACCCACTCCGTCTCGCAGGCATGCCGCAAACCAAGACTGCTCTTATCGACGGTGCCACCCATCTCGAGTCCCATCTGGTAGCGCAGCATGCCGTCCATGTCCTTGTCACTGGCCCACATGTTGTGAGCCCGCATCCAGTCCCGGACAAGCCGGTAAAGATAGTCCACGAGGGCTGGATGTTCAACCGCCGCTAGAAGGAAAGAACAGTTAGCATATGATCTAAAAAGGTAGGTAATGGTGAGGGCGGTATGATATCAAAGTGCAAGAAAACTGAGAGGGAAATCAAGCTGAAAGTGTAAGGAATATGAAAGTGATATGAAACTTACCGAAGAGACAGATTGCCAGGCACCGGCGGAACCGGTCCTTCTCTTCGGCGTCCTCGAATCGCACAATGTGTGCGACTCGAGGTGAACATCGCAGCCCTACGTGACTGGCTGGAGCGTCCGCAGCCTTCACCAGGTCGCCCCACTCCGCGAACACGAAGTAGTCGCCTCGGTCGCGGGCGGAACTGAACCACAGCGCCTGACGATGGCGCTCAGGGCTGTCCCAATGGTGAAGGCTGGGAAGCATTGGTGGACCCACGAGATCGTCGTACGGAATCGAACTAGCCAAGTGCTGCTCCAGGACTGGTCGAGTGGTGCAAACTAGCCAGTGCCTCTTGGCATCCTCCCACAGGTGGCGCTTGCCGCAGTAGCGGACTAAGGAAAACGGTCCGCACTTAGGGCAAACAACGGAGACCCCATTCCCCAAACCACAGAGGACTTGGCAGTCTTTCTCCTCGCAGACAATGCCGACTCTGCGCAAGTCCAACTGTGGTTCAGGGGCTGGGGCCCCGATGTTGCCGAACTGCTTGGCTGTGGGAGTTCGTTCTTCATCCTCCGACGACTCGGGTGGAGACGGAGAACGACCTTCCACTCCACCGCCCTGAGAAGAAGCAGTAGAGACGGGGCCCTCGCGGGCTTCCTGACGCTTCATCATGTTCTTGCGCCTCCGTCTCTCATGCTTCTTCTTTTTGTATGCACCCTTCTTGTCAGGTCGGCTAGACTCGGCTGGAGACTGGTCATCTGGCTGGACGGTGCCATCTGAACTGGGATCATCAGTCTCAGTCCCAGCCGAGTCTGCGGTGGACAAGGCGGAAGAGGCACGGGAGGTCGATGGAGGGTCGGCCGTTGGGGACGAGGACGCGGCTTCCTGGCCGCTGAAGAGCCCTGTGGTTTTTAGTTAGCATGTATTCAAAGCAAAACATATGTGAAATGCAATGACATACCTAGGCTGGCCATATCGAAAGACTCACTTCGACGCAAGACTGGATCCTGCGCCTCGTGGCCGCCATGGTACTCTTCAGGGTCTAAATAATAGTTAGCAGCCGCATCAACAATTATATAAAGAGTAAGTAACTTACCAGAAAACCACACCTCGTCCCTGTTGTTCGAGACAGGGTACCGAAGCCCAGCCTCATCCCCCCGCGGAATCTGGCGCAGCTCATCTGAACTCTCTGCTGGCTCGTTTCCTTCCGCTTTCACTCCCCCTGCCCCCTCATCCTCATCTTTCTTCCATGAAGCGCTCGTTGGTGTGAAGAAAGATGAAAGTGAGGATGAGGGGAGGGGAGTGCGGGGGGAGAGGTGGGTTCGGGCTGTCTCGAATGATGGAGAAAATGGGGTAGTCAGGTCATCGGGGGTAGTAGGGAACCGGGAGGCATTGACTGTTTGTTGGCCAGCAACTGCCGCAAGTTGCTGCTCAGTCGGGACACCCTGTCGAGCGATGTCCTGCACTCCCGGAAGTAAGCCACCACACTGGTTGTCGCCACATTGGTCATCACCACGTTGTTCTGTGTTCTGTGGTGTGGTGTGATCTGTGACATTGTCTGCATCCTTCTTGCCTGTATCGGAGCTAGACGAACCAGGCGTGTGCTTTCCCTTACCCTTGCCCTTAGACCTTTTGTTGCTTTTCTGGGTATCAATTCTGAGTGTAGAGACCCTCTTTGTCAACTCCTTCGGGGTCGACTCTTGCTGGATGGACTCTTGCTCAGTCAACTCATGATGGGTCTGCTCTTCCTGGTGCAACTCTTCCTGGGTCGATTCTTCTTTGGTTGACCCTTCCTTGGTCAACTCTTCCTCGGTCAACTCTTCCTCGGTCAACTCTTGACTTCCCACTGTCTCCATCGTATGTTCTTGCCCTAACACCGACTGCTCTGGACTTAGCACAACTGACGCATCCGAGTTTTCGTCCGCAGAGCTTCCTTCCTCGGCTGTGGAAGATTCCAGGCCTCTCTTTGATAATTTCTTTGATGTCTTCTTCCCTTTATACTTCCTCTTGATAGAGGAAGGGGAATTGTCGTCGACAAGCAACTTCCCAAACAGTTTGTTGTCTATGTTGCTAGGCGTTGCCATCAGCCATTGAATGCGCAGCCAAATCCGGACCGGAAATGCCATCCATTTGCCGTAAGTGTTCTGTGAGATGTTAGCTAGATCCCAATATGGTTGGTGAAGTTTGTATCCCGACAGGGTCTTTCTTCGAGATCTTCTGATAGAACCCGTCACGCTCATCAACAGTGACCATCATCTGCTCCACACGTTTCGCATTCCTTGAGTTCACAAACTTGAACTTCAGTGTGGGCGATTTTTCTTTCGCCTTCATCCAGCTTACTCGGCAGCCGGATGTCTCCCATGGGGTTGTCCATTTGATGTAGTAGCTGTCTCGCTTCGGGTTCTTCAACTCCCGAAGAGCCGGTGCGGAACCAGTCTCGATATTCCTCATGCCAATCTTCTTTGGAGACAGGAAGAGTGCTTCAATCGATCTCATAATCCCTGTCATGCCCTCTGGGTAATCGCGGGGGATCTTAAAGTCCACCCGTATGATGTCGAGGTCTGCAATCACGGCATCAAGGTCGCACTTGGGGCTACCCTCGGGGTTATTCTCCACAACGAATTGCGGGATAGGAGTCCGCCAGTCCTGAATCTTCAGCCTCAACTGGCCATTGCCCAGAGTGAGCCCAGCCTGTTTATCGGCCCAATCATCTGGCTTCTGAGTCATGTCGAAGTGTTCCTTTGAGAATTGGCTTGGCTCGGGCAATTCCCTCTCAGCTTGAATTGACTGAGGGTTAAGCAGTTCTGGCACTCGGCTCTCGATTGTGGTGCGTTGCCTTACGGATGCGAGCTGGGCACTTCTGAGGAGTTGCTCAACCTTGAGCTCTTCTTCGTGTGCCTTGAGCTGTTCTATCACAGCTTGAGTGAGCTCTTCTTCATGTGCCTTAAGCTGTTCTATCACAGCTTGACTCATCTGAGGCTCATCGGAGTTGAGCAGCTGAGTGTGTACTTTCGACTTTTCGTCGTGCCCTTGTGCAGGCGAATGTTGGGGATGCTTGGGGGAAATCTCGCCATCGACGAACTTGCTGAAGACGGTAGGCATTTTGTATGATGAAGGTGGTCAACTGCTGACTTGATCTCATCAGTTAGTGACACTTCATCAAGCTTTGTTTCCCTGTGGATTGGAAGACATACCGAGTGGAAATAAGAATGAGGTATTTGACGTTCTTTGTCGGGTATAAGAATCAAACTGACTATGCATTAGCTGAGGTTCATCTATATCCGACACCATGATGAAGAAGAAGACCCACTTGATGATAGGCCAAAGCCTATAGCAGTCTCTTACTACTCACTGGGTTTTCTGATGCGTCAATTGAGGCTCACAAATGGGATGCATGAAGAGCTTACCAAATACTCCTCGGTCGGCACAGGGCTCTCTTCGGCCCAAGATTGCTTTCGAGGTCTTCAAGAAAGCTATCTCGCTGCAGGATACATTAGCCAATGCAAGATGGGTCATCTGTCTTTACAAGAAATGACTTACCGCGATCGGTCCTCAGGGTACTAGGGGGTGTGAGATTCAGTCTCACACGGGAGGTTGTGTGCACTGCCTTGGCTTATGCATCAGTCGACAGAACAATGGGGAATACGGCCTCACAAGAAATGACTTACTCAGATCAGACTTCGAGAGTCCTCAAGATAGTGACAGACTGTGAGCTGGTCTGACGCAGGAGGTTGTGTGTACTGCCCCAACCAAGCATCAGTCGACAGAAGGATGAAAGACACAGCTTCACGACAAATAACTTTCGAAGAGTTGTCCTTGGGACACTGGAAGGCTGTGAGTCTGGTCTGACAAGAAAGATTGTGGATGATGTCTAGATCATGCATCCATCAGCCAAGTTCCATGGCATGGGTGACCCAACGCGTGAGGATGTGCGACAACATACTGTGTGAGGTTTCAAATCTTGGCTCACGCGTCTATGGCATGCACTATGAGGTGAATCAAGCTTTTTTTCTTTGATACAATGGCTTTTGTCACTGAAAGAGATGAAAAGTAAGATGCACGGGCCAAAGCTATTGAGTGTGCGGGGAGAAGAGATTTGAAAGAAGAGTGATTGGGAGGAGAAGAAGATGGAGCCAAATGAAGACAACAAAAAGGGACAAGCTTCGAGGTTCGATAATAATGGATGAGACAAACAAACTGTCCACGTGCTACCGCCACGGAGCCTTCGATCGGAAGTTACGACTGACCAGACAAATGCGGCAGAAATGAAGATACGTACATGTTTCTTTTCCCAGGAACTGTATTGTTGAGGCTGGTCAAACAAATCGAGTGAAGCATCAAGGTATGAAGTAGCTTCAATACCATCAACCGACCATTTGTGATACTGGTGGATTTACAATTACCGTCAAGCTGCGGTTCCAGTCCCGGTGTTTACTCGACAAAGAGTCTTACATTGAAGGTGCTATGGAACGGAAAATTCCGTTGAGTTCCATCCCCAAAGTAACAATACGTGATATGGGGTAGCCATATTGAGCAAACGCCTTGGCTATACAATTGAAAACGATGCGACTTGCTTGTCACTTCCTTGCAGACACCCGGAACTTGACATGTTGCCGACATCATATTCCCTCCACACCATTCGAGCTATCAAAAGCAGTCATCTGCTCAGCGATATCCCACAGCACCAGCTTCTGCTCAATACCCAACTAACTACATCAACGACGAAGCAAAAGAACTGACATGGAGGCTCGGAAGCCACGTGAATATGGGTAACAGCGCCAACAGGCCTCTTCTTGAGGTGTTTTTAATGTCTCTTAGCTACAAATCCAGGAATCTAATTTCATGTTGGAGGCCATTATTGCTTTATATCAATCTTCTTTGCGTAGAAGTCCCGGAAAACACACCTGAAGCATGCACCTTAAGGAGAAATTGGAAAATATACCACAGAAAGGGCATTAGATCAGTCATATACTCATAAAGTATCATAAACAAACACAGCACAAGAGGCCGATTGCGAATCCAGGAGTCTTCTTGCCATGTAATTCAAGACATGTAGTTGCAAGTTTTTAGGGTGCGAGTCTGTCACGTGTGGTCACGTTTTTTACGGACTCGGTGAATGTCACGTGATACACTCCTGTCAACGCCAGCGACCACAACTCGAATAAGCATCAAGGACTTTTTTCACACACCCGACCCTTTAGTGGAATTGTTAAATAATCCGTCATCATGATAGAATATATTGCAATATGACTACGTATCTTTCTATTGCCAAAAATTGTACGCGTGAAAATCAGCTCTGCACTCGATTACATCTTTCTGTGAATCGAGTCACAGACTCGCACACTCGAGTTAAGCGGCAACAGCCAAAACAAAGACTAACCCCCAAGGGATGTCAAACAACATACATATCGTCTACCCGCATGACACGGGACCAAAATATCTGTACAAGCATGATGTTAGATCAACTAGCCCTCGCTGTCCGGCTATTGGCTGTCAGTCGTGGGCGGCTAAGCGCCCATGGTGGCTATATTTGGCTGTTTGTCCACTCCGGCGCTTTTGACACTCACAGCAGCCAGTGAGACGCTTTGATGCTTCATGAAACAAACCATTGCACAGACTCCTTGTCTTCAGGCTTTATTTTTATATTTTCTTTGTTTCGAAATGGTCATGGTTCGCTCTGATTGGGGCTATCTCGACTATACGGGGTTGCTAAGGTCCATTAAACTGCTTCTTTATGAGCAACATTGGACTATTGTGATGTCTGCTGCCGCCCAGGATGTCTGACAATTTCCAGGTGACGTTTGCTGGCTGCTATATTTGAAGATTCATTGTCCCTTGTTTTATTCTGATTCTATTGTTCTCAATCCGCCACCCGGTCTATTCATTCATCTATTGACCTCCCCATTCATTCAACATCTATAAGAAATCATATACACCATGTCCCTCCACTAGTCCAGCTCTTTCCCTTTGCTCTCTTTATCTTCTTTTAAGGACTCTCCGTTTTTATGCACGCTTTGCATATTTTCCCTAGATTTAATTACGCCTCCAAGCATTCCTGGTCTTCGCTGGAACGAGATCACACCTGAAACATTTTGACAATTATCGCTTTCGAGAAAAAAAAGAATCACTACAATGGTATTCTCCCGATCCGGGCGATCGGTCTTTCCACTTCTCCCGCCTTATGGAGCTCACGATTCAAGCACGGGGCGGATAATTCCTCTACATCCAGATGGCCTCACTCCTTATCTGGGTCTGCGAGCTCGACTTTCACAAGTATGGATCAATCGATGGACGATACTTTTGCTCCTTGTTCTCTTCCGAGTATTGATTGCAGTTGGCGACTTGCAATCCAACATGGCATCCGCCAAGCGTGAGGCGCTCTCTGCATGCACGTCGGTGGAATCTATGGGCAGTTCGATGGCTTCAATGCCCTACTACCTATCCAAGGGCACCAATGAGCTTGTGGCTTCCTCGGTTGATGAGGCTGTCTCTGCCCTGAAGTCCGTGTTGTTGATGACTATCACGGGAGTCGGGGAGATCCTCTGGTTTGTCATTAACATGATGTACTCTACCTACGCCTGTCTCATTACAATGGCCGTCCGCGGCACAGTAGGAGCCGGGATCGAGTTGATCAAGGAAGCTACTGAGTGGATCAACAAAACCCTCAAGACAATCAGCGGTGACATTGAGAGTACAGTCGACAAATACAAAGACGAACTTAACTCATTCCTTGAGACAATCAACAAAGTGGCCAGTGTGTTCTCGGATGACCCTAGCCCCATCAACCTCAACAGCTCAATCAGTACGCTGGAGAATCTGTCCCTTCCGTCGTCAGTCAACCGCACAGTCGAAAAATTGGACAGCATCGTCCTTCCCAACTTCAAAGAGATCCAGAATTACACCAAGACCCTCTTCCAAACGCCCTTTCAAGAAGTCAAGGATTTGGTCAACGAGACTTTAGGCACTTACAGCTTCGATCGGTCCGCTCTCCCGATCCCTGCCAAGAAACAGCTGACCTTCTGCAACGACAACAAAGGAATCAACGATTTCTTCAACGGGGTCACCGAGCTATCACTAAAGGCACGCAAAATATTCATTGCTGTCCTCGTTATTGCTGCCATATTGGTATGCATTCCAATCGCATGGCAAGAAATCCGCCGATGGCGCTCAATGAAAGAGCGTTCCCAGCTGGTTCGCAAGGAAGCCCACGATCCAATGGACGTTGTCTATATTGTCTCACGGCCATATACCGCCGCTGCAGGTATCAAGGCAGCAAGTCACTTCAGCAACAGCCGCCGTCAGATCCTCGTGCGATGGGCCATTGCCTACGCAACATCCCTCCCTGCTCTTTTCGTGCTGGCTCTTGCACTGGCAGCACTATTCTCTTGTCTGTGCCAATACTTGCTCCTGCACTCGGTGAAGCAAACTGTTCCCGCACTGAGTGCCCAGGTGGGAGAATTCGCCGACAAAGTCGTTGACGCACTGGAAAGTGCCTCGACAGATTGGGCTACCGACGCCAACAAGGCCATCATTAATCTCGACACCGACCTAAACCACAATGTCTTCGGCTGGGTCAACAGCAGCACGCAGGCCATAAACGGGACTCTAAACTTCTTTATCTACAACACATCCAGCGTTCTAAACGAGACCTTCAAGGGTACCCTGCTGCAAGAGCCCGTCTACGAGCTATACGAGTGCCTCATCGGCCTCAAAGCAGAGGCACTCCAAAAGGGTCTGAACTGGGTAGCCGAGCACGCACATATCTCCCTCCCCACCCTCCCGAACGATACATTCTCCGCCGGTGCATCCTCCAGCATCAACGACAGCTCCAATCCCTCCGATAGTTTCCTCGCCGATGCAGGCGACCAGACAGCCAACAAGATCACCGAGGTGGTCATCAGCGTGATCAACAAACTGGAAGCAGCCGTGCGTATTGAAGCCATTATCGCCACCATCATTCTCCTGCTTTGGGTGTTCATCGCCTTGATTGGTATCACTCGTGCCATGATGCTTTTCTGGAGTCGCGATAAGCATCGCGGCGAGGGGGGCCAGGGTCATATCCTGGATCCCGTTCACAATGGTGGACCACCATCCCAAGATCC